CATATATTGCTGACAAATCTCATTTAAAGGGTCGTTAGTACCATGGAAGCTAAGTTGGAAGTAAAGGCTTAAATCAGGACTGAGCCTAACTTGTCAAATAGCTTGAAGTAATCAAGGTCTGAATCAAAATGAAGGAACCATACGAAGACTGAACCTTCATTTATTATGATAATAATACATAATACTTATAGTGCTTATAGCTTCCAGCACTTTACATGACACCATAGAGTGGTGGTGAATAACTGCTGTAGCCACAGTAGCTCTGGGGCAGACTGCCAGAAGTGAGGCTATCAATTTGTGCCATCAGCCCCTCTGATAATTCTCAAAGATTCACACGCACATTACCCACACACCCACATACTGTATGCACATACCCACACAGCAATGTGGGTGAGGTGCCTTGCCCAAGGATACTATAACAGTTTGGAACTTTCCGGCTGCAGCACCCAACTGTATTCCCAGATGTCTCCCATCACAGTAATGACCAGGCCCTGCCCTGCTCAGCCTCTGAGGTCTGTTAAAATCAGGCTTACATTCTGTATTATCATAAGGTTAAGTTGTGTGGTTCTTGTTTAAAACAACTGAATATCACCAATGAAACTGACAAAACAAATCAGAGACCCATGTGAGGTGGCTTTTTACTTCTTATTGGAACAACAAATTTTACCATTACATTTTGTGTCCATTGGTTTTGTTCCTGACACAACACCAGACCAATGACGCGTGCAGATTGCTTGAGGTATGTCAGTTTCTTTCCATCTATTTGCATAACAGAAGAATTGAATCCTTTCGTATGATGACAGATGTATTCTCTAAGTCTAACTTTGTTCAACAAGGACATCTGACATACTGTTTATTGGTAAGGCCTGAAACTGGGCAAATCAAAGATACACTGACGAAAATGAATTAACACAGTAGCCTGGAATGACTAACTAAAACAGCAGTACATATGTCTGCTTCAGAGGATATATTTAGTTGGGTTATCCCCAGAAACAAAGAACATTCTGCTCCTTATAACTGGTCATTTACCACACAAAGCCAATATCTTGAGTGTTGTTTGTTAGCGGCATGCATTTTTGACAAAAATGCAGTTACATGGCTTATATGTTCTGCCTTTACCTGGTGTCCATTGAATCCGATTTTATGGCATTACATCATCCTCTTGCTCCTTTTTTCTCAGTCTTCAGCCTTTTCTGCCCAGTGACAATTGGTGCATTCACAAGTGCAAAATACTGCCATCTCCTGACGACTCCAGCTCTGGTCAGCGGGTGACGTCTGGTCAATGTATCACCCCACAATAATATGCACAAAGAACAGACAACTCAGGGGAAGATTTCACATTTATACTGTGCAGTTTTATATGAGGTTTTGTTGACTGGTGGTCGCGATGTCTGCTGAGCTCTGGAGGCCTTTTGAGGTTTAATTTGTTCTGTGGCACCATCTAGTGTCAATATTCAGCAATTGTTTGCAACTACATTGAAATGCTCACAGTCTGTTTCATGCCATGGGCTGAGAACAGATATTCCATGAAGGCATGCACGAATATTGGCATGCACGAATATTGGCAAAATCCTAAAATTCACATTTCAAGATTATCTGACACAGGCCGACTCATCACCCGCTCTGGGAAAACAATTTCAAATTTTGGAGTAGAAAAAAGAAATTCAGATGAGTGATAGATCTCTATGAGATTAGCGTAAAAGCCGGTCAGAGTACTCCTCTGGGACCAACCCCAGGAATTCGGCCATGATGGTCTGAAATTTCGCCGCCAAATTGACTTTTAAATTTTAGACGCATTTTATTTCTTGGTTTTCATCACACATACTTCTACCATGTAATTTCCCAATCTGGACGAATTTAAGTTACATAATCCCCTCAATAAAGTTAGAAATTCTACACCATTTTAGTCACACGTAATGGCGAAAAAGGCCTTCGTTTTGGGTGTTTTGGCTGAGCCCTCAGGGCCACAGGCTCAGACCTACAAAGCTGAGACTCACATCAGTAATATTAGGTTATGGCCTGAACACAATAACACTAAAATCATTCGGCCAATCTGAACTCTATAGCGTCATGCCACCTGTCTCAAAGTTATAGGGAACTAGTGCTCCGATTGCCCCAAAAATCGCTGAGTGTAATGTGTAATGTTATGCAAAAAGTCCCACACTTGACCACTGAGAGCGCCCTGAGTTCTTTGAATGAGCTTTTTGAGCACAACGTTTGTCGGATTAAGCTAAAATTGAAGTTATATAATAGTTGAAAAGAGTTAGAATTTCATCATCATTTTCACGCCAGGCATCAGTGAATATCACATGGTTTTATGACCTCAGGGCCACAATACCCAACCTGACCACCAGTGGCGCACCCATTGCTGAATAAAGCACATACTGAAATTACTGGGGTTCTGTCCCTGCTGATAGTATTGTGGTTAAATTCTGCGCTGCTGGTGAACAATTCCGGGTCAGACACATAGGATTAGGATTAGGGTTAGTTAGTTGGTTGGATACACCCTCAATGAACTCTAGATGGGAGGCCTCGATCCTAAGCATGTTCCAATCTGCACCAAAGTCGCAGGGTCGAATTTTTACATCCCTTCGAGCAAAGTATTACATTACGCAGGTGTATGTCCCCCAGTTTACCACTAGGGGCGCACTGAATCCTTTAGATTAGCTTTTTAGCAAGTACACCAGATGACGCTTATAGGACTGGCGCCCGGGAGGCAGTTGCGAAAGTGGCAAGGGCTCTCATCGCCGCTTGCGGCTTTTATTATATGTACTTTTGGTTCTTGTTGTTGATTACATAAAAAAATATGTGTAGGCAATAAATATTGCTTTACTTGATTATTTATATGCACAGTATATAGTCAATGGTCATAATTGAGAATGAAGAACTCTCCTTACCTTAAAATTTGTGAAATCTGATTAGGAAGAAGTGATCGAGGCTATAGAGCTTTTTACTGTTGAATGTAAGAGCATTGTGAGTCACTCTATGAATCATTGGGATGAGAGTTGATTGGCTTCTTCCACACTTATCACGCTGAAAATACTGCAGGTGAAATTTAAGAGTTTGCAAGATCAGACGGCCATCCTCCCTATGACGCAAATTCTGCACTGTGATGCAAACCAAAAATAATTTTGCAAGCTTTATTTTGTCAAATCTATATGTTCTACATTACTGTATGATTGCTGTCTATGTCCCACCATTTAAAACTTTACGAATTATGAACTCCTTGATTAAAGTTAATAGATTTAGCCATGTATCAGCAGTAAATATTCTAACAAATTACAATGACTATGAATACTTGTTAATTGGCCTTAAAACAAGATGGATAAGACAAGATAAGAGAACCTGTATTTGTCCCACAGTGGGAAAATTCCGATGTTGTAGCGCACATACAGGATAGCAGCAAGAGCACACAAAATATACAATAAAAGTAGCTGTATAAATGATGTACATATCTGGCAGGATAATAAGTAGTTATAGTGACATTCAGTGGACATTCTGAAATTGCAGTCTTACGAATACAAGATTGTGGATACAAGTGGTCCAGAGTTTCCTCCAGAGTGGCTGAGATAGGGTGAGGAGCTCAGTCACATGGGAGGAGCTTGAAGTAGAGGGAATGCTTCTCTTGGGCATTGGACATTCCCAGCAACATCCTGGGGAGGTGTACCAGCCATGTCCCACTGGAAAGACCCCCAGGGAAGACCCAGGACACACTGGAGGGACTTTCAGTTGGCCTGACTTAAGTATTGCATTTTCTGTGTTCAAATTGTTTGATTCTCTAAGGCCAAGCTATGTCTGGCAAAGCTACAATTTTGTAATTTCCAATGAAGGAGACATAAAATTAAACAAATACTTTTAAAGAAACAAGATTAAATAACTATTGCACTTCTGCTAATATCTACTTAATAAATAGTGTCAAACGTGGACAAAACCCTTATTCTTTTATCATTTTATACCAAGGACTTGTGTAAAGTTTGTTTACAGCCCATTCATTGCTTTTTACTTTGTATAATATGGAAGTAATATCAACAAATATCATATTTTATGCTTTGATTGAACCAAGGACCAAAGGTAGTGTATAGCAGGTTACCTTTATTATTATTATTATTGTTATCATTGACCAATAGGATATTTTTTTCTTTTTTATAAATAATTATTAGTATTTGTGATGTAAATGTATCTTAATGTGTGTTCCATATTTTTATTAAATTAAACTATTGTTTTCTTATATTATGACATGACACAGGATCCACACATCCCATAGGATTAGGATATGCAATTTATTTATATTAGATATTAATATTTTAGTATTATATTGGATCTGCAGCACTAGGCAGGTGTCTGTGAAACAAATTGAGACGCGCATACACACACCGTCACACACACACACATGCACAAATACCTGGTAAATTCTACCTCCTAATCTGTCCAAAATAATGTGAGAGTAATGCAGTCATGAATAGAGCCTGACTGTTGACTCAGTGGTAGACTTTAATCTTGTCCTCTTCACGTGTCGTTGAGCTGTGGAGTGCAGCTGAAGTCCTGAGAGCTGGAGCATTATAGAAGCAGAGCCATGTGACTGCGGTGGCAGTGATTGGTTTAGTGCAGATGTGACATCACCAGCCCCCCCACACACACAGCCGCTCTGCCCCTCTCGCCCGTCTCTCTCTAATGCACTGTTTTTTTCTCTATCCTTTCCTCAGCATCCCCCTCTCAGAGATGGCGTGTGTCGATGCTGCTAAGGCTTCTGGGGCCTAGCCTTTCGCACAGGGGACACCTTCCCCCGAAGCTGTGGACCTCTTTTCTTGTACCAGTGGCGCCTGAAGCACTGTGTCTCTCTCTGTGCGGATAATAGGGTGTCCAGCTCTTTGGGGGGAGGAAGGACTCAGCATCATGGAGCATTAGCTATGCCCTATCGAAACACCTTCTGACTGGCTGGATTTCTGATTTAGCTGCTTGCACACCAGGCTTGGGGCTTCATAGGATGAACATTTGCAAACATGATGCAAGGTAAACCCTGTCACCCTTCAGGATCATTACATTACATGTCAGTTGTGCATGTCCTCTCCCTGCCCTCCTCTGCCTGTGTCCTGCCCAGCTATGGGAGTTAGCCGTGATGTGATCCGTTGTGCTATGTGGACCTCTGGAGCTATACAGCCATTTGCCTGACTGATTTAGCAACATGTGTGAGCACAAAGTCACAGTTTTGAATAACAGTAATGTGGATCTTGTTGAAATGTACCTTATCTCTTGTCTATACTGCTTTAGATAATAATTGCAAATCTTTTTCCATATCCCACTGCAATTAAATAGAATTTGACAAGATGCATACACTATACCAATATCTTGATTTCCTGTACAGCACAATGTACAAATCAGAACTGCCAGGCTTTTAACATCAATTACTGTAATATAATACAGTAGAAGTGCCCACTATAATTAGCCTGAGGTCTGCTGCAGCAAACTCGGACGTGAAGCAGTGGGACTCAATGATGATCACATGTTTATAATTACATACAGACACTTCTGTCCATGAATGAATAAGAGCCTTTATGTTTTGTAATTGTTTCCCTCTTTTTACATGGAAACCAATTGCAAAAGGATAAAAAGAAAGATGATGATGGCTTTCACTTATGATCAGACTTTGTTCTTAATTTGTATTCATATTGAGCTATTGATATCGTGACACATATGCAGCTTGTGGCCATTATTACAGGAAAAAATCTTCCCCATTGAGCATCTCACTCAGGCCACAGCATGTTTCCTGAGCCCACAACAGACACTCACACGACGTGGTAGTACTCTTTATCCCCGCCAGGATTAGTTCAACCAATCTCTGCTCTGTTTACTTTTGCTTTGCACTAATCTTGAAAACAGATCTTCAGTTCAGATGTTGGTATTTCTTCGTGATCTTATGTACTTATTCGTAATGTTGTGTTTAATACATTGGAGTTTGTTTATTTAAGGACAATGTGCAGTTATATTAAAAAGATGGCTGTACCAGATTAAGCATTATGGTCCATCTGTAGTCCTACGTTTGTTTGCAAGTTAAGTTTGATAATCATGATACAAAGACTACGCCACATGGAAGTTATTCTGATTTGTTGGGTTAGTGACGCCTGCTGCCAAGCCTCACTGCTGCAGGGGGCTTGGCATCTAGTTTGGCGGATGAGAGTGGGTCTCTCACGCTAATGAAGTTGGCCAATGATCAATTCTTACTAGCGATGGCTTTCTGTTCCATACATGAGTGGAAGGGCACCGTGTCAAAATCTACTTACTACAGCTGCTTGAAAAAGCATACCCGTTACATTTATTCACATTTTGCCACGTCACGACCACAAGCAGAAGGTTTTTTATTCCAGTTTTTGTGTGTGAAACGTCATCATAAATGCAAAATGAGACCATGTTGGGCCCCTTTTCTCAACCGATAGCCTTTAGAAGTGTGTTGATGACTGATGAAAATATAGATGTCGACCTAACTATTAAGTAGAGTAATATTAATTCAGTATGATTACAGCTGTGATGACCTTATAGGTTTCATAAGATAACACTGTCACTAAACAACATGATGTACAGATGAGGTTGACACCTTCCATCTGTATAAAGTTATATAGTTTGGCAATATAGGTGTTTGGCATCTGTCTAATGCCAAACACTAAACTAAAATTTCAAGATTAAATTAAACACTTTTACCTTTTACCTTTGTGTAACTTGCAACTCTCCGTGCTTTTTAATTGCCCCTCGGGGATAAATAAAGTGATTGATTGATTTTAACAGTATTTTTCATTTCTAGGACTGAAAAACCGCACCAGGAAAGCCCTGGGTCTGCGAAGAAAAGACAGGGATTCAGACACTACGTGAGTTTTGGATATTATTTGGTCTATGGTCTATGCCATCTATAAACGTACAACTGAATTGTATAATATGTATTATATTGTCATTTACTTTATCAACAGAAGTTCACCTGACAAAGATGGAAATGGAACTGGGAAGAAAGGAAGTGTAAGCACATATTTCTAAATCATTTCTAGATTTAGTTATTAAGTCATTTTATGACACTATTTCTTACATTAATGTATAGAAAAAGGCGAATGGAGCGCCCAATGGGTTTTATGGGGAAATCGACTGGGATAGATATGTAAGTAATTCTGGGTCTAAAATCACTCTTTAGAACAGTAAATTTGTTGAGTTAGAATTAGTGAAGCCGCCACAGAGGATGTGATCCAGTAATAGATCCTGTGTAATCTTATCCGGTTAACTATTTCTCTCTCTGTAGGCTTCTCCTGATGTTGACGAAGAAGGCTTCAGCCTTCGTCCTGGTGATGATGGGGACTATATCCTTTTAGCATACAGACTGATTTGACTACAATCCCTTGTTTTGTATTGGACAATATAAAAAGCGTGATTCTCGTCTTAATTCGCTTCTTAGTTTGTCCTTGACAAATTGTTCACCTGCCTCCAAGGGGAAGCACTTTTTCTCCTCCAGTGACTCAGAGGATGATGAGGACAGCAAGAGAAAGTTCAAAATCAAGATCAAGCCGCTGGTAACAGACAGTGCCAAGTGTCTGCCTCCCTCTATGGACGAGCTCAAAGCCTCAGTGGGGGGCCTGGCGCTCTCTCCGTCTCTGGTGAGCACAGACAAGGACACTGAGTAGATGTTCATGTCACACTGAAACTGTTACTGCTGTCACTTCGATTCTTCTTTTCAGTCTGATTTTGTCCTTTTTTGTGTCTTTTTGATGCCACTTTGTAGAAGCGGAGTCCGGTAAGCATGATGAATTATTGTCAAAGACGGCATGGCATGGGGGCTCCTTTATTTAAAATTTAAAATTTCAATGTTTCTCAAACTACGGTACAGGTACATATGCTTTTTTGGCTTTCAATGGTGTTGGGCCTTCCATGTTTGTTAGCTCAGCTTTGATGTCATAGAGTAGATCATTATGGAGATTGTAATGAAGAGACAGGATACCAGAGCTCTTCATCAGTGTCCATCCATTGGTGTTGGGAGGCTAAGAGCTAGGTCCAGGTCGTAGTCAGGTGTCTCACTCCTGTCATCACTGTGACCTTGCTCTGTCAAGTGTTATTTAAAAGTTTACTTACTTACTAATTTCTTTCAGCCTATTAAGCCTTAAGTTTTCGTGAATGTGAATAAAATTTTTTGGAATTAGTTCTATTTAATTTTAGGGTTTTGTCTCCGAGATGATGCCCATCATCCTTTTATCAAGAATCCCAGTCAAAACCATAATATCTCCATAAAGAACTTTATGATATTAACCCTCATTACAAGCTGTATAGTGTAAATGGTGGACAGAAGTCACACAGATGCTCATTGAAAGCCATTCACTGTATTTTGAATGGTGTCACCTGAACTGAAGAGTTTGACAAACTGTTGCATGTCATTGTTGTTAAACCATGTATTGTGTTTCCTCCGAATATAACAATCTTCAACCTTTTTGAGTTTTCTTTGTAGAGCCAACCTTTTACTTGTTGTGAAATTGTCTTTACATTTCACATAATACAGCTTTGACCCCGCTGTCTCCAGTTACTGGTGTAATGGCTAATGTCTCGTTCCCACACTTTGCAGTGAAAGTAAAGAGGCTCTTGTGCATTTTTGTTGGTGTCCATTTGACTGATATGTCACTCACTCTCTGACCCAGGTCTGTTCTCTCTTCCTTTTTGCTGGTCTCAGAGACGTAGCCCGGTAAGTACCCAAAGTATTATTTGGAACAACAAAACAACAAAGGTTTGGTGTACTGACCATGTTAATATTCATTGAAAACAAAGAATATAATGCCATTATGGTTGATGCCGATACAAATTGTGTATGTGTGTGTGTAGTATGTGTGTGTGTGTTTTTTTTTTTTGTATGGTACATACATTTTGTATTACTGCAGTTGCATTCTTTCTCATGCACTTAAATATTTGTATTGTCTTTTCCAGGGACAGATGAAAAGAAATCTTTCATGTAAGTGTTAACTATTCTTTATGATCTTGACTATAACAAACGATATGTATTTATATACATATCATTCTTTTAGGTGAGGAGATTGCAAGACCCAGAAGATCCACACCCACTGCTGCCCCTGAGATCCCCATGTAAGTTTATAATAGATAAGCTACGTTTTTGCTTCAAAAGTGTGCTCATTACTTTCTTTCTCTCACAGTGACAGGCTATCACAAAACGCCCCTACTTATTTTGGACTTCCCCCAGAGATTAAATATGCACGATACGAAGGTGTGTCTGATTACACAGTAATACATCAGAAAGGCAGACTGATATAGTAACACATTTATATGATTCTACAGTGGTTCCAGCAGATGTATGGGGAGAATCTAGACTACATTCTGAATCAGCTTTGAGCAGGAGCTTTCCTACAGGAGGTGGGAGAACTGATCTAGTTGATAGCGTTATTAAGATTATAAATATGAAGACAAAAAAAATATATATTTCTAAATGTATTTTCTTTCTTACAGCTCCCCCTCCTCTACCCCCTAAAACCATTCCTTCTAGAAGCCGCTATGGATATCCGTCTGAATGTGTTGGTGGGAGAATCTTCTAGACCTTTTTCATATCTAAGAGGTCATGGATGAACACAAGGCTTATTAATCTTCTGTTTTTTCTGCAGCTGATTTACCAAATGGAAGAGCAGCTTGTAGTTCTGCACCTATCTACCTGAATGTCTTGTCCCCTGCGTCCCACCGAGGCTCGCCAGCTCCTGATTTGGACGACGTGTTCGGACCTGTCGACGGCACGCACCCCCGGGAGGACACCGCGTCTCCCCGATGGGTCACCTTTCCTGACGACCGACCTCCACCTCCGGATGAACCCGCTCCGCCGCCCCCTCCTGACTCTCCAGCTCCCGGAACACCTCTGTCCACCCCATCCACGCCCTGCCCGTCTCCCGGACCACCGCCGAATGAGCCACCCCCGTCCCCGCCTGCATTTTCACCAGGATCACCCTTCACACCCCTGGACTCGCCCCCTCCTATCATGTTTGGGCCGCCCCCACCAGATGAGCCGGCGCCTCCTCTCCCGCCCGACTTCTCGCCCTGTCATCTGCCGCCCATCTGCTTGGATGATGAGGCTCTGGATGAGGAGGTGCTTCAGTTTGCGGAGTACAGTTCGTCGCCGGCGCCCACCAGCCCCGTGCCGCCCCTCCCAGTGGAATGGAGGCACCGCACTGCTGTGACCTCTCCGTTGGTCACCAGTGGGAAAGGCACTCCTGACGGTTCATACTTGAGAGATGATTTCCAAGACATTGTGGGCTCACCTCGTGAACTGACCCCCATTTTTAGGAGCACCCCACCTCCCCTTCCTCCCACCACTTACAGGTCCATCATGTCTTCCCCTGGGCCCCACTCCGGCAGTGGTGAGTTCCACTTTTTGTGTGATTAACTGACTGTAGTTTTAATAGGCAGAGCTATAACCAAACTATCTAGCATCATGGAACGTACTAATGTATCCAAGTCATAATAATCATGGTTGCAATTTCCCTATCACAAAGACAACAACTATCCACGTTCTTTGCAAACAAATATGGAACTAAGTATCTATTGAACTTGGGAACTTGGGAACTTTGAGCATATCTTTAAGATTTTTCAATAGAACAAGTATGTTTTGTCTTGTTGTTGGGCAGAAGCATCATTTTCTCATTCCAGATGTGAAAATAATAATATAATCTTTTTCATTGTTTATGTAAACTGTCAAAATGAGTGGCACAACTCAGGCTTGCCTGTAAGTATTTTCTGAAAAAATATCAAAATGACATTTTTGGCAATGAATCTTGCAGTGAGAAATATTGGTTGCACTATAAACATTTGAAATGAGTGGGATTTGTGAGGTAATCACTTAATGTGTACTCTTTGTCAGATCTGGAAGTTGTTATTTTTACTCTGAACAAAATTAGGCTTACAGGATTTTAAAAAATCACAATTGCAATGTTGATCAGAAATATTGCTAATGACCAAATTAATGAATCCTATCATTGTCAAACAAATGTCCAGTCACAGGCAAGGCTTGAAGAAGTTTCTTGATTTGGAGAATGATACAAATAGTGGACAGACAGTTCCATCTTTGTTAAAGAAATCTCCTGTGTGTCCATCTCAGGTCCTTCATCTCCAGCTCGCTCAGTCACACCTCAGTCTGGGAGCAGTCCGGTCCCACCACCTCCTCCTCCTCGACCTTCATCTCGTCCCAAGCTGCCTCCAGGGAAACCTTTCTCGGACCTTGTATGTGATTAAAGCTGTGAACTCATTGGTGGTGTGTGTAAAATTACCCCTATCATCAGGGTGTACTATTTTTCCAGAGTCGGTCCTGCAGTCCTCCTGTTTCAAGCAGTCCTCCACCATTTGCTCCTTTGGCCAGAGCAGAAAGTTCTTCCTCAATCTCGTCCATGACGTCACACAGCGCTGCATCCACCCCAACCCTGGGGATTCACACAGGTACATATGGACCACCATAGTTTGTGTTTAATATTGTATGTTGTTGCCATCTTTTTTCTTTCTACCTTTTTTGTTTTAACACCTTCAACGGTCCATCCTGTCCTTTCATGGTTTTTTTCTCCTCATGTCTCCTGCATAGAGGCCTATCAGCCTCTGGTGTGGTTTGACCATGGCAGGTTCTATTTAGCTTTTGAAGGTGAGCGTAGCCGGATTAGGCACTTTTGTATGGCTGCTGGTGCATGAGTCAACTTGCCTTAAACTCCCTCTTAGCTTTAAGTAGTTATGCTTAGAATAACAACAGAAATTGCAAGTATACAGATATAGATGGTATACTGTGCTTTTTGCTAGTTATACAAATATAGTGCGTGTTTATATACATGTGCTTATGCGTGTGCTTTAGGATGCTCCAGAGGGCCCTCTCCCCTCACCATGGGACCACACGACACTCTACCAGTGGCAGCTGCCTTTACTGAAACAATAAATTCCTACTTCAAAGGCGCTGACCCCAACAAGTAAGACATTTTAAAACATTGTATAGGTAGCCTCTTGACAGCTATTAACTTGTGTTTTTGTGTGATTTTGATAGATGTGTTGTGAAGATTACAGGAGAGATGGTACTGTCATTCCCTGCAGGTATCACCCGGCATTTTGCAAGTCACCCAACTCAACCCACCCTCACTTTTAATATCATCAACTATAATCGATTAGACCAAGTCCTACCTAACCCACAACTGTTGTGCTGGTGAGAACAAAAAACATCTTTAAACATGTATAAACTGACTCTTTCATTTCATTCATTATTCAACTATTCATTATGTATGTTTTTTTCTTTAGTAAATCCTTGACACAGAGCACAAACATCAAGGAGTTTTCTGTCAATATGCCAAACTTGATGAGCCATCTCAAGAAGATTGCCGAACAGAAACCACAGGCGACTTACTACAATGTGGATATGATCAAATATCAAGTATGAGTTAATCCTCAATAGTAGATGATTAATGCAAATACTGTGATTTACGAATACTGCATTCTAATTAGGTGTCAGCTGAGGGCATCCAATCGACCCCTCTGAACTTGGCTGTGAGCTGGAGAGGTGACGCCATCTCCACCGACCTTAGAATAGACTACAAATACAACAGTGGGGCTATGGGTGTCCCTGCTCCGCTACACAACATCAATTTTGTGGTTCCTGTGGAAGGAGGCATTGCCAAGCTCCAAACCATGATCCCTCCTGCCACATGGTGAGTGCTTCTTGTGTGTGTAAGCAACCTGACATCAATACTGCAATAATTATTTTCTCTACAGGACTCCAGATCCACAGACCTTGCAGTGGAGAATCTCCAGCCTTTCTCATAGATCTGAGAATGGAGGTAATTCAAACTGATGAATTTCATATATTCAGATCTATATTTGAAGAATGAATTTGCAAAAAACGATATCTTTTGAACTTTTTGAAATGTTGTCAAAAGGTTATATTCCTCTTGCTACAATCTTCAACATGTTTTGTTTTTGGCCGTGAATTTGAAAGATTTTGCACTTTATTACACTGTATTGGTATGGCACTAAAATAGTTCTGGCATTTCAAAAAAAGTACTTGTAAAGGCCAAATTCTTCAAGTTTTTCAAATATTTTTTTTTCTAATGGCATCTGTTTTTGGAATTTAACTATTCATTTGTTTCTACTATTATAAAACAACTTCTGTTTCTTTTGTAGGAGTGGGAGCTTTACTGGGACGTTTCCAGATGATCGAGGGTCCATGTAAGCCCTCACAGGTGTCTGTTCACTTCAGCTCTGAGGGCAGCACTCTCTCCGGATGTGACATCCAGCTTGTGGGGACTGGATACAGGCTCTCTCTGGTCAAAAAGAGGTTTGCAGCAGGTCAGTTTACAAAAAATATACTTAACTTAACCATGTAATTGTCTCGTAATGTCATCTCATTTCCTCAACACATTGTATTCCTTTTTTGAATGGTGCTTGTTCTAGACATGAGCTTAAACCTAATTTGCAAGGTTTGTCCTGGTGTTATTGTGCAATACATTATCTTAAGGACGGATGATACTCATGTAGTGGAGCAATACTCATCATGCAATTTGCAAAACTATTAGATGTGTTGCTGAACATTGGTTTTAATTTATTTTCTATTTGTTTGACAGAATAGTAGTCTTTAAATACAATAAACCCGACTATATGCTTACTTATGTGATTATACCCACTCCATTTTTCTTCTATTTGTCTTTGCAGGAAAATATTTGGCAGATTAATAACAGATTGTATAATGAACTGGCTTCTGACTGTGAACATCCAGACATTATCTCAACACATCTTAACCTACATCAGCTGTTCAACGTGCTCTTTAAATGCTATACCACAGAAATACTTCAATAGACTGGCTACTGCTGAGATTATGCAAGTCAATATGGAAGATTAGTTTTGTGCACACATGGAACACTTGGGGTCAAATGTAAGTATATCCACATATTTTTAGGTCTTGTGGATTTGTGGATTCATGCAGTGATCCAGCCTTATTCCTCAGTTCGTTTTGTCTAACCTGTTGTCTTTGCACTGTAAAAAATAACAACAACAATGTGAATTAATTATAACAAAGTATATGAAACAATCTTAAACAAGGTGGAAATTGATAGAAAACAGCTACATTTTTTTTAGCATAAGGTTACTTTGCTGTTGTTTATTTACACTGCCATCTTCGGCCAAATGTTTTGGGGATTTTGTTCCAACAGTTGTTGAGCAGCCTGCAAGTGGGAAGGTACTTATAAAGATATTGCCATAGCCTGCTCTGTGCTGAGGTTTTATCCATAGTAAAAGACTGTATTACCATAATGGGATTGTGCAATGATGAGTGATGATGACTGTGTGTTTTTTGTTAATATAATATGACAGAAGTGCAAATGTTGGACTGTTGTATTTATGTGAAATGGCCTTAACTGTTTGCTGTGCCATAAAGTTGTGATAGGATGGAGCTAAAGTAGTAATTGAAAAAGAAAGACAGCTGACAAATTTTATAGTTGCCTTTTACACTTCTGACTGCGAGATAGTTGGGGCTTAAAGAAGAAACAATAGTATTCATATGCTAATTATGGTCTTTCTTCTTTTTCCACCATGTTCAGTGAACTTGTTTTCTGATAGCAATATAAAATGTGTAAAAATTGTATATAAAATACTCTTTTGCAAGACATATGGGTCAAATTTTTATTTTCAATTGGTGTCATTGGTATGTTGTATTTGTTAATTTTTTAAGTCTGCACCCTATTTGGTTGGAAATGTGCATTTTTTGTGTCCAAACGTGTAGCCATTGATTGACTCCCAAACAGTGCTGCATGGAATTTGCGTATTTACAATTACACAATACAATTTTCCCACAAAATAAATGTCTACTATCAAGTAATACATCTTATGTTATAAGACTGTTTTTGTCTTGTCCTTAACTCTCACCCATGTTTTGACATTTGCCTACAAATTGTAGTGTCTCACAATTGCACTTATAATAAAAAAGAACTATCCTAATCGTAGACAGCAATTTATGTGTAGCTTTCTGGTATTATGTTTCCCTTCATAATGATTAAAGAAAATGGGATTTTACTTATGTATTTATTTATTTTAACTATGCACTAAAGATTTAATTTGCCTTATTGATAAAGATGTGACTGCTCATTGGCAGATTGGGATATTTTTTTTGTTTGTTTGCTGAATGGACACATATTATGCAATCATTTCATGTAAATATCCCATCCAAAGATTTGAAGTATAGTTATATATTTAAAAGTCATTGTAATGTAATACTTGTTTTCCTTGATAATAAAGAGATATATAAAACATTGCCTCTTGCCTTCAGTCTATGCTCTTGCTTGACATCAATTTTAACCCCGCCCACTCACAGTTACCATGACGACATAACGCTCAACTCGCCTCGGACTATCCACCTCTACAGTTAACACAAAACCGAAGGTAGCATAACTTCAATCTTATTTTTTACATTGTTTCAAATAGGCCTAGTTGGACAGATTGTTACAGATGCGTTTTAAACTACTAATAATAATTGTGTTTATTATTTTTTTATTTTTTTTTCACTTTCATTGACTCTCGAACTAGCATAACACACCCGGTCAGCTCGCTAACCATGCTAATGCTGGGATACCATTACCTGTGAAAGTAATATGTAAACAAATAGGATCTGAACATGCAGCTTTCATCTTTCAAAAGCCCTGAGTCACTAACTACATTGATTAGCCTAGCTGTTAGTTAACTAGATACATTAATGTGGTTTTAAAGTCGGGTACCCCAGATTTACTCCAACAACATGTTATATCTCTCCTGCACATTGTTTTCTATTTGCAGTTCAACGGGATTTCTCGTTATTTTGTTGCCCTTGCCAATTAAAACTTGTTATGGCGGACCAGCTCAAAGACAAACCTTTGAAGAAGGATAAGAAACTGGGGAAAGATGGCAGACCAAAAGAGTGAGTTAACCTTATTATTATAGATATTATAGGAGTTAACTGCTACGTCATTTGATCAAATAAAACAGTGCTAATGACAGGTCATAATTTACTTTTAACAAAACACAGTCATTGCTGTTATATTTAAGATTTGGCCTGATATTTTTCACATTTCATTTAACATTATTAAAGATAATTAGCATTTCTGGTGGTAAAATAGAGACTAACCCCAAGTTAAATACAAGTAGCAGAATGGATAGTTTGACTTGCATTGTGTGCAGTAAATCATGAAAGTATATTGTAAATGTGTGATGAACTGTAAATCAGTTCTAGAACACTCTATTTCATGTAAGTTTCAAAATATCTCTCAAATTTTAATTCACAAACATTCATGGAAAATCATACAAAACTGTCTTTTCTATAGATAGTAGATTGTATTAATTGAATTGTGTTGTATTTATTGTTGATGATATTTTTTAAACCCTCCTCTATAGCTCAATTAGTACTGTGTCAAATATGGAGGACCTCTTACACCATAATGACGACAATCGACAACCAACTGAAAACACCTATCAACTCGGTCTGTAATTGTTATAACACAAATTTGTATTGTACATTTTTGGATATGCACAGGCTGAAAAACATGCATGCTCAGATTTGTAAGTAATGTTATTTCAATGAATGTATTACAATTTTACTGATGATAACCATTTATTATTATCATTAATAATATTGCATTGTTTGTATAATACTTATTCAATGTGTAAATATGATTTCAAAATACATACATATATATTATTTAACAGTATGAGGAAACAATTTTGCTTTGCAGGACCTTATAAACGTCACTCAGCACCTGTTATCACAGATATACTAAAAGATGTACTCACATCTTATCTCCAGCATGAAACATATGAAGCTGAGTGGTCTCACCAAATGACAAAAACATTATGTGAGGTAAGTAAAATTGTGAATAGCAAAATGGAGTTTGCGTTTAACTGTGCCTGGTCTGATTGCTGTATATTCTAATACAGGTGATCAGAGGACATGTGAAGGAATTAATGATCCCACGTTATAAGATAGTTGTTGTTGTAAATATAGGACAACTTATTGGACAGGGCATGCAGATCAGCAGTCGTTGTCTCTGGGATGCTACCAGTGACACCTTTGCCACTTATTCTTTCAAAAACAGGTCATTGTTTGGTTTGGCAATTGTTTATGTTGCATATTTTGAGTAAATAATTTGCTAAATGTAACCAGTTTTAAACAAACTTTAACTTTTAGAAAAACACACTTTTTGAAGAACATGTGAGATTATGTTTTTATTAACTGAGAATATAAAATCACATTCAACAAACAAACTGGTGATCCTTGAAGCTCATTGTGACAGTGATGTCTTCAGCAGAGTAAAGTTAGATCACTCTTTTGACATCCTACATCGCAGCACTCTGTTACTAAGGCCTGCTGTTCGTCCCTCCATTGACGATAAATTGGCTTCAAAACATCTGTGCTTAAAAGATTTGGTGCCGTGGTACCTGCAATCAAATAGAGGTTTAACTATGCAGTGTTACATTCTAAGTGCAATATGTGGCATAGGAGCAAGATTACTGGAATAAAAGTGTTTCTCAGTTACCTCTGAGCAGTCCCCAATCGTCTGTCATCAGTCTCTTCCACCTGGAGCCTCCGCATGTGAAGACCAGAGCCCGCACAAATGCTCGCCCGCACAGCCGCAGAGTATTTGCATTATTCTGGCTCTCAATCTGTGCCACACACAGAATGCACAGCAGAACACCCACAGCTGCGGATCTCATTGAAATGAAAAGATTTGGCTTCCAATATTGAGATAAATATGCTGCTCACTGAAATCCTCTACCTAGTTTTCTCTTTTATAGTCTTTCCAGGCATGAGTTTTTGACAAGACTACCGGAAATGTGTTATCATGGGTAATAAAATTCCCTTCAGAAACAAATGCTATTTTGTCCATTTGGCACATGTGTGGGAATCAGAAGACCCATTGATTGCCTTAAATGACCCAAGAAAACCCTCCTCAATGATGGCTATATATGTTTTTAATGTCAATGATAAGAATAATGTTGACTTAAGGATCAGTGTAAATACGCTTTCCAAAACAAGTTGTCTTCTGCATGGCAACATAGTGCACTGTGGCCATATCACACACATTAATCAGTCATTACCGGCATATGAGTAGTCATCCTTCCTGCTTGATGTTCATATTTAACTCACCTCACGGAACGGTCATGTACTATAAATAGAAACTTTCATCTTTGAATAAACGATAAAAACATAGATGAATGTGGGTAAACAACAAACATTTGTAACAGTCGCAGGAGGGGGCGGGGCTCCACATCCGGGTCTTTGGCTGACCCCTTACGTGAACCCGTAGGCTTGCAAACATGGCGGAGGTAAGAAAGTAAAATAAATAATTGTGAAAACACATTATATGACAGCATCTTTTTCATCTGCATATTTCAATTCTGTTTGCATGCGACTGTAATCCATCGTGCCAATTGTGCGCAGTGTTCATGTCTATAAAATTTATTTATTTGGAACAACTCAGTTTAATAAACTTCGGGTTGGCTAATCTAGCCCCGCTAGCCACTGTTCTGCGGCATTATGCTGTTTCCTCTCGGTTGCTAAGACAATTATAAAGCTTTGAGATAAAACTGTGTATTGGGTGTTACATTTAATTGTTGGCAAAGGGAGGTTGGTATTTGTATTTATGTGATAGCGCAATTTGTTATTGTGCGGGTTTGCAAAAGGAGCTAGCTTTGTACGAAGAACGAGGGGTTAAAATGTGTCATATTATGGTACGTGGTTGGAAATAGATCCGATGTGATCGATGAATCATTGCTAGAAAATATTATTTAAAGAGCCACAGGGATTGTTTCGAAATGATCCTTTAAGTATTGTTCTCGTTTTAGATTTTGCTTTTAGTCCATGCTTTAGGTCAGGCGCGCTTTTTCTTTGCCCAGGACAACATGCTCTGTGCAGTCCACTATTTACATTTCCCACATCTGAAAGTACATTTCTAATTGAACGTTGTATTTGTCTTTCAGCCCTCGTTTGGCAGTTTGAGCCCAGGTATTTTTTTTAATCATATATTGTTCTCATTGTTTTTTCTTTAAATTTATGTCTGAAAATAGAGTTACTATTATTAATTTAAATGTATTACAGGAGGCTCAGCAGGTTCGACAGACCATGATTTCGACCCGTCAGCAGACATGCTCGTGCACGACTTCGATGATGAGAGAACCCTAGAGGAAGAGGAGTCGATGGAGGCAACTGATGAAGCTAATGCAACTGAAATTGATGACCTTGCACGGGTATGAAAAAAAAAAGTTATCTGTATATTTCCTAAAGCGTTCCATTTTGAGATATGGGCAGTTCTTGTCCTCAATATTCCAAAAGAGTTTTCCTTTGCTAGCTTTATTAAAGTAAAGATAAGCAAAAACATTGATCACAGTAGTACATCACACACAAGTGAACCCACTCGTTATGTTTACACAGGAGGGAGAGATGCCAATCCATGAGTTATTAAGCATGTACGGATATGGTGGCGGTTCACCAGCAGAGGATGATGATGAGGAGGAGGACGAAGAGCCTGAGGAAGAAGAGGATGACGATGAAGAGGACGAGGAAGAGGACATGGACAATGATGAGAGCAGCAGAAGCACTGGAGAGCTCAAACAAACAGTGGTATGGCAGGAAGACTGTGTTAGATGAATGTTGGTGTGGTAGTGTTTTTAGTCTTGTATTTGTGCTAGGACTATTGTTCACTATATATTATCTGTATTATTGTTATCTACAAAACAGAAACCGTGTAATTCATTATTTGATACGTCTCTCTTTTCATAAATACAAGTCAAGACCACTTCTACTAACAACATTACTTAATTGAACTTATCACATGATGGTTTAACTGAACAATTGTACCTTTTAGGGTGGAGGCATGAAAATCTCATGTGGTGAAGTGGTGCAGGCGGCTCCAGAGGGTCGCACACGCCCCGTCAGATCACTTGGCACCGCAGAACTTATTCGTCCTCAGAAGTTAAAGTACTTTGATAGTATGTATTGTGTAAATATTTTTTTGTGCTTGCATTCAATCCTCCAATCATAGCTATTAGTCCAATTGCATTTTTGATAAGAAGTTTTATTGTTTCTGGCTTTAGATAATAATGATATTGAAGAAGAATCAGATGAAGATGAAGATTATGTTCCATCTGAGGATTGGAAAAAGGTTTGAGGACTCTTATCTTGTGTAATGCACAAATCAGAACTTCTCATGTGAAATAGGAGGTTGAATTTATTCCTCCCCTGTTCATTTATTGATTCATGTATTTGTTTCAAACAGGAAATAATGGTTGGTTCTATGTATCAAGCAGAAACTCCTGCTGGGCTTTGCAAATATAAAGACAATGAGAAAGGTACCAGGACTTGCTAGTATGTACTGAACTTCATTTAGTCTTAATGTACTCATTTTTGTTATTTCTAGTTTATGAAAATGACGACCAGCTTTTGTGGAACCCAGAGTGTCTGTCTGAAGACAAAGTCGTGGAGTTTTTAGCTGAGGCGTCCAAGCGGACAGGAGATGAGAAAGGCGTGGATGCCATTCCAGACGGTTCCCATATCAAAGATAATGAACAAGTATGTATACAAGGATTCGCTTATTGAAAGGTTTCGTTGAAACTCAATGTTTGTTTTTTGCAGGCTCTATATGAACTTGTGAAGTGTGACTTTAATACAGAGGAAGCTTTAAGAAGGCTGAGGTTTAATATCAAAGCTGCTAGAGGTAAGTATTATGTTTATCATAATTCAAACTGTTCACAGTAAATGTTACTTCTCATCTTCTGATGAACAGAGGAACTCTCAGTCTGGACAGAGGAAGAATGTCGACATTTTGAACAGGGACTGAAAACTTACGGGAAAGATTTTCATTTAATACAGGCCAACAAGGTAACTCAGGCTGATACTTCATTCCTTTGGGGTTACTGGATATTGTGTCTGTGGGATTGACTGTTTGTATTGATCAATTGATCATAGGTTAAAATATATTAATTTTGAATTAAATCTTTCAGGTGAGAACTAGGTCTGTAGGAGATTGTGTGGCCTTTTATTACATGTGGAAGAAGTCTGAGCGTTATGATTTCTTTGCACAGCAAACCAGACTTGGGAAAAGAAAATACAACCTTCACCCAGGTGTCACGTAAGTGGACTTCCCTACAAAATTAGAGTTGTTGAATTATTACCGGGTTCTTGCAGGGTATTAGAAACCTTTTGACCATGTATATCTGACAGAAAACATGAAGGTTTTTTATGTTTTAAATGTTTTAATTGTATCTATTGACATAATTGAATTTGACCAAAGGAAATGACTGAAACAGTCATTTTGCAACATGCTAACATGAGTAAATCCCTGTTGCTTGTTTTAGGATACGAATCCCCCCAGTTAATAAGGATTTTGTTTTTTGTCCGGACTTTATTGCTTACAAGTCCCTAAATATATTTTCACAATTTCCATTCTGCAGTAATGAGCTTTGAGCTTTCTCTGCACAGAGACTGTTCTGACCTATAATTTAAAGTAAATGAGTAATCATACTCAACATCAAGTGAGAAAATAGTATATAAAGATTTAATTTCAAAATATAATATATCATCAGTCATTTAAAGGTTCAAAACTCAGAGAAAATAATTGTAATCAAATGATCTTTGACAAATGTTGGCACACACTGATTTATGCGCCTGGAGAGTCACTTGAAACTTGGAGCTTCCCTGGTTTAATTTCACCATGACTCAGCACTACATTTCTTATAATTATTAGGCTTCTATTGAAAAGGTGCTTGTGTTTTCAGAGATTACATGGACAGATTGTTGGATGAAACGGAGAGTGCCACATCCAGTCGAGCTGCGTCCCCTCCACCTGCCACGTCTGGGGGCAGCACAAGTCATTCGGAGAAGGAAGATGGCACCAGTCACAATGGTTGGTCTGCAGTTGTGATTATCATTGTGGTTTGTGGATCACTGGTGGCCCCCTAGTGGTATTTGGTCAAAGTACCACATGAAATAAATTATTTTAGTCAGTAAAAAAATCTATATAATACAAACCGGCACAAAGTGCTAAACTGTCTTCACTATATTCCAATTTGTCTGATATGTGGGACACAATAGCCTGTGTGGATTTGACAATCTATATAGATAATTTCTATCAGTGGTCTGTGTTTGCTAAATCTGTGATCTGCAGTTTCGTGGTCCTCAGTCTGGAAAACAAAGGACCACAACTGGTGTTATTGTATCTTAATTTGTTCATCTTATTCCCAGGTGTTGTAAACCACAATTCGAGCCACTTTGTGGAAGTTGCTCCCTGTTCTGCACCACTTCAAGTGAAACATGAACTGCCCCAGTCCAATGGTCCTTTACCAGTTTTGGAGTCACATCCTCATATTTTAGAAAACTCCAATGGCTGCAGCCAGACCAGTGCTCCCATCCATGACCAGAATGGGTCTCTGGAGCCCTTTGTAGAGCACTCAGCAGCCGAATCAGCGTTGGAGCTTGAGAGGCCGGTCAAAAGGTGTCGAACTGAACCAGATCATTTGCCTTGTCATGAAATGGAGTCAAGTATCCAGGACAACTAAAGGCAACCCTGTTAGACTTTGGCATGGATCATGGTCTTAATGATCATTGGAGGGCAAATAAAACTGAAACTGAAGAACTTTGACGCCCCTCAGACCTCGTCATGTATTGGCTGCCTGAGAAGCTTAACCCAAAGTATGCACATCTTCCATCATATTACTCCATTTTGGACTCTTCGAAGAACCCTGGTCTTCTATTTGTACACTTCAAATCTCCTAATATTTTTATACTTAAGAGATATATTTTTTAACAAAAAATAGAATATAATGGTTCAAAGTCCAAGCCATTTAACCATTTGATTAAACAGGATCTGTTAAATGTTTATGTGCTTAACTTATCAGAAGGCAAGCTCGACAAGGACTATCGCAGTTAGCAGTCGCACTTTGATTGTTCTTCTTGGAGTACAAGTGAAACCCAGCAGAACTTTTCCACTCTTTGACTTGTAATAAACTGTACAATACCTGATAATAAACCAGCAGGTTTGTTTGTGTATAGATTGACATCAGTGATGTCCTGTATTATTAACTCCTTATTTCAAAGATTGCTGTATTTTTCAATTTCAACGATGGTGCTTGACAGTTGTTTTTACTGGACAGAATGTCTGTTTTTTTTAATGTAGACGCTGCATACATTTCTTAAAGCAGTTGGTACATTTTTATAACCATTTGCTTGTCTTTATCATCAGGTTGCTTTTGTATTGTTGCGCTGTAGAGATGGATGTCATTCCAAATAGCTTTCCATCAGCAACACTTTGCCTGTACTAAACTCTTCTGTTCATAACATTTGTTCCACTCCTGCTGTATTTGGGTTGCGGGTTCACTTTTCATCTGAGCTAAGGCTTCTGTCTTAGGAAAATAGAACAGTTTAATTTATCCTTTGGTAAAGTAGCAGTTTGAGTATTTGTACCAAACATTCAGACTCTTGGTTAGTTAAAAATAGCCCATGTTTTTGTTTTCATGTTTATTTTTCTCTAATGACGAATAAATGTATCTGTATTCAAAGAATTATTAGTTCAGTATTGTTTATTAGTTTAATTGCAGAACATTGAGATTTTACAATCAAGCATTTAAAAACAAAAGGCTCAGAAGAAACGTTCTGCGTCCATAATCTACTTGCCGCATTGATGCAGATTCTCTCCTTCACACGTCATGCAGTTTCTGTAAAATCAGTGTCAGTAGATCAAATAATGAAGTAGCTTGTACCCATGATACTTACTTGTCTTTTCTCGTGTAAAAGTCAAGTATGAATACACCAGGCTGCCTGCAATACTGGGGAGACAAGATTTTGCAACAATTAGGAAAAGACCAACATTTAAAAGGCTGGAATGTTACCGGCAGCTTTACCTGATATTGAGACCAACAAAGTTAGTCCAGGTGAAAATGTAATCACCTCCAAACACCATCCCAATGTATGTCACCAAGATATTCTACAGAAATTAAAACCGTAAACAATCCTAACAGAAAGAGGACCAATATTAAAATAACAAATGAAGATGGAACCTTTATGCAGCCTATAATACCCGTAGTGAGAGCTGAATTGTACTGTGTGCACAGCATTGTGGAGTACATCAGAATAAATCTGAAAAGAGAAAGTGAAGCTAAAATACCTCAAACATGAATGTAGGAGGAAAAGCAACGTTACCCCATGACACAAGAAAGCACAAACTGCAGGACAAACATCACATCTGTCCATCCACTGAAGTCCAGCCCCTGTGCAAGAAGCCAAATAATAAACATATCTGAACAATACCAAACAAATAAAACTAAAAATCTGGGTTCTGACCATCTGCAAATCACCGCTGTAGCAGGAGTAAGCCACGGTGGGAACAATCATGATTAAAGCGTTGTAGTACAGAAGTCCATATTTACCCAACTCCTGTTTTAAAAAATAAAACATTGTGGATTTTGATAGTGTATGGAATGTATACATGTTTGATAACAGATGTGTGTGCCACTCACCCGTGACTCAAGTTTCTGTTTTGTATATGCTCCATTGGCTGCTGTCATGACATTGTTTAACATTACAAAAATATATCCCTCCAAATTGAAAGTTAAATCAGAGCTATAATAAAACAAATACAATCAAATGTGATGGACTTACAAATACTTTGTCACCAAAACCTTACCTGGCTGCAACAAAGGCTCCAAGGATCATTGTGAACACGGTCAGTTTTATAGACGTAGAAAAAGATTTTCTGTAAAAAAAAGAAGAATTTAGTGATGAGATTATGTGGAGAACAATGCACAAGTCTTACTTCAGTAGTATGCCTTCAAAAACCATTATCAGCAAGATAGTAAACCTCCTTAGAACAGTGAACATGGATAAACTGTAGAGAGAAAACTGACTGAATCAAGTCAATTCAATATTTCCAGTTGACAAAATAGAGCGAATCTGACTTGAGTTTCTGTGTTCCAAAGAGTCCTGATATTTGGTTCCCAACATAAAGCAAAGGTAAAGGAAACATCTGCAACAGAAAAAGAATTACAATTGAACATTCATTGAACATATGTAGCGTTAATTACACAAGTCATAACTCGCCTTTAGGAGTATAGTTAAACTTGTGTCTGGAAATGAGATCACACCGAGCAGCTTCCCGAGCCTCAAAACTACTACTGTGGCAAACATCTGCGACACACACTTCATTAGACACACATTCATCAATGCTGTAGTAGTTTAATGGTCAGGAGGAGGACCACAGTTTGAGAACCACTGCCACTATTTACCTGCCCAATTCCAACACATGTTGATGAAGGAAACCTGTCGAAAAGTATGGTAAGGTTTCTCCATTTTGTATTCAACTGACAAATGACTGTGCCATAAATTAAGTTCTCCCTGAAGACTGTCCGCCTGAAGTGAACTTTGCCCTACCTGTAGTTCGTGAGGACACTTTTGTTCACCACCACAATCAGAAACGAGCTGACTCCGTAAAAAGCCGCAGACAACAGTCTGTGGGACAGCTCCGTATCGTGTGGGTCCTCAGTGGTCACTTGTTCGGATCTCAGACTGTGTGATCTGTCGGCTTTGGTCCATGCTTTGGTCCCGTGGAGTCTCTGTTCTGCCATGTTTCTGAGGAATAGTGTGCGCATGCGCAGAAGTACACAAACATCTGGACGTGGGTAGGACGGATATTATAAAAGATCCATGGGCAGGACAAGGATCTGTTATAACGGGCAAGGCCAGTGTTTCTCAAGATAGTGTCCAAGTACACAGGTCCTGGTTTCATCGTTCATATATGCCAGACCGTTTAAGACACACTAGCAGTAATTGTATTTTAATGGAGAAATACAGGAATGAAGAGACTAAAGCTTTATACATGTTCCAGTATTTATGACTAAAATATATATTTTACGGTACATTTCTCCATTAGCTGGTTTACAAATCAAACCTCAGTTATATGTTCAATTTGACATCTCATGACAACCATATGCAATGATGTAACACCTCTAAAGCAATTTATTAAAAGAGGGATGTTTGCAGATAAATTCATGTGGTCAGGCAGTCTTAAAGAAACTGCTCCAGTCACCTGTATCAGGGCACTGCCAGCCAGGCGTTACAAAGCACAACATTATTTAAATTAAGTCACTTTTTACATACAGTATAATTCTCCTATCCTCCCAGTGAAATAGATACCCACTTCATTAAAAGAAGATGCCCACTAGCAGTGTGGCTGACACAGGTGCACCACTAGCTTACATTACATTCTGTAGCTGTGACAGCAATGACAAGTCAGACAAATAATGCATTTGTGCTGCTGTTTGGACCAAAACCATTAAACTGTGATCATGAACAATCAAGACATGTTCTTTGAGATCGTTTTACAGATACTCCAAGATATGCATCAGTATACAATAGTCAATCACAACTAAAATGAAACAGTTCAGTTTAACTGCTCAGGTGTAAAATGTGCCAAAAGTAAAACAAGATTTCTTAAAATTATCAGCCACAAGTTACCCATTTCACACATACAGGGTCTGTAACATACATACATGATCTATAACACACAAACACGCACACATACATACATACATACATTACAACACACACGCACACACATACATACATACACACATATATACATACATACAACACACACGCGCACACATACATACATAGATACATACACACATATATACATACATACAACACACACACGCACACATACATACATACATACACACATATATACATACACACACACACACACAAAAATATACAAGAAATTGCTTAGTGGTCCTACGTTTTACAGTTTGTATGACCTAAGAGGACCAGCCTAAAATATAATTGGGCCCTGGAACACCCTGAAAACACAGGTAGCACATCAGGGATACAAAACTAACTACTGGTCCACCAAAAAGGCAAGCTATCATAAAAAGGAAAGAGGCATGTACTTCTCACTGCACAACAAGCAGAAAAATACCACTTCACCTGGATACCCATTTTACATTATAACCCCGCAAAAAATGGGCAACTAGGTTTATAAATAGCTTAATTACACTTTTAAAAAGAAAGTTTAGCCATATTTCAGTAACTATTAAAAGTCCTCCATGTAGTGTAGTGCTACCACATCAGTGTTGTCACTGGGGAAAATCTCCAGCAAATGTAATACTAGGCTAAAGTCATGAAGAGCACAAACAACTGGAGGTAAAAGCTGCACAACCAATCTGAAGAAAATCAAGTAGCACAAACATCAGTATGCATTTTTGGGGAAACATAAAGAAAAATTCATCCCTGCTTTCATTATCCTAGATACAAAACTTGAGTGTAAGAAGAGGTCCATTTTCCATCTGCTCATTTTGTTCTCCTTAAACATAACGTCTGAGTCCTCTGGTGGAGTGGGGATGTGGGATGACTACAGTATTTTTCTTTGTTTTCTTATATACTTCAGAGTGTGGTAAGCATGCAAGCCTCGTAGAGAGAGGGGCCCGGAGGGGCTGATGGGCGGGCAGGTGGAGTGACAGGCCTAGGCCAGAGCTGGGAAGGCTTCAGGGTCATCAACATTAGGGACTGAGACACCGCTGGCCTGTAAATGGAAATTGTACTTTAATTATATGTATATTACAATCTTAAAAAAGGTAGATAACTCAAGCGGATGAGAAAACATTTGACATGCACTGTAGGGAAAAGCTCATTCAGGGACAGTTAGCATTATCTTTAGTTTCAGGTCTTTGTTATTAGTCAGACAGAAGCTTTTGAGGTTACCTTCTCAGAGCGTCCACCCCCTCGCACTGGTCTGCTGCTTCCCCCGCCACGGCTGCCCCTGCCTCCGCGAGCTCCTCCACGCCCGCGCCCAGGACGACCCAAGTCTCCAAAGTTGATTTCAAGCTGGGATGTGATGTCATTAGCTGGTTTGCGGAAATGATGATCAATAGATTCATCAAGAGTGCCCTGCACAGTAAGAGCATTTTAGGACATAATAAACATTTAATACATCAAATAATGTAATGTAATGCAAATGTGCACTTTATTGTCCCCGTAGGGAAATTCATCCTCTGCATTTGACCCATCCTGATGCCACTAAGGATGATAAACCCCACCAGAGAAACCCTTATTTTTCTCGCAGTTACCGGGGGAAGCAGACTGCCGAGTTGAACTTCTCTACTCATGAAGTGTCTCCACTGAGAACGAATTAAGGTTATCAATCTCATCTTATTTTATCTTATGTGCCCTATTCAGTCAGAGCCGAGAAAGGTTATTCAGAATAAGGAGCAGGGGAGAGCGGGGAATCAGGGATAACAGAAGGGCAGTCCCCATTTCACAAACTGAGAACCCCTGGACATGTGGAAAAAAGTCCTGACAAAGTCCAGGTCAGATCTGGATAACACTTCATCCAAGATAAATATTAATATTTTATGTATAAAATATACTGCAGAGGGACCCATGAGACATCAGAATGAGCTCAAGTCATACACAAAATAACAATTAAGTGCCTTTATGATGTTGTTTTGTGCATTTTTCCAGTGGTCTTGTTATGGGTTTTATGGTTAGTTTTAGGGAACGCCTCACATTAATGTATGTGAATATCAATTAATTTCCTTCAGACCCCTTTAGAAAAATAAAAAATAAATGACAAAATGAACAGAAATGTAAAAAAAACTCCACCTTTTGGTAAAGAGTGTTTGCTTCTACTTCAGCTTCAGGAGGGTCAATCAAAGCTCCAACTGGCCTCTGAAGAGTCAAAAGCATATCAGCAATAACTCTACAAAAACTACACAACCTATAGCGTCCAAATGGCTTACATCTTCACTCTTGGACTTGTGCAGCACGTATCCTTTCTTCCACTGGCTGTCGGCTCCTTCGTTGGGTTTGCGGATGTTGAACTCTACTTTGGTGCGCTCCTTATCTTGCATGGCCTTCCACTCATCTAGTGTCATCTCTTTGGGGCCTTCATTCTTCACTTCTTCGACCTCATTTTCTCTGAAACAAGTTATACAGACTTGAGGTCAGTCTGGACATCAAAGCATTATTCTTGGGTTGAGGCAGCAGCCTGACAAAAGCCCTCATTAACATTGTGGTAAAACTGCCATATGTCATGTCAAATATCTATCCATATGCAAGTGTAGGGGAATTCAACAAGCCTCTCAAAACAAGTTTTCATTCCAACCAAGTCCAAAAACTTGCACCCACACAGGCCCTTTTGGACAGAGTTAAACCATGTACGAGAGGGAGCGTGGTATTTATGATGAACATATTTGCAGAGCTGATTCCAGCGCTAAAGTAGCTGTAACTGCTGATGTACAGATGTACAGAATACGGCCAAAAGCAGCCATCTTCAAAGCAGGAAATAATCAAGTATTCTATAAAATTGAGAACTTAGTTCCAGACCCAGACCAGACCCAGACCAGGTCAGACCAGGCACAGGAGGCTCTTTTGTCTTAGTTCATGCCTTTTCCCAATTTACCAATAATCGTATAAAAAACTTTGAAAAATACAAACAAAAAAAACAATTGTGATTATGTCATTCTGATCATACATCTACATTGTATGCACATGTAAACAAACAGCAGTTACATAACACTCAAATCATCCAAATATTTATCAATGTAGGTGCTCAACTGGTAGTGCTATTTTAGTGATTGTGTCGAACATGGTTTACTAACGGGAATTTGCGTGTATTATTAGTAAGAGTAAGTATCTTTTATATTAAATGGACCTGAAATAAAATGTTACATTTAAAGCGTTTTATGGCCATAAAGATGGCCTCTTCAAATAAAACACCATCAAATAAATCATCTAAACACAAAATCTGTTCTACCCGTTACCCGCTCAGAGGAACCATTGTTTTTCTCGCAGTTACCGGGGGAAGAACTTCTCTACTCCTGAAATGTCTCCACTGAGAACGAATAAATGTTATCTTATTCAATCTCATCTTATTTGATCTTATGTGTCCTGTTCAGTCAGAGCCGAGAAAGGTCATTGCATCAGTTTCAGGCTGAGGCAAAAAGAGATACTTATAGAGCTGTTTATGGTCTTATAGACCTTATGCAGGGTTGGTATCTATTAGAAATACAGTTTTCATATTGGAAATAACTACTAAAAGGTATCAACATATTTTTTTGTTCAATCACCCCAAGCGAGGAACAGAGAATTTTTATATCTGTCCCACACATGAATCATGGAAGGCTTGACGCTGTACAATAGCAACAGGGCTCTAAAGCCGCATTCAGACCGGATCATGCGTTGCGTCGACTTTCAATGCAAAGTCAATGGTGACGTGCGTTCGAGCGTGGAACTGCATGTGCGTCTCGGGATGCACGCACGGACTGCGCGGTAGAGACGCAAGAGCGGAAGAGCGGAAAGATTTAAGTTAATGACATTCCACATTTCTCATCCCCATAAAAAAAACCATAGTTTTGGTCTGTGTCTACTACAGAAAGACAGAATGTTAATTTATTTATTTATTTCAGCTCAAGTTTGTATTATTTTTACTTTTTTGCATTCAGCAGCTGGACAGATGAGGATAACTCGGAGGGTTTTTATTTTTGATGTTTTTAGCGGACTGCACATTGCAGAGATGAAAAAAGTACTTTTACATTTTCAACCCTGGAAGGTGGTTTCAGAAGTTCTTGTTTTTAAACACATTAACACATCCATAGACCAACAAGGACCCTTGGGTTTTGTCTAAACCAGGGGTGCTCACACTTTTTCAGCATGCGAGCTACTTATCAAGTAGAGGATCAAGTCAAAATGATCTACCTACTACAAAAATGCAAATCATATATTTCAAAAAATATTCTTTATATCTACAATGTATGTTTATGTACATGCAAAACCGCATGAGCCAATATAGCACAACACAACACAATTACCTATGTACATTTTTCGTCATTACCCGAGTTTACTCTGATGACTTGCACTGAATTGAATCGGCCAGGGATGCATAGTCCGGAAAATTGGTGGTAACTCGCTGACAAGTTTGTCATGGTTTAGCTTTCCTGCACTGTGCGGTTGTTTGCGCATGTACAGTCACCTAAGTGTCAGTAAAACATTACTGAGTAAAACACAGATGTCATTTGACTGTGGTGCCATGTCCATGTGCCATGCCTGTTTTTTTTAAATCCAAATATTTCCCCTCCTCCGTTTATAAAATAATTTGCATCCACACATCTGCGTTATCAATCACATTTGTAACATTCCAAACATGTGCGTCTCTTACGTCCTCCTGTCCTGCGTTGGGGAAAAACACAGAAGTGGGCGGAGCTTTGATGCAGACGCCGGTAACGGCACTTTTACAGTCATAGAAGACACTCAGAGTAAAGAGTAAGACGTATGTTTACAAGCACTGACCCCGTCCTCAGCCCTGGTTTAGTCCTGGTTTAGTCCTGGTTTAGTCCTGGTTTGGTTGTTTTCAAGCGTGAGTCCCCGCGATCACTTTGCTGCTCTCTGATGTGGAGCGCTGCTGCGAGCATCTCACAGCGAACAGTTTTTAAGGTAGTATGATCCATGCTTCGGTGATCAGAGGAATTTAGGGGGGTACTGTGGCGTGCGAGAACGCAAAACTCCGGTTATCTCTGTCTACACACAAATGCATTAACGGAGTTTTCAAAAATCTCCACTTTGCCCGGAGTTTTTTGTATATATTCGTTTAGAATGTGTAATTTTTTTATTTATTTAATGCGATCTACCAATACTACCTTTGCGATCGACTGGTAGATCGCGATCGACGTATTGAGCACCCCTGGTCTAAACAATATGGACCACTGGAAACATTATGCTTTTTATTTGTGGCCATTGTGTAAATGGGGCCTCAATGACAAATGCAACCCCAACTGCACTTAAATACTCACAAGCACTCGTTTTAAAATAAATTCATTTGACAAAAATATTTGAGACAGAGGCTAGCAGAGCCTTTGTTCTTTTAAAATGTGATAATGCTCAAGTAGTCGCTGGATTTTGTTTCCAAATGTATGATTCACAAACCAAAGGTAAATAAATACTCACTTGTTTTCAGAACCAGCAGGAACACTCTCCTCTCCCTCGAGGGTGGTCTCAGGAGCAGGTGTGGGTTCAGTCTCACTGAAATTTTAATTCATAAAATTTATACGTTTTCACAAATAGTTCATAAAAGAACTGGGCTCTTGTTGCCAGCAATATGAATTTTTCTAACCTGATCTCATCCTTTACAGTTCCCCAGGTGTTTGAACCAGTGCCACCACGCTTTTCATCACTCTTCTGGATGCTGGGGCAAAAACAATAAGAGTATTTGGTATGTGCATTCTAAAAATTGCATGCGATGAGAATTATTTAACAAAACGTACGATTTGTCATTGCCGCTATGTCTGTCAAAATCTCGCTTCCCACGAGAATCAAAACCTTCTCCTCCACGACCCATTCCCCGTCCTCGCCCACCGCGCCCACCCCGGCTGCCACCACGCCCTCGCAGCGGCCTGTCTCCAGAAGGCCTACATCACACAGAACATACAAATACAAGAGCATATTGTTGAGCGCCTTCATTCATCCTATCTGTCCATTGTCCATTATACAAATCAGTACCCACAATACATTATTCTTAACATCTTCAGCTGACCACACACATTCTATGTGGTTTTTAGATGCTTCTCAAATAGGATCCTAATTGTTGTAGTGTTTCACAGCACTCCCTGCAACTAACGAGTGTCTGTCATGAGTACAGTAGGTAAACACGTTTACAGTTACAAATACTGTATTTGTCTCAAAACAAATACAAGGTTTAGAGGCAGCTCTTTGTCCTTTCCAGAAAAACAAGTAAGCAAACTTTGCATGTATTGCCTTGTAAAATAAACTGATACAAATAGAAAGGGAGCCAGGGACAGAATTATTCATTCAGTACACACAACGTTATATATTTAATGTTTGGGGCATCCCTGCAAGTTCAAAGTTGTGAGACCTTAACAGCATAAGGACAGAATCTAATGCATGTCACTACAATCTGTGATGTCAATCCACAAAAGGGATCTAGTTTAAATACAACTCAATACTTTTTACAACCAGACTACATCTCGCATCTCACTCACTTGTCTGCAGAGAACTCGCTCCCTCCTTCGGGCTTTTCCTCAGGTTTGTCGAAGCGTCGCTCTCGAGGAGGTCTCCGGTCAGGCCTCTTGTCGATAGGCCGCCCCTCCACTGGTCCACCTTGATGCTGAGGACCAGGCTGGCCCGGCTGCTGGCCCTGCTGCTGGTGGCCCTGCTGATGGCCTTGCTGCTGGTGGCCCTGTTGATGCCCCTGCTGCTGGTGACCCTGCTGATCCGGTCTTCTGCCGACTCGTCTGATACCTGTCAATCACAGAGCCACACAGGTCTGTCAACAGTCAGGCACGTGTCATGTGACATTTCAAAGTCAACATCAGTGAGCAGCGTGGTGTGGATGTTTATGCCTGGAGGGAAGTGAGGTCATATATAAACAACAGTCCTGTGTCTGACATGACCTCTGACAGAGCCTGTTCTGCAGAACTTCTGCACTGTACACACTAGAGTGTGCAGGGACATGCTGAAGGTCTAGTATTGGCCTGTCCACAGCTTTGCCCAACGGCAGTTGGAGCTAAATAACCTAGCAGAACCTTCACATGACAGAAATACAGACGCTGGCGGGTCACGGACCGCTCTTACCTTCTTTCTTCAGTGGGGCAGGGGGCTGGGACTCCTCCTTTTTGTCCAGCAGCGGTGTTTTCCTGTCCTTCTGAGACTCTTTCTTCGGCTGCTTAGCTGCTTGAGCTGCAGTTTTAGTTGAAGCAGCAGCGGCCGCCTCTTTCTTCTTGCTCTCCGCCGCCTTCAAGATCTCGTAGGGGTCGGTCTCGTCGTCCAAGAGCTGGTCGAACCGGTTGGTCACGACGCAGCCGAAGCCTTCCTGCAGGTGTCCGGGCATGATGGCGCCCCTTCAGCGGGATTCTCCTCCGATTCTACGAGGCTTGATGCGAACAACTAACGGGATACTGCCACAAGATGGCTGGGAGAGCTGCCCCTTCTCTTCCGGTGCAAGCACCATCCGGGACACCGCGCGGCCCACCAATCTGTGCACGAGCTGCGCAATGTTGTTATTGACATTATGTAATCATGTGGTCCGCTGTCACAGTCCCAGCTGTAATCTGGGACCACGTGTCCTGTGTCTGTGGTCCTTACAGTAACGAGGGGAGAGCCTCAGGGGACGAGTATGGAGCCTTGGACATAATCAATTTAAGCAGTTCTGTCATAATAAGCACTCATGTAAGCTTCTTAAAAATCGTTTAAAAGTTGTTTAGTTTACTGTATATAAATACAACATTATCATGAAAACTATACAAACCAAAATATTGACTGCCAGCCGTTTTTGATGATTTCACTGATTTTCAAGGCCCACAGAATAATGTGTGCTGTGACTATGTAAAATTTGAAACCAGATTCTGAAAGACTGAATTGTCTACTTTCATCAGCAAAAATAAGTTTGTTTCTTGCTAGTTTGGTTCTCCTGTAATCCTCCGTCGAATAGAGAGAAGTTTGACAGAAATCGCCAGTCTCAGACAAATACGTCAATGGCAGTCAATGAGTTAATAATGTTTATTGTAAATCTCCATACAAATATACTGAATGCAGTTAAGTATCCTTTTTGACAGCTTATTGAGGCCAATTGAAAAAAAAAAATTGAAATGGCTGATTTGCCATTAAACCCACAAATGTGCATAATAAATGTTCAATAATCATAGTAATAACAAAAGTGATGATGTCACAGATCTCTTCTGACTTCTTTTTCAAGTTCAATAAGGTCCAAATAAAGAGTCTTGGACATCAAGTCATCCACATCCATCTAAAAGACAAAACACAAAGACTAAATTATTTTTAAGGACATTCACTTCTCAGTGAGGTCAAATTGTAAAACACTGTAAATTTGAAGTTACTGTAGACTAGAGACACTGAGTGACAGTTAGAAGAGGTCTCAAAGTACCAAAGGGGTACCAATACTATCACATATCAGAGGGCTGAGAGATTATGGCAAGTCATAATCATGACAAATGGAGTCATGTACACTATACTTTCTACTATACTAAGAGTTTCTCTGTATACAAGGTATACAAAGAAACTGTATAAATTAAAATATGGTCTTGTTATTGGTCTGAATAGTTGTAATAAGACGCCGCTGCATCATATGCCCTCAATAAGAGCAAAAGCTTTATTCAAACCAAAACATGTCAAAATATACAAATTTTTACCCAAATCTTGTGACCACATTGGATGTGTTTTTGGTTGATGGAGTGCGTTCAGTGGCTCAGTTGGTAGAGCGTTGGCCTGTGAGCCTGAAGGTTGTGGATTCGTGCTCACCACAAGACCTTATCTTTAATGTGATTATTTGTTTTATAGGTACAATGTGTTAGAGAACTGTGTTACCTGTAAGGTTACATGGGACATACTTTAGTTGAGATCACTTACTTTTCGAGGTTGTGTATAGTTTTTTCCTAAGCCTGATGTTAAACTGTGGTACTTCGATCTGGGATCTAGACTCTGAGGTTTTTGAAGGAACAGCCAGTGCTAAGGAAAAAAACATTTTTAATTAATACATTTTTAGAAAAAACAGAATAACCAATTATGATCTGAACCATTGTACCAGTGCTTCAGCCCCATTAAATGGAGTTATAGTGAATGTATTGGTGAATAGCCTTATCTGTTGAAGACATGAAAATAAAATTATAGATTAAGATAACAAGTCCACAACAACAATCAATTATAAATAATGATTTGAATTTAACATACCAACCACATTATTGGCATGATTAATGTCCAAAAGAAAGGGGGCAGAATACCATAAGTCAGATTTGTCATCACCATACCAGGACATACAACAGACGAATACAGGCCCTGCCAAAATAATTCAAATGATATTATAAATGAAACAGAGTAAATACGTGGGAGTAATGAAGGCTTGCCTGGTTGTTCATGTGCTGGTTCAGAGCCAGACTGAGCAGGTCCGAGGCATACTTAGAGGAGCTATAGGGCTCTTTCCCCTCTTTGTGCTGGATATCCTCCAAGCTGAAGGCAGATCTCCGGGCATTACTAGAAGATGTCCAAATGACACTGGATGTATGATCAGACTGGCAAAGCAGCGGCTCCAGCTCTCTAATCTGCAAAGCAAATAAGTGAGGTAATCAAAGTACACAAAACCATTGTGTTTTCTAAAATATCTTACCAATAGAAAATGACCGAAAAGGTTAGTCGTAAAAACCTCTTGGAGCCCGTCAGAGTTAACCCGGTCCTGCTGAGTCAGAAGACCTTCAGCTGTTGCAAACATATGGATGACATTCCTACAGAAAGATGAAGTATGTGACACAGAAATGTTTTGTTTTGCAATAAGGTAAACATACCATACCTGGAAAAAAGACCTTTAAAAAGTGCCTTGAAGTCCACTTGCGGATTTGGCATAATTCCAGCATTCAGATACAAAAAGTCAACCTTGCTGTACCTGAACACAGTATGATTTAAATATGTTGTGGACATCTTTTCTTTGTGGAACAGAAACCACATGTAAATAATGTATAATAATCTCAATTCTGTCACTTGTGAAAAAAAGTAGAAACATATATACAGGAAGGAAGATTTTATCCCCCAATTTATTGGTTCAGATTCAGTTCCAAAAAAACAAACAAAAAACAGCTACTGCACAGAATCTAATAAACTTTCATACTTTCACTTTGCAGTTGCTAGAGTAAAAAAACTAGATAGAATCTTGTGTCAAATTTGTCAGTTAAATTATATTAGTGAAATGAGTGGTTTAACCTGCCTCATGCACTTTAAAACTGGAGCACCTAACTTTCCAACCACAAAAATGAACCTACGGAATCAAAATCCATCAAACTCGTTCCACTCTCTCAAAAGTTTGGTTCATCCACGCATGTATTTTTTGGCCTCTGTCACATCTTTAGATCAACCCTCTTTTCAGACAGAGCAACAAGAACGTTTACCTGGCCCGAAGCTCCTGAGCAGCGGTGAGCACAGACTGGACAGAGCCTACGTCCAGCTGCAAGAGGTCCACGTGGGCTCCTGGGTGAGAGGCTTGGAGGGCAGAGCGGGCCGCCTCAGCTCTCTGCATGTTTCTACAGGCCAGACACAGGTGAACTCCAGTGTCTTCTGTGAGCAGTCTCTCACACAGCGCCAGACCAATGCCACTGTGGACAAAAGTTTATTTAATTTTACTTTATCAACATTATGGACATTATTGTGGTCATCTGCCCCTTATGGAACAATGTGTTTTACCATAGTGTTTCTTGTGTTTGATTCTCTGATCTGTGTTGGCAAATTCAACAGTTTTGATAAGTCCTCCGAGATAACTACTGCTGTGATTTAGCTCTATACAAGAATAAATTGAATTGAAGTTCAAGAGAGAGGAGCGCCACAGTGGGTCAATTTCTGTCAGGCGCTCATCAGGATCAGCAATGAAAAAAACACTGGGTAACCTTGGAGACAGGAGGAAATCCGAGACACTCTTGACAGCAAATAAAAAAATCCTTTATGATCTACTCAGCATAATAAACAATATAATCAGTATGTGAAAAAATGAAATAAATACAGATGAATGCATAATTCTGAAATGCCTTTATACAGGGATAATCAACCAGACACACAATTATCGACTCATAATCAGAAATGCACATAAAAAGGTATATAGTCACAAAACATGCTGTACACTTTGAATTGGAGCTCCTGAATTAAAATCATAATACTAAAAAAACAATCCTTTAGTGCACACAAAGATGTAAAGTTATAAAAATTACATCCAGGTCTCCTCATAGAGTGTGATGTCCTCATTATGGACATCACACAGGGACAGTAATAGTCAACATCTTCGAATGGAGGTGTGTTGGTGACAAAACCTTTCTTTCAGTAACAATTGAATAGGTTTGAGAACTCTTTGGATAACAAACAAATAGCTAGATATTTTTATAAAGCTGTAGTTAGGGCCTTTGATGACTAATTTACACCAACTAATTATAAGTGGGAACAAACTCTACAAAGAGAAAGACCAAACTCCAAAAGTCTGTCTGCATTTTCTATAGTAAAGAATAGTATAGCTGTGTGATGTGTCCGGGGACAGGGACTTTTTAATGGTAGAAAGACCATATCACTGACCCAAAACATTCTTTGAAAAACTAGATATTTCACTTCTGCGTTTAGAGTTCAAATTGGTCAAGGCTCATTACAGAATGTTTGACTAAGAGGGACACGTATGCATTTTAATCTTATACATTTACAGGAATTTGATATATTGTTATATTGTATCCATTGATTGATAAAAAGTGACAATTTGAGTAAAATCCAGTTGTACCCCTACTCTGAGTATGTCAGTAAGGGTTTAATCAGTAAAGCAATCTCAAAATTGTTGTTGTTTCTGTCTAAACAATATTTACAGTCTATGGTGTAAACTAGTGTTCACAGTAGTAAGAGCTCTGGGTCTTCTCTGTCTGGTGCACACTGGCGTAGGCTTGCAGTTTTTCCAATATGGTTTTACTGTAAATGGCAAATAAATTCGTGCATCTTGTATCAAAAGAACACATGCTGTCTCAGTGTTATTTTAGATCCATGGTCTCAGTCTACCTGTGCACAGCCCGAGGAGGACAGATCACTTGCCTGTTTGCGCCGGTGACAATGACAAGCCGCTCCATCTTGAACACGACTCCACACAGACAGAGAAGGCTTGAAAACGATACAACTCAGTGACGAAGGCTGTACTCTGACATCGTCCGATTCCAACAGTACAAACATTCAGCCAGCTACTTTTCGAGCAGGCGTGGCGTGACCGCGCGTAAAACACACGTCATCACGCAGACGACCAATCATCTTTGACTACAACCACCTGACACATGTACACAAAACTGCATACAAAAACAATCATTTTATTTGTAAAGTTGCTTGCATGCTCGTCAATGTGCAGTCAATATGTAGTCATTTATATGTTGCACTGGATACATTATTTACACATCACACATATTTACAAAAGAGCTTCAAAAACTGGTTGTGCAAACTATAAATTAATCTACATATACAATAGTATAATAAATACATGGTGTTTGAATAGCCCTTCATTCTTATTATGCCAATGCATTGTTTTATTTGCCAGATGCCTCAGAGATAATGTGCTCTATAGCTTTTGCAGGCTCTCCATCAGACACAGGTGTATCTCTTCAAAGCTTGGCCTCTGTTTGGCATTTCTTCTCCAGCAGCTCAACATGAGCTCATTGTAGACTGAATCAGGACAACAACTGGGTTTTGTAAGGTAAACCTGCAAAACAAAGATAACAGAGATTAAATATTTCAGATAAAACATCAAGTATCTCTGCCATGAAATGAGAAGCTAATATAAATCCTAAAATGCAAACCTGTTTCCCTTTGTCTCTGAAAAACTCTCCTGTGTTTTCAATGACTTGCTCATCAGAAAGATGTGCATAGGGCTGCAACTTGCACAACGTCAAAATTTCCCATAGAGTCACTCCAAAAGCCCACACGTCACTGGCCATGGTGAACTTTCCCTAAAGACAAATGTTTAAAAAGGCGAACGTAGATAAAATGAAAACAAATGAGGAAAGTATTTCCAGTGTACTTTCAGAGCGTGCCACCATGGATCTAGCGTGCCACTCACCAGAAGGATGCTCTCCCAGGACATCCAGCGAATAGGCAGCACAGCTCTGCCTTGGATCCTGTAGTAATCTCCACGATACAGGTTACGGCTCATACCAAAGTCTGCTATTTTTATGGTACAGTTCCTACCAACCAGACAGTTCCGTGTGGCCAAGTCGCGATGAACAAAGTTTAGTGAAGATAAATACTTCATACCAGAAGCGATCTGTACTGCCATGTCCATCAGCTTGCTATAGCTGAAAGAACACAAAGTATGTCATCATGTAAATCAACACACACCATTATACTATAGAAAGAATACGGTTACTTGACTGTGGTCTCTCCCCCGGCCTCATATCCAGGCGTTGTCTCATCAGGGAGTGACAGCTTATGAAGAAACTGATTAAGATCTCCATTCTCCATGTACTCTGTGATCATGCAGAGGGGGTCGGTGTCTACACAAACGGCCAACAGGCGCACAATATTTGGATCTCTGAGACATGACATGATGCGTATTTCCTTCAAAAAATCGTTCCTGTTACACATGGAAGAGGCATTTTTTAGAAAGCTAGAGACAACGCTCACTTCCCTGATGTTTAATCAGGAAAGTGTTGTCTCTGTACAATACGACAAAAGTTCACCTTGCATTTTTGTTTGCATCTTCTCGTAGTGTTTTAACAGCAACAAGTAACGGGGATTCAGTGTTTTCCTCTGATAAGTCTGCATCGAGAAAGTCCTGCATGTCCTCAGCTTCACATAAGTGCACCTGTGTTCAAAACAACCATCCGTTATGCCCTGACAGACATTTAATGCCCCTGGTTAGATCTTTTGACACTATTTATAATAATATAAATAGTAATACAAATAAAAACAAAAGTAATATTAATAATACCCATAATGATAATAATCATAGGTTTATAGAAGAATGTTATACTTCCGGGTGGATCATCCAGGCTAATAGTCCTCGCAAATGACAATCATTCAGGTGATACATGCTCGTCAATTAAGACCAGTTTTGTCCAAAAATGTAGGTTCTTTCCTAAAATCTGGAAAAATCCTCCTAAGTACATTAAAGATATCTATATAAATATAGATAATCTATAACAATTGTATTAATAAACATATATCTATTTGAGATGGAAGTGTTAAACTGGGTCCACACATATTAGAATATCTTTCATTTACATATATGCACTATATGCATAGTATTTATATACTATGCACAGCAGCATCGTCTATAAATATACTATGGTACAGAGTGTTTAGTCATATTCATCATGATCTAATTGAGCATTTATTATAAAGTGTAAAAGTACTTCTCCAAACTGTCCTTCTCCGAGCTTCTCTTTGAAGGAGAGCTTGTGTCGAGGAAACTCTTTCATGGATGAGTCGAACATGTTGACAGTGATGGAGCATTGGTCTGAGGACTCCTGCAGACTGATGATGTCTGCCTCTGCGTAGTGAGGAGGGTCTGGACCGCCTGCCAGCCTTTTGCATGATCTGTGACCTGCAACCAGACCAGATATACATCAGAAATCAAATCACCAAAACTTGTCATGTAATTAAGCTTCTTTTTCTTATTAGAAGAATCGTCTAAGCTTTAAGACCCTAGTACATCGGACAAAAACACTTTGTAGACAGTGTTTTACAAGAATTTTGGGATTCAAATGATATGAATAGTATACTCTGTATTTAACATGGTGTTTAAGCACCTGTCGTCTCATTGTCAAGGCTTTCCATGGAATCTGCAAATTCAGCGAGTTTTCGGACAAATCGAGAAGGCTCCTGGTAGTCCGCACAGAGGGGGAAGATCCTCTCATATGTGGAGTTCATGGTGGAGCCGCCTTCGCTGGACAGAGACGAATTGTGGAAGGAGAAGTTCTGTGTTTGGAAAGCCAGGCGAGCAGTCAGCTCATCATCAAGTATTCGTCGAGAGGCCTGAAGAAAGGGACATTTTGCTTAAGATTAGGAAACTTCAAATCATTATTTGGAATCATTTTTGGAAGCTCACCTTTTCCAGCATTTTCTGCCACACCTGACGCCAAAAAATAATGACAATGATTGTCATTAGGATAGCAATAATTGCCACCAAGCATCCAATCAGGATTCGAGTGTTGCTATCATCCACTTTATGTGTGGGATCATCCACTGGAAAACAAGCACAGGGCATAGTTAAAGAGCATTGACTGTTTTGTATATATGACTGTAATGATATAAGGGACATCAACGTTACATTTTATATATATAATACATCTTTTTAATATTTACTAGACTACCAGAAGAGGGCACTGTTGATATACAAAAGTCAGACTGATGCACTAAGAGACCAAGTGATACAATTACGCAAAGGATAAATCTTTATTCTTTGATCTTTGTTTGTATGAAATACCGGGTATGTTCGTTGGATGTCCTTGTTTGCGAGCTGACCTGGAGGTATTGTACACAGCAGATCCTGCAGTTCAAACAAAGTAGTTAATGCTTGCTAGTTGAACCTATAAAATGCAGATATTTTCTTAGTGAATGTCCAGTGAAAGCCCACTCTCTGTTATCTGTTATCTGTGCTCACCAGACTGGAAAGCCACCTCACTGAACAGCATCCACAGGTCTGCAAAGTGGAAGCGGCACTTGATGGTGCTGGCAGTGCGGTCCCCCAGAGGCACCGTGACAAAGCGGGCCCTTTGACTGGCCCGGTCCACCGTGGGACTGAAGGACACCGGCGGAGACTCCCACTCGGACCCAGAGCGAAAGAAGCAGGTCGCCTGCCTGAACACACTCACGCCTCGAGTGAACATGTTATTGCAGTGCACCTGAGGGAGAGAAGTCCAGCTACAAATGTGATGATTGAATAATGATCAAATACACCTCACTTTGTAGTAGTAAGTAAGTAATCTTTATTTATATACCGCCTTTTCACTGCACATCGGAGTCTCAAAGCGGTTTACAATTGTTTTTTTGTTTTTTTGGGAGTGGGGGGGCCAGTACAGGAGGCACATGCCAGACCTATTTTACATATTGTTAGTGTTAGGTTTAGCTGTGAGAGAACTGTACATGTAGTGGGATTGGTCAGAGTTTGTTGACAGACATATTCCCTCAGTCAGCCTCAGGTCAGCTGTGGCTACAGGAGCTATGTAAAACTACCAATAACAATGAATGCAATGTAGACAGTGGTTCAAAAAAGGAAAAGTTTTTCACAGTATATCACCTATTAGTGACCATAAGTGAACAAGAGAAAAGTAAATTAAGAATACAATGATAGTGCAAGTTTTGAGACTATTCAGCAGTGGGTCTGATTTCATGCATACTTATGGGCTCCTCGATTGAATTCATACAACACTAAAGTAGGCCATTAAAGATGTGAAATAAGAAACAAATATATGGTGAGACAAGTATAGAAGTTAAAGAGGATTTCTGCCTGTACCTCCCAGGGCTAAAATTACGGGCTGCAAACAACAAGGCACAGAATAGAATGTTACTTCAGGATTGTCAAAACTAATTTATGGGCCATATTAATGTTTCAAAAGGCAGAAAACTGCTCTGGGTGTGATATCTTAGTGGTTCAGTGACCTCATTCTATTTATTATTAGGACAGAGACAGGAGCTTTTAGCTAGAGGAGGCAGAGTAACATGTTTGTGCCAGAAGTTTTTGCGTGGATGGATCTAAAAACAACTGCAGGTCTGTTTTTGATGAGAACCAGAAACATTGATTTAGCTTATTATGTCGTCTTTATAACATGGAAACAGAGATGACCCTTTTTCCCCTCTTGTGTAGAAAAAAAATCATAGTTTGACCTTACTCTCCAAAAACCTTGATCTTATCTCTCATTGGCCTCATGCATGTCTTAATTGACATTTACCTTGATGGAAGTGAAGTTTCGAATGTGGTCAAAGTCAAAGATCATTTCGACGTAGCCTTTGGGGAAGCTCTTGTTGTTCCAGCCCACATAGTCGTAGCCTGGCCACATGCCGTAAAAGTGGCTGTGAAGGAAATCGTCCAAACCCCACGTCCCATCAGTGAGCTGACCGAGGCCCTTTGTCAACCTGCATCACAAATTGAGTCAGGAAAATGACATTCCAGGTGTGTTTTATGTCATGATCTTCAAGGCAGGTAATGGGAAACCTTTCTGCCGATGCTCCGTCATATACAGAGTCATTCAAGTAGACATCTATCCCTCGGTAAATCATCTGGTGTCCGTCTGGGAGGCTGTATGATATGAGACCATCTGATGTAAACAAAACAGTGCATTTTAGACTACAGATGCTTGATTAGAAAGAATGCACCATACCTATTGTGTTTTGATAGTCATTTAAAGCCAATTTTCTCATATGGGTATTTGGCACGATGGGGTGACCTACTCTCTGTAGCAAGTGTGCAATATGACCAACATATTTTGTACTGTGGGCCTTGTTATATCTGTATTGCTGGTCAACATAATAATCTATCATTGTAGCCTTGTCTCCTCTTGTTCGATATGGAGGGACTCAAAAATAAACCATGTACAGGTGCAATCGCTGCTGTCTTGACCTCATTTCTTGAGATCCAATGTGTTGTTAAGGCAAGCTGGAATTTAAACGAATGAAGGCATCTGATAGGTAAGTTATTATGGCTCATATTTGGATTTACAAATACAATATTACACTAAAATTAGCAGGATCATAAAATGCTAAACTACAGTTATTTAAGCCCAAAATTGTGAGTGTGACATGAATGGTTACTGAGCTAGAGGCGCTAACAGTACTTTTGAAGGTAAGTCAACGGGAGCCAAAGAAAATTGGAGCAAAACTTTAAACATTTAGCTTGTGTGTAAGCATTGACCATCTACATACAGTCTATGATGACAACACACATTCCTGTGCTGTCAGAGTGTGTGGAGGAAAAACCGTCACTGGGTTGGAATTCATGCTAAAGTCATTATTCAAGACTGTTAATATACATTATATATATATGTATGTATATATATATATATATATATATATATATATATATATATATATATATATATATATATATATATATATATATATATATATATATATATATATTTATTTATATATTATATATAAATATATATATTTTATTTATTCATTTATAGGATAAGCCCCTATATGGCTTTGAAACATCACTGACCCAGCCATTCACATCCGTAGAGCTCCACTCTCATACACACAATCATTGAGTGGTCGGTCACTGGCATGAAGCGCACATAACGGGCGATAATGGGAGGTTCCAGATCCTTCAGAACCACGTCATATGCATTCTTGTTTCCCTCAATGACCTGGAACCAAAGGAGAAGTTTTTTAGGATTGATAGTTAAAGAAATTCAAGTCACTTAAGTTGAAAAGTAATTTAAAACCGGTGTCCTGTCGAGTTGCACATGCGCTAAACTTTACTTACTTGTCTTCCCTTTCTGTCATGCCAGCCCACCCAGCTGCTTCCATCGCGACTGTAGCTGATGCGGTATCTTTGGGCAAACTCGTTACCCATTCCGTCGGCATGTCGCCCTTGGGTGCCCACTAAAGTGATGAAGTGGAGTGAGCGGAGGTCCACCTGGAGGTATTGTTTTAAACCATCTGGTTCAGACATGATGTCAGGGCACCAGGCACCGTCCCCATCACTGTTGTCCAAGTCCAATCTGGAACAGGGGTAAAGATATTTAAGGCTGTAAGGCTCAGTGTTTGTATGAAAATGGGTAAAGTAGTATTTAACTCTTTCCACATGGACAACATTCAGAAACATCTCAGGTGCAATATGTTGGAATGTATAGCTTTGCTTGTAAATGTCTTTTTCTGGCTATGGTTTTTACGGCTGCTGTACCTGCAGGAAGAATGCATTCCTATAGTTTGAGCTTAACATAAAAAAACTCAACAAGTCAAAGTCAGAAATCAAAAGTAAAGGTTTCACACCATCATGCAAGCCGTATCTGAAAGCTTTGATGTCAAATGGTCAGTGAGATTTTGGAGCCACTGTGCATTATAGATATGAATATATTTATGTCGGCTGTGGTCAATCCAGAATTACAGCAGAAGATCAAAGGGACTGACTTGAGATCAAAAGAACCAGCCTCTGACAGACATACTAATTTTGGTTAATTGTTCTTATTGAACTGTTATTCCTATTTCTGACCCAGTCAATCTGAAGATCTACACACCTCCCAAACCGCGCTGCCGTCGACTCAGACCACTGACTTGAAGCTGAGATGTCCTCATCGTGAATCTTTCCACCAGTCATACCGAGGGGATAGCGACACACTTCTAAAACAAGAAATACAACAGCATTATACATTATAACCTAGATTTAGTGTCAGAGCTTCCACTGAGTCCGAAAAAGTATAAACCAGTTAAAACATCAAGAGCACTGCGATGATGAAAAGTGTGTAAGATCTTCAATATTTACACACTTTCTACATTCACTACATGCACATTTCAATCATAGCGTCAGTGCGCTCCCTTCTCCAGCCCCAAGTTCCTTCCTGCTTGGTTTAGTGTGGCCTCCATCTGAACAGAGGCATCAGTGTGTAAGTCAGAACCAGAGAGGAGTGGTCTCATAGAAGCAGCTTTGCAAATGTTAATATTGCCTTTACATTAGTCGACCAAAGAAATGCATACACAATCTCAAACACAAGTACAATATGTTGAAATAATATATACATTTTCACAGAATTCACTTTTTTTACAGTTTGAAAAATAAATGCACTTTTGCTTCACAACAAGAATATTGTGAGTTTGATTCCACCTCCAGATGGTGCCTATCTGTGTGAAGTTTGCATGTTCTCCCTGTGTTTGCATTGTTTTTTCTCCAGGTTCTCTGGTTTCCCCTATAATAAAAACATGTACAATAGGTCTGGCATGCCACTCCTGTGTTGCAACCCTGTGTCTACTGAGTGGAATAAGAGGAAAAATGCCCACAACAATGTAAAGCCATTTGTGAATGTGAAAGGTGCTTCAAGTAAAGATGACTTACTATACTAAACATTTTAGTTTTATACTAAGTTTTTTTTCATTTGAAATTAGAAATGCCGTTTTCAAGACTTTTTTTCTTGTGCGTGTGTGTGTATGTGTGTGTTTTTCTTTTTTTCTAAATTCCATCTCCTTTTTCTAAAATCCATCTCCTGATTAATTCCCTAAAATGTGACACAGGATTATTGAGGGTTCAAAGTTGGTCCTAAGTGAACCATACTTCTCTTTAAAGCGCATTTGACGGTTTAGTCTTTACTTTTTACAAAACACAGTTAAAATTAATTGAGGAATTGCTAAAGATGTCATCCCAGTTTGTCCATGTTTTTTATCATATCATTCTTCTTTCTGGTTGTAAATGATGGCATCGCTAAATGGATGTTGCCAAACTGGGCCAAAACTCCTGGAACGTATATAAAGAACATATGTGTTGACATCAGAAGAATTCAGTGAAGAATCCAAAAAATGACTGTGTTACTGTTATTATCAAAAACAACAATGTCACCAATGTAAAACTATCATTTCTACCCATAACAGAGACACCAGAAAAACACACTGATCGATGTGAAACCAGCAAACAAATTCTCTTTGGTTCTCAGTCACTCACATGATGAGGACTGTTGCATTTGTTTCTGACCTGAGCCGAGTCCACGTGGCCAATAAGTGTGAACGTGCCCTTACCCACTGAACTTGAAGCAGTAATCATAACACTTAGAGAACTTCTAACATCTGCCATAGAAAGTATTTATCCAAACCGACTGCATTTTGAAATCTTGTGGCGACTCACGATATGTTCCACAGTCTGCGATGCCACATGAATGCTCTCAATATCACTTTTATTCATTTTTTATTGCATTTGATAGTTACACAATCAACATGTGTACTACAATTATTATAGATGTAATTGGAATTTGTGATGTATTGTCATGTCCACAATAGAAATAAATAAACAAATAAACATTTATGGCCAAGGCTAATTTGGAAAGTCCGTCCCTAGAAGGGCTTTTAACACAATTAACAGTAAAAGTGTGCGTCTCTGTCTCTGGAGGGAGAGGGCACGTGTCTTACCTGTAACTACGCCTATACACATTTCTCAAACTTCCTCCCTGAATATCTGCAGTTTGTGAATGGGTTTCCTGTTCTTTCACCTTCCCTGCCTGGCCAAGGATAAATCACATGCAGGCACATACAAGGCCACCCACTGAAAACGCCTTCACCCACATGATAAGACGCAAACTGATCTAATACATGCAATTATTGTGTATAGCTTCAAAGGATTTTACACTTTGGTTTAGGTTTTGGTCCTCATTGCTGCATGTCAGTATAATAATAACACTAGAAATAATACGTTTAATTTCTTAGGCGCCTTTCTATGTACTCAAAGTTGCCTTAAATCACAAGTAAAAAGTACTTTTAGTGAAAATACAGATCAAAACATCATGAACAGAGGCGTGGTTATGATGTTAGTGAGAAGGCTTGTCTAGACAGATGAGTTTTGAGGGTGGATTTGAAGAATGTAAGTGAGTTTTGTGTTGCGTGAGTATTAAGCTTTTATGCTGTGGCTTGGGGATATAATGTAGTTTACAACCTTATCATACAAAGTCAACAACAAAAAGCTAATAACAGGAAGCTATAGCTGCCACAAATTACAAAGAGATAAAAATGATTGTCTTATATGAACGGACAGCACTTACCTGGGTTAACTTGGGATTTTACAGTTTGACACAATATTAGGCTGGTGGTAATAACATGATACATCCACTGCATCTCTCTCTCTTGATGCTTGTGCCTGAAGTTTCAGAGCAAAAAAAAAAAATCAAATTATAAAGAAATTAGTTGCGGGCAGTTGTTAGATTTGGCTGAGAGCTGAACAACCCAACGACCCCAGGTAAATCCACACAGAGTCCTTTTTGTGCTATGGCCACAGAGGCTGCAGTATAACCAGCAATTTATGTCCCTCGTAAGAACCATGTCACTTTGGACACATACACAGAACAAAGATACAGTCATATTTGTGCTTAAATGGGCGTTCATCCCCAGCTGTTTTATACATGCTTCATTTAGTTTAATTATTCTATGTTATTATTGTTAAACTTAAGTCATGTCACAAAAAAACCGTTTAGCTCAATATTCCATGATAACTTCAGTCTCATTATTTCTTGATGTGATGTTAGTCTTGTATATTAGCAGCTGGTTTTGTGTGAGAATAATGTATTTATAAGTTTGAAGAGCAGTGAAAATATAATGCCATGTGTCAAAGTAACAAGGAAATGTCTATCCCGTAAGTCTCAAAGTAAGATTGTACAGTTGCTAAAAACAAAACTAAAAAGTAAACATACATAAGAACATGCAATAAGATGTGTCCAATCAAAGATAAAACTTACATTTTGAATTCCTTCTTAATGTTTTGATCATGAATCCATCTGTTTTTGGGGGTTATTCCACATTTGCTTCAATTTAATGCTTTCAGCGAGACTAAGAGCTGACCTCCGTCTGAAGGACCTCGGTGCAAATGGAAAAGACAGGCAGAGCGAGCAGGAGGAAGGCTGATGTAACAGTATTTCTCACAGAGAGAAAATAACATGCTTGGAGATTTTGAGGTGAGGCCAAAAAAATCCCAGAATTCCACCTGATCCACAAACGGTTCCAATTACTCGACTCAGAGAGAAGTCGTCTCTCCAGGCCGACAGCGACAAGGACAAAAACAATGAGCCTGAACCAGACTGTGGAAAACATTAACAACATCTGGGTCAGTATTTTTATTTACCACACTTCAAATTCATGTGCACAGTCCAGATGTGGTTTTCACAAAGAATACTGCAGAAACAGCTGTTTTGGGAATTTCAGCCTGTAATATAATAAGGCAAGAAACTCAGAATAACTACGATTGATGTCATCTCATCTGTAAATAGTGAATACTGCTGTGATGTGTAATACTGCAGTCTCAGAGTGTCCACTGAATGTCACTTTATTCACTATTTATATACCTGCAAAATGATTTTATAGCGCAAATTAACACTATATATAGAGATATATTGATATTTGCTTGCTGTTCTTATGGAGCATTTACAGCTGCTAGCTGTAGCTATACTTGTATTGTACATTTCTACAATTGTCATGTGTGCTGCTGTTTTCCCAATGTGGGATAAATCAATCTAGGGCTGCAATGGGCAAAAAGAAAAGACAAAAACAAATTCAAAGGCAGCCTTATAATCTTGATTTCAAACAATTACAAGTGCAGATAGTTGTGTTTGTCAATTATTATCCTGTTCCAGTTCATAGGAAAATATAATTTTTCCAGGGAATGTAAAGATTTATACCAATGTGACTCAATAATTAATATTAAAGGTGATGTCAGCAGCATAAAATTGTGTTTCATTTTCTAAATAATAATAATAAATATTAATTAGTCCCTCTCCTTGGCCATTTAAGAATCAGTAGTATTTGCACAAGGAGAAAAGGTAAACTATTGATAAGATTTGAATTAATATAGACCAGCCATTCCCAAACTCAGTAACACCGAGGCCCCCTTAAAAATCTGACGGGTCTGCGTGGCCCCCCAAAATAATAACCAAGAAGACAACATTAAGAATAGGCTCTTCTGGTTATTTTATTTTGGGGAAATAGCCTCTGCTACAAACATTGTAATACAAAAATGATTACAGTGGATCATTCAAGTCAAATAATGAACACAAATATTTTAATATTACAAACAAAACATTATAAATTTAACATTAAATAATTATATTATTTTTTTTATTTTTTTTATGACCTCCCGCGGCCCCCCTGCAGTACCCTCGCGGCCCACCAGGGGGCCGCGGACCCCACTTTGGGAGACACTGATATAGACCAATCAGGAAGCGGGGTAGAGCATAAAAGTTTCGCTCTCTCTTCACAGTTTGACAAGTAATTGACATTCATTTGAAGACAATTAAAAGCCTGAAAATGTTTTACAGTTTGAGGTATATCAACATCTGTTGGGTATATGTAACAAAATACAAAGTAGTCTCCCATATCATGTTCAAACAATACCGTGAAAATTACATTGCTAAAGGTCACTTCTAATAATCAAGATAATGGTTACTGTAAAGATAATGGTGAGCATTGGCCTTAAGGCCAGAAGGTTGTGGGTTCAATTCCCACCTCTACACCTTCTCCACCGACTCCCACTGATGACTGCTGTCGTTGTGTATGTAATTGTATTTTTATGTATTCACATTTCTATGACAGTGATATTAATCATTTCTTTTTGTGATGGCAGATAATGTCACATTCCATGATGAGTGCTACTGTCTATTGTTAAGACATCCAAAGATTATCTATGTACAAAAAACTTGGGAATGACATAGTTCTCCCAAAAACATTACACAAAGCTAGAAATACAAGACCATAACACTGATGCAGAGTCCATGGACTAACTTAGAAATACCACAGACAGTAGAACCCAGCGCTTAAGCAGTATATAAAAAAATCTTCGAACAAGACATCAAAACCACAAAATCAAAGAAGAATAACAATTGATGCCTTTTCCATTTGTAACTAATAACAAATGCAAGCCCAAGTTATTAATCGGAACTCTGCTGGCTATTGATGGTACATTCATATTCTGCTTATGCAAATTATTTCAATCAAGATAATTGCATCATAACAGAATTTCATTTACCTCCATGTGTGTCGTGCCATGCACATTTACTTTGGGAGAGCATCCTCTGAGATAACCTTTACAAAGTCCTGGCATGATAAGTATAATTGATGATGATTCATGATGTTAAATGTCATGAGTAAAGTTAAATAAAGTGTCACTGATCCATGAAGAGCCAGACGACTTTTACACAATAATACTGTGGTGCTTTGAGTCCATCAGGTGGCGCCCTATACAGCCATCTCTGTGTCGTCCAAAGAGTCTGCTAGAACTTCAGCGTTCAGCACATTAAACAGCCGAGGTGCTCCGTCTGGGGTCAGCCCCTCCCCCTGCCCCCAGCTGTCCCGGTCGTCACTCTCATCAGTGTTGGACTCATATTCAGAGCCGATCCCTGACTCTCTGAACCGCAGCAGCTCCAGAGCGCCCAGGACCTGCTCCCCCAGAGGGGAGCTTTCCTCACTGGGTGTGTCTCCAAGGTCATGCTCCTGCCGGTCCAGTCCCCTGGTGGGGAAGCGGAAACACTCCAGCCTCACGGCACTCGCCCTCAGCCCCACAGAGTTGTCATCAGGGGCAGAGCCAGGAGAGCACTGCCCTGGGAGGGTGGAGGACCAGGCGTCACTGATCTGGTGTTGGGATGCCAGCAGGGCCACTGATACTGAAGGGGCCTCACAGGACGGGCGCTTAGCACGGAAAGTGATCTCCAGAAGACTGTCCTGTGAGCCCACTAAAATAGAAAATATTCAGAGAGAAAATTGTGAGAAGATCAGAAAAGATGAAGGGCAAAAATGCAGGAGAAACTGTAGCTTCTGCCACTGGCAAGATGGGGAAGAGAAACAGAAATGAATACACGGAGTGGGTGGCAAAGATATAATGAAACATAAGCAAAACTGGGAAAAAAGCAACTGGAATGACAAATGCAATGTACACAAACTGGACAGCAAGTAAAAGTTGAATCAAAGCACAATGGAACTGTACACAACTTGAGGAGATAAACGCCACTCACTGGAGGATAGATGTCCGACAGTTTTGAGCTCCAGCTCTTGGATCTGTTTGACCAGCAGAGAAATGTGCTGCAGGTGGTCAGTGTTCTGCTGCAGCAGCTGTTGGACTCGAGCCTGAGCCTCTGAGCGCGCACACACCTCCACCGAGAGTTGCTGCTGCAGTACGTGCACCTGTCACAGAGACCTCGTGTTCAACAGCGACGTCAGACACGTCCAGATTCACTTCACTTAAGTTGCAGAGGGATCATTTCTAAAGTACTTTAAAAGCATTGCCTGTAGCGCAGTGTACCTGTGCGTTGGCAGACAAAGCCTGCTGCTCCTGCTGCTGCAACTGCTTCTGCAGGAGCTGCAGCTGGTGCTCCTCCGCCTGAGCCGAGTCTCTGAGGAGCGAGGAGTGCAGCAGCACGGTCGTGTCCTGCTGAAGAAAACTACTCTGTGAAGCCTCAATAACTCAGGTCCTCTTCAAATAACACAGATAGCCTTTAGCATTTATTCTTCATCTATTGTTGCTGATATAAAATCATTTGTTTTGCTAATCTGCCTTGACGGTAAATAAAACAAAACAATAACTACATATTAACTATGTTTTAAAACATAATAACAATGAAATAGAATAATGGCTTTGAAGATTATTATGTCACATTGTTTAACTCTATTTCCCAAAATAATGTGCATTACTGATCACATTTGACATAGCCTCCTTTATGCGATCTACCTCCACGCTGAAGATCTGGTATAAACATAAGTGCGCAGATCAATATGACGCATTTACCAAACGGCTGAGAAACGATAATAACGTCTCTATACAGCTTCTGTTGGGTCAAGGAGTGTCTATCTGCCTTTCACCGTAAAACAACCTATCACTTGGGCATGTGCTTTGTAAGGACCCAGAAGTACAAGAAGATCATAATGCCACTTATGATGTATTGACATTTTGACAATGTATTTTCACATCTAGCTTAATGAAACCATTAACCTGGAATAGTACGATAATGTTTGATCTAAATGTACCTTTGCCGCGCCGGTGTTCACCTCTTCCTTTCTGCTTTTTTCTGGTTCTGATGAAGACGTACACTCGATGCTCTCCTCTGTCGTGGCTTCAAGGTCAGTCTCAGAAGACACAGCAAACTTCTTCTGGGCTGTGAAGATTGCACACAGACTATTTGTTATTTCCCACTGAGAGAATCACGCTGTCACAAGAAATGATTTGGAATGGACTGTGTTTGATCATTGGAGCCTGGAGCGGCTTAAAATATCTTTGGTGGAGGATAATGATGTCTTTACTCAGACAGGTATGCGCTGCAGAGAGTATTTGTTTATGTGGGCTGTTTGTTTCAGGGCGGAGGCTGGTGCATAGAGATATCATTACTCCAGTGTCGAGCCGTACAAGACTATTGACTCAAAAGGTACATTGTGGAAGTTTCTAAACAGTTGCCTCCACGGACATAATTATATTTACTCGCTTGGAATATTCCACAATATGGCCTTATGTCTCAAGTGTTTGAAGTGCTAAGAGCTATGTGGAGTTTGCTATGCACATATGTAGCTGTACGTTTGCTCATACGGGCAGCACTGGGGACACTATAGTAATCTTTAGCTTTACTGTCCGTGACATGGTCGGTAGCAGCTGCTCCACATTCACCTCTGTGGGAGTCTGTCTCAGCCTTATCGTGTCTCATTTTATGCTTCGGTTTATCTTGAGCCACGTAGCATTCTAAATCCCTAATTGTGAAAAGACCTTTGCAAAGCTTTCCATTTTTTCAGCACATCCGCATACATTAACTTCTTGTGATAGACAATAATAATGATAATACGTACCACTTGTATTGTGCTTTATAGGCTTGTAGAAGTCTCAGTCAGTTATGGCTGTATATACAATTATTGTGATAATGGGATTATTTATACTTTTGACCAAAACGAAGCTCAAATGATGCCTCTGCAGTCATTATATGAAAATCCGAGCCAAAACATTTTTTTCTGCATATTAAAGTCTACGCAAGATAATGAAAAATAATGAACCAATTACTAAATCAGTTTACAACTATTTCAACTTGAAGCTGTGCACAAAGATTCTTTTCACATAAATGTTCTACCACTGTTTTACCACTATTTTAAATTATCTCTAGCCCTGGAGACTAAGGACTAGAGCCTAAAAAATGTATCCTGGCCCATACCCGTCAGGTCTAGTCAGGCTCTGGAAAAGGTTTTCAGCTCTACTAAGGACTATCACAGAGAACAAGCTGAAATAATTAATTCAGGAAGCACACCTCAGAGACCACATGAATTAGTATCGCGGCCCAGCTGCGGAAATTATTGAATATCAAACTTGCTCAACCATAGAGTTGATTCACCTAATTCCAAATCTGACCTGCTGCTTGACCATAGTTGTCTCCGTGGAGATACAGTAGTTCAATGAAGTGGAAAATAAAATCTCTTTAGATACTTTATAGAGACTTTAGACAATGCAAAGCAGTATGGGAAGCCTCCAGTCATTCACGGCTTCAGTAACAAAAAGTGAATTTCAGCTAAAAACAAGCCTCTAATTGCAAAATATTTGTGATAGCTGTTCATGCATTCACCTGGTACGACTGCAGACTCCTCCCCTTTTGCGCCCTCGTCCTCACCCTCGCCCTCTTTCTGTTGTGCAATGAGCTGGTGGCACACGTCGAACGCCTGGCCCACGGTCCGGACAATCCTCATGGCCTGAGACTGCAGAAGAGGAGATTATTTAGAATTCTTTAGGTTCATGTCATGTTGGAAGTATTAAGTATTAAAAATGCAATGTGTACAAGACATGTATAGGTTTATTACTCTGTCAATCATGTGCAAAGCCCCAATCAGATGTCCCTGTTTGTCGGCCGCACATGGAGATCCCAAAGTTTGTTCTTTGTGACTTTGGCAAAAATAGAAGTGTGGGTCACTAAGAACATGTGAAAGACAGTAGAGTACTGGTATAACACCAGGCGACACACAGGATAGGATTGAAAGAATGCATCTGTTTAAACATAACACTTTTTAGAACACTGGAAGACGCTTCACATGACATCTGTAACTCTGTGGTAATAAACTATGACTGTAGCCACAGCTGCCCTGGGGAAGTCTGACAGTAAAGAGACAGCCAGCATGTGCCATCAGCCCCTCTGACCATCACCAACCCCTCACACACACAATGTGGGTGAAGTGTCTTGCCTAAGGACACAACAGTTTGGCAACGCCTTATTAATTGAGAATCGGTATACATTTGATGATCGCACAGCCAGATACAGGTGAAACTGGGAAAATGTTCAACCCTAACCCTAATCATTCAAAAGTGGATTCATTTTTGTAATTAAAACTTAAAATGTAAAACCAGTAAGATGTATACTCATTACATACAAAGTGACATATGAGATTATGATGGCTTAAAGTCCATTTTCAAAAACATTTTAATTTTCTAAAATGTTTTATTTGGTGTTTTTACAAACTGTGAGACAATAATGGACATTATAACAAAACAAGAACCAGATATATTTCACTCTGCGTGTAATCAGAGTCACATTAGTTTCACATTGTAGTGTAAATTACAGACATAAATCAGTTTCACCTGTTTAAGAACGTGCTTCAAGACATATTTTTAACACCATACTTTGCTCGCAGAAGAATATATTTTGGTCAGTGCTGATAACCCCACTTCAGTGCATAGCGAAAAGAAATATGAAAGCAATCTAGGTGAAACATTGCTTTCAGATTTCAGACAAGGCAGTAACAATAAAGCTGTGCAGGAGTGTCCTTGTCGATGTGGTGGACACACGGCTGTCACGGTGATGGATCGGACGGCAGCTCGAGGAAGAGCTGATGCGGCGCGCTGATTGGAGCCTCTTTGCATCAGGCCATTCATCAGGAACACACTCATTTGCAAATAATTAGAAAATTACGTCAGGGAGACTCCCGGTGTGGAAGGACTGTATAAATGAAGTTAATAAAGAAATTGCTATGGGAAAGTGGAAGCAATAAGAGTGTTAAAACAATTCTGCATAATGTAAATACAAATACAGCTGTCAGTTGGATACAATAATTACAGTTTTCAACGCATAGCCTGCAAGAGTTTCGTACTTTTATTTGCCGTAGACTGCAGCCTTGAATCGACTGCAGCTTTCTTGGCCTAAATTGAAAATGTCGTTGAACCCAAAGAGCATGCCACAGGTGCTGTTTTGGAACATTAAGTCTAATTTTTTATAATATATGCATTCAAATACCAATATAATAATCTAAATTAAACCCATTTATGCATCTTATCAGTCATAAAAGCCTTAAGTGACCCTTCAAAGCTGGAGTACCTATCTTTGAATCTACAAAAAATTCAATATGTGATCAATGTCTCGAGTTACGGGCTCTCAAAACGGTTTGGTTCTATCACTAGCTTTCACATGCATCCATCTTTAGATCAGCTTTTCAGTGAAAAAGAAAGCACAAGCGCTCACTCAGTCACTCAACTCTCAGGATGTAAAAGATATATTTCCTAATAAGATAAAGACAGAATGTTGTGGTCTGATTTGTTCATATGATGTTACCTAAACAAGACTCACACAAGTCTCAGATCTGGCACCCTGCACAAGAACACATGATTACAGCTGGGACAAACACAAAAGCTTATATCTAATTTTCCTGATAGACGTTCTGACATCTGGTTGTGTCTTGGAGATGATTTTGCTTTGATTGGAAAGATCCAGGACTTTAAATGAATCAATCCTGGAGTTTGCCTCATTCTATGTAATGTTCTCTGCCGTTATTTTAGTTCATGATTCAAACCGGCCCAATCTGCCCAATCGTTTCATACAATCTTTGCCTTTGAGCCTAAAACACTGCAGCGTCTCATTAAATGCTCTTCCCGCTGTTGGCTCTCAGACTGGAGACAGCCACAAATGTCATCGTCATAATAGAGAGCTGCTTTCATTTATTTAATAGTCCACAGTCAGAGCAAGGTGAACAAGTCTCAGTAATATTCAGCCATTGGATACAGCTACTCACAAAGCAAGGGGCTTAAAAGACAAAAAAATGAACATAAATAACACTTCAAGCATGTAGTAAAAAGAATAGAATAGATAAAGATTTCATTGGTTACTCAAAAGATACGATTGCATTGTATTTCTGCAAATGGCAAATTAATTCTTGAATCGAATATTTAGAATCAGCAGAGAAATTCCCAATATAAAATTCCGACTAATTAAAAGTACATTTTCTGTCCATGCGTTCATCAAAGTGCAGTCGCAACAAAATACATGACGGAGCAGAAAAAGCGTTAACAGCCTGGATGACACTGTGAAAGTACCTTTATTAAAATGTATGGACATTGGTCATACCGCTCCCTATGAACCAATGGCTCCTAAATGTGTTTGTTATGATTACATTTCCTGTGTTTGAGACGGCTGCTGTTGCGAGTTAGGGCTGTACAAAAATAAATCGAAATGAATTGAACCTCAGTGGTGAGTTTTTGTGAGCAAGGCTTAGGGCCACATTCAGTTCAAGTGTTTATTTGGGCATTTAGAAGACATAGAATGAAAGAAAAATACAGAAAATAAGAAAAGGACACAGCAGGCTGCCATTGGCAGTTGGACATGCCTGCTCCAGACACATTTATAAACTACACCAACACAACTGCAAAAAAAAACACATTTCAGGAAGTGAGAGTAGAGCAATAAAAACTGCTCTTGTTTATCACCTTCATGTAAATCTAAATAGCTTCTTTCTCTTCTAAAAACCAAGCTCAAAATGCTGTGTTGATATTCCCTAGTGGCATGTTATGTCTTGGTGGATATTCTTCTTGTCATCTGTGAACAGTAGGTCCCATCGCCTCCTACTCAGCCATGTGCTTAATCTGTCACACTCAGATAACACTGGAAAGACCTGACCATCAATCCCTCTACAGCACTGGAACAGTTCTTCATCATAATTTCCCCTCTTGGCACCGCTGTGATTTGCATTCATTTAACCAAGACACTAGTCTCCATGGTGAAGGCTTCTGCTCTGTTTGTCAGGAGGAAAATTATAGCTCACCTCGGCGTCTGTGTATCAAGGGTTTGTGTGCGTGCTAAAGTAGTTAGCAGTGACGTGCGGTGAGGTTGGTGATTAGGGGTGTGACGATATATCGATTTTTCGATATATCGCAATACTTTCTCCCGCGATTCGATTATCGATATGCATTTGCCAAGTATTGATATCGTTTTTTTTTTTACTGTTTTCTTTTTTTGAATTGGTATCAATTCATTACGCATCTCCATTCTATGTATCATGAAATAAAGAGTATTTTTTCTTTTATTTATGCCATAAAATGGCATATTGTATATTTCTGACCAATATATCAATAATCGTCATATCGTGATAAAATCGTTATCGTGATAAAATCGTTATCGTGATAAAATCGTTATCGTGATATTATCGTTATCGTGATATTATCGTTATCGTGAGCTTTGTATCGTGTATCGTATCGTATCGTGAGGTACCCTTAGGTTCCCACCCCTATTGGTGATTGGTGAGGCACTGACTTCACCCCAATCAGATGAGCATATATAATATAAATCAACAGGACCTACAGAGTGGCTTATTCACAATTTGTTTGGCTACAGCAGAATATGTTTCATGTCCGCATTGTTTGCTAATACCAAACACAAAAGTTTGTAAAAAGCACATTTAACAGTGTGTTATTGGCCTTGCCTCACTGTAAACATGAACTGCACAGACCACTTCAGTTCATGCTTAAATCCAGATTACAGTTTGAGCGCAGATATGTAATCCTCCATTTAGAAATAAGTCCAATGAGTTTTAAAAAGTAAAACAAAATGGGTGTCTCCTCTCGGGTGCTTCCCATTTCTAATAGCAACCTTCTTACCCTTCACCTCTCTTCCTTATAATTCCTATCATCATTGGAAGCATAAAATTACCCTAAGTGAATTTTGAATATTTTTACAATGTGTCACATGTATTTTAGCCAAACCTGTAGCTGCCCTTAGCAGAGGAAGAACAAGAAAGGGGCTTTCTGATGACATTGTATGTAGCCGAATTCTGGGCTCACATGCGCCCCCTACCCTGAGGTAGATAGGGTATTACTAGCTTGTATCTGAGTAACTCATGTGCTCGGGGGATTCTCGTGGTACTGCAGACTAAACCAGACTAAATTCACGTGGGCTACCCAGAAATTTTCCCCATAGAACTCAATGTAAATTAAAACAGCTCGACCTCAGCTGACAGAGAACCTACAGCTTTCACAATGGTCGGATTTTGTGGGGATTTTAGTGTCCCTTGTCATCCTGAACTTTTTTTCTTCTTAAATCCTTCAGTTTTCTTTAAATCCACACTTTAGTGCCACAAACTCTGCCCGTCTGGCTCCCGCTCTAACTCCCGCTCTGATGAACTGCTCTGATTGGTCAGAGCGCGGCCGAGCCTCTCTGTGCACGTGCGTGAGTCCCATGTGAGACCCACACACGCATATTTGGCGCAAAGCATCATGGGAGATAGCACAACGCATCATGGGAGTTCATCCACTGTGCAGAACCGGGAGGACCAGACGAACCCCAAATACAGGCAAGTTTCCCATGGATCTTTGCGAGTTTCAGACGACTTCCGCTAATCTTTTCAGCACCCATGCCGGCACAAAGCGCCACTGAGCACAACCATTCATTTGAATACGGCGCCATCTTGGATCGCCGGGGCCTGGGCTGGCCTCATTTGGTGACATTACAAGCCGTGGTTTGAGCGCGATTAACACTATTTATGACCCATCCTCTCAACTGTAGACATGTTGATTGTAAAGGAAATATATTGAACTTTGTAAACCGCGATAAACAGAGAAAACAGTTTGATAGCAGTGCATGGGCTCCTACCTGTATGAGCTACAGGCATTTACGTCTCCCAAGTGAGGCTCGCCTCACAGCGCACCGCTCTGTCAAATATGAAGAAGATCTGCGATTTCAAGGTAAAAATTAATTAAATAAGTAGTAATCTTTATTTATATACCGCCTTTTCACTGCAGATCTGAGTCTCAAAGCGGTTTACAATTGTTAATTTTGTGGCATTTGTCTCTCACTCCACACAGAGATGGGAGCGGGGTCGCCAGTACAGGAGGCACATGCCAGAACTATTGTACATATTTTTAGTGGTAGGGGAAACCGGAGTACCCGGAGGAAACCTACGCAGACACGGGGAGAACATGCAAACTCCACTCAGAAAGGCCCTGGTCCGACCGGGATTCGAACCCAGGACCTTCTTGCTGAGAGGCGAGAGTGCTATCCACTCAGCCACCGTGCCGCCAAAGTTGGCAAAGTTACATGAAAATAATACAATAACATAAATCACTTGATATAGTGACCAAGTATTATAGATTTTGCTAGTCTAGCTGCCGCTAGTTGTAGGTAAACAAATCGGGCCAAATCCCTTTTTTGCGCTAAAACATGCCGACTGCCTGCATCGTTTGAGGGTGCAGTAACCGCGTAGATTGTGGGGACATTCCGAAGGCTATTACCAGCCAGGGGAGCGACTCTCGACGGAGAAAAGACTCTTTAGTTGGCGAGGATCAACCAGAGGGATTCAACCCTAACCCCCTGGAAAACGGCACTATAAGGTCTGTTCTGACCATTTCATAACAGGTAAGAGCTAAATCTGTGCATGTGTGGTTTATATTCAGAGGTGCGATTTGACTGTTATCAGTGATGGGAATAACGGCGTTACTAGTAACGGCGTTACTAACGCCGTTACTTTTTTCAGTAACGAGTAATATAACTAATTACTTTGACAGTAACTATAACGCCGTTATCATTTCCGACATCCCGTTACTGCGCGTTACTCAAGACGCACAATGAACGTGTTGTCATGAGAGAAGGGAGGATGAGAAAACCTCTCAGCAATTATTGACTGATGTAAATCATATTTCCTATACAATCTACATGTCTACAGTTGAGAGGATGGCTCATAAATTGTGTTTTTGAAACAAATATGGGTCTTAATCGCGCTCAACCACGGCTTGTATCACCGTGAGGTCAGCCTCAGAGGAGCGCATGTGAGCGCAGAAGTCGGCTGCATACAATTCCATCGATAAGCTCCTTGCTCTTCCTGGTTTATCTGCTAAGGACAGCAACAGGTTTGGCTAACATACATATAACACATTTTTACATAATCTAAAATGCACATAGGGTAATTTTTCAATTACTATAGGAATGATAAGAAAGAGAGGTGAAGTGTAAGACGGTTGATTTTAGAAATTGGATGCAGCCGGCTGCAGCAAAACAGAGGAGTTTACGGAGGACACACGCGTTTTGTTTTACTTTTTAAAACTCATTGGACTCATTTCCAAATGGAGGATTACATATCTACGCTCAAACCATTAACTGGACTTAAACAAGGAACTGGTCTGAACCGAAGTGGACTGTGCAGGTCATTTATAAGGTATAGCTATAAGGTAAGACCCATAACTCATAGTTTTGCGTTTTGTATGAACACACAATGCGGGCATAAAACATATTTTGCTGTAGCCAAACAAATTGTCCACTTGATTTATATGATGTATATGTTCATCTGATTGGACTGAAGTCAGTGCTTCACCAGCCTCACCGCTCGTCACCGGTGTTTCCACATTCACAGTGTCGGGTGTTGGTGTTTAGTGCTTACAGCACAGTGAGAGATGAAGAGTGAACAGGACTTCAGCAGCAAAACAGCCTTTTCTAGATGGAAATATTGGCACTGTTAAAGGTAAAAATGCGCACGTCGGGTGCACATTATGTTCCAGAACAAAACGAAAAAGTAACGCAATAGTTACTTTTACTGGTAACTAGTTACTTTTATAGTGGAGTAACTCCGTTAGTAACTCAGTTACTTTTTGGGAGAAGTAACTAGTAACTATAACGAATTACTTTTTCAAAGTAACGTGCCCAACACTGACTGTTATACTAAGTCTAGATAGGCGCCTTGAGGTTCCCATCTAAATGAATGAGAGGGAGAGGAGGAGGAGGAGGGGGGGAGGGTAGTGATTTGAGGCCTGTGATATCAACTGCTTCGTTCAAAATAAAATATTGATTGCAAGAAATATTGCATCATATACATCATGACGTTTTTTTATTGTAAAACTGCAAATCTCCCGATTCTCAAAGGATCTTGCCTCACAGATTACTCCAGTGTATCAATATACTTAACGCGGTCAGTGTCGGCCGAATTCGTGGCTTTAGATGACATGGGTACAGAGGATCTGTGACAAATTATCAGTGACAAATGATACGTGCAATATAAGCTTGACTCGCAACAGGGCATTAGCGCAAAGCATCATGGGTAATAAGCATGTGATGGAAAACTATGTATTATTTCCATTTTATTCTTTTTTTCCCCATGATCGTAGGCCTCATCTGACCGCACGTCACTGGTAGTTAGGACCCCATAACCAGGAAACTAAAGAACAACAGCAGCGGATTTGCACACACTACTGTACTTTATGTTACACACAGTTAACCTGGATTGGGTGTGTAGGTCCAGACTGGAGACTGTTTTCCAGACTCCAGTCGCCTCCCACTGCAACACATGTGTGCCTCTGCTAATCAGCATTCAGCTTCAGGTGACACAGTTCCTCCTTCCTCAGCTTTCAGCTCATGCTGCAATCGAGCTCCTACCCATCACATTCTTATCCTCTCTCTTTCTGTCTTTAATAAAAAAACAAAACAGCAAACCAATATATAATTTCAACAAATGAAGGACATTTTTTTCAAAAATGCACCAGAGTTAACAGCTCATTTGGTGACTGCTCATTTGCATAAGTTCAAACATGTTTTACATTTAACATCGTATTGAGGGATGTCTTTGTCTTTGTATGCAACAACTTCATTATTGAAGCAGAAAGCAGCAGATGATTTGATGAAGCTGTATATATATTATAAAACATACATGTGCTTCTCTCAACAGTCAAAAGCTTTCTGTTGATCCATAATTTAATCAGTTTCTGCCTCAGAGCTGTGATTGTTACTCCATTGCTTTACTATAGTCAATAAAGGCATTAAAGAGTCTTTTTGTTAGAGCGGTAAAGATCAACAATGTGCCTCAGAAGGAAAATTTGATCATTTGTGGATTATCCTTTTCTGCATTCAGCCTGATTCTCAAGCATTACCAAATTGTCGTCACAAAATAAAACTCGATGATAGTCTTGTCTTCAGCGCATTAGTAAATAACTTTCCCCGACAGCTTAGTGTAATGGTTCTAAAGTTGTTACAAACCTTTGTATCACCCTTATTCTTATATATTGGCAGTATTAAGCCAAGAACCCAGTGTGCAGGGATCATCCCACTGTCCAGAATCTTACTTTTGTTTGGACTTATCTCCAAATCCTCAGCTCCTCATGCACTGACCCAAGGGGAACATGATTCTCATTAGGTCTATTCTACGGTAAATACACTGTGCAAATGTTCTGCTCTAAGTGTTAAAATCATATCAATATGACACGTACAGTTTATACCATACAACCTGAAAATCACTTTTACCTGTTCGATAAACCCTGAGTCACTTCTTTCTTACACACAGAGCAAACGACAACGCTTCTGGAGAGGAAGTCTTTTTTTCGCGTTGAGTGCAAACACTACGACTAATTACAGCGATGCACCAAACTGTTTTACAGCCTTTTGCATTACACTACTCATGTTTTTTGTGTGTGATTTTTTTCAGAATTACCAGAACAAATTCATATCTATTTGTAATATCCTAACATATTGTGAGTTCTCAACATATTAATGTGTGGGAGAACAAGAGCTCGTTGGATTAATTGGCCATATGTTCACTATACATCACTCTGACAACACACTATCCCCAGAGAAAGTCATGGAGGAAATGCTGAAAGAGGATGAAATTGAAATAATAATGTACCTTTTTCTTGGACTTGAACACATTGCAGCGGAAAATGTTGCTCTCTCCGTCTCTGGCGATGTAGCTGAATATTTTGAGGTCTTGTGCATCGTGTGAAACATAGAAGATCCTGTTGTGGAGAGATGAAAACAGGCTAATGGTTTTTTAATGAGGTGTGTAAGATTAAACAGAGCATTGTTGTTTTCTCTCCGACACATTTGATTCAAAGAGAAGCACTGACAAAGGCTTTACCTGTAAATTGGGTCCTGAGTCACAAGAAGGGTATTGTCGTCCCAAGACCAGCCTTTTCTCTGTCAGACAAAACAGCAAAGGTGAAGACTGAAGCTCACAAGAAAATCCAATGTAATATGACTGTTCTGAGGTGGATCACTTCATTTTAGATCAACTGCTTTTGATTTTTGTCAAGGATGGATTCCAAATTAAGATCTAATTTGATGATTACAATGTCATATGGTTCTCCACGTGTTCATCTTTAACATGATTTCCTGATGATGCATTACTTATTATTATTTTTCTATAGTTTGATCATTTGAAGAAAGCAGCTATTATTTACTTTTTCCTCAGAGATCGGGGTCGGGTTCAATAGTTTGTACTTATGTCTTCCTTTTTTCTCTCTCTCTCTTCTGAAGTCTTAGAACACTATTTGTTTAAAATAAATAAAAATAAAAATGAATAAATAAGTAAATAGTGTAATTATTTGGATGACATTACTTCCCTTACAAACAGGACATAATTGTTTTGCTTATAATGATCTTTTTACCTCCTTGTTTAGAGCTGTGACACAGGCTTAGAAATAAGTAAATAATATTTGCCTGAAAAACAGGCAAATATGGGTATTTTTCTTGATTTAATTGTGCCTTTTGAAACTTTAATCTGCCAATTGGGAAGGCATGTCCAGTCTTAATCGACTTAGTTTCAAGCACTGCTTAATTCTAAGTGAGAAATTGCGTCTCTTTTCATTTCAACAAATTTAATTCAATAAAAAAATAAAAAAAATAATTACAAAAATTAATCTTTTGGTTTTCCATCACATTTTAATCCTCCTCATGCTCAAGTTTCATAACATGTTTGCTGGACTAGTGAGTGCACCTGTTTCTAAAACGCACCTTTAACATTTTAAAAGACAGAAAGAACATGTTTGTCCACATACGGCCGCAGGGTTCAAACACAGCTCTATTGAAGAGAAACATTATATTGATTTATACACAACGTTTCTGATATTTTTCCGTGCTTGGGATTGGACCTTGTTGAGCCCAAAATATTTAATATTACCTGGAATCTTTAGCTAATGTCAAATTCAACTGTATTTTTGTTTAGCCATCAGTGGGTGATGACTTGTATAAATCTTGCTAACACAATAAAACATAAAAGTAACATCTAAACAGACTTTAGACTAAACACACTGCTGCTAATGTACAGATGCTAACATGTACTGCTGCTAACATGTACAGATGTAAACACACTGCTGCTAACATGTACAGATGCTAACATGTACAGATGTAAACACACTGCTGCTAACATGTACAGATGCTAACATGTACAGATGTAAACACACTGCTGCTAACATGTACAGATGCTAACATGTACAGATGTAAACACACTGCTGCTAACATGTGCAGATGCTAACATGTACAGATGCTAACATATAACTTCACTATACTGTAATTGCACTAGAATACACAGTACTTTATACTTGCCTCTTATTTTGCCAAATGTAAATCTCTTTTATTATTATTTTCAAGATAGATGTTTTATACTTGCTCTTTGATGCTAGAGTTAGAGATTGTGTTTTATTTTAATAAGTACAGTTCACTTAACTTGTGCCATGTGCTGCTCTTTCCTACTGTTCTATAATTTGTGATGCAACACTGAAATTTCCCCACTGTGGGACGCATAAAGGATCACTTAATCTTAATCTTAATCTTTAGATCTGATGAGTTAGCCTCAGGATCAGGAGGAGTCTGTCCACACCCGCAGATTACAAATCTCCAACTCGCAGCTGAGATTTCATTCCCATGAGAAGGTTCTTTTGATTCAGAACGAAACGTCGGGAAAACCTGTTAACTGAAGTACAGATGATGGGAGAGCAACCTTCATTTGCTTTAATAATCCCTGTACGACTGAGATTTTAAGTGTTTTTCCAGTTTTTGTTGTTGTCAGATTTTGAAGTCCTGGACCTGAGTGTATGCAGTATGTCGTTTGAAAATAAAAACAAGAAAAAGACTGTATTTTTCTCCTCTCCAGATCCACTGACCTTCTTTTTCCTCAGTAGAACTCTGACAGAGTCGGTCGACACAACTATGTTCACTTTCTTCTTTTTGATGTTCTTCAGCTTGAACTCGTACTGCAGTGAAAGAAAAGAAACGTTAGACCCAAAAAAGCCAGTTTGACTTTGCTCTTTTTGAGGGCAAACTGCGATTGAGTAAATTCTGAAAAGATGTCCCAGAGGCAGCAGCGTCGGTGGGACACTTTCATCTTTCTCCCAGATTAAAGCTGAAGCCTGCACCCCAGACCTCAAAAATACCAGACTTCTAAAACAAGCATGTTTTATGTGCAACACCACGATCGCTTTGAGAACATCACACCGTAAATTCTGACATCAGATCGTTTCGAGATCGAGAGGTTGTGTTCATCAGACTTCACAGCATTCAATAGAAGCTAAAGTTAGAGTTAAAATTAGACGACAGAAGAATTGTGGTAGAAGGCAGCTGAAAGGTTAGTTTAAAAGTGTATTCTGTGATTCCTGAGCCAATCCACATGAAATAAAATAGTTCCACATCTTTATCAGAAGAACAACGGTCTAATTATTTTCTAAAACTGTCGAGAAGTGGTGACAATATAATTTTTTTTTTTTACAAAATATGCATGAGGCTGGCAGTAGAAAGGATTTTCAGACATAAGAACACTACGCAGGTGTGTGAAAAACAGTTATTTTGTAATTGTATTTTATTCATTTATTGTTTTCTATTTATAATTTATTTTTTGGACATTGTCTTTGCCTCCCACAGAGTTGCATTGGCACTAGCCCTCACACTGAAACAGAGAGTTAAAGAAAGCAACCTATTAAAAGTCTAAAGCAACACAAAAAGCACCACAACCTTTTGTATGTTTGTTATCCAACACTCAACTGGAAGCCTTATTGAAACATACTTTTGTATAGAGTTGGACGATACGATACTGAGGCATTTATAGTATCACGATTATTGCTCTGATCTTTTTCACATTTGAGACAAAACCAACACATTTAGAAGTGTTGGCACGATTATGATGGATTACCCAATATCAAAACATCAAGACGTAAATATTCTGGAAATACACTGATATTTTCATGTTTCTGATCCCCCCTCCAGTTATCGTGTGGGTATTTATCAAGGAGTAATAAATGTCAGCATCCACATTCAAACATTTGGTTTTCCTCCTGCCCTTCTTGCATTCACATGCCATTAATCTCTCTCCGTACAGAAACCAGGTCTTGCTGATGGACTAGATAAATGCAAACAAACTGCACACGTCTTTTGGTGCGAGTTCAGAGTTCTCTGGAGTCGAGCGGCAGGTGAATTGTGTGAAATGGGACGAGACTCGAACGGCAGGGTTCAATGAGTTGGATCAGAAAAAGTCTTTGCAATTCATTTTCAGTCACTTCTGATCTCGCTTCTGCCAGACTCCAGCGCAGTCTCATATTACTATGACCGAAGGCGAGATATTGCAAGCAAGACGAGTTTCTTTTCATTTTTTCGGGAGGCGGTGTTTAAGCTGCACCGGGAAATAACGTACAAAATCGATTTAATACACATCAGATTCTGAGGTCTTGTAAATTTACATGATAGAATAGACTGCCCGAGTGCTGATGTCACCAAAGTGTGTGGAGACTACGGAAGAAGCGGGTTGGAACACACGCTAGCTGGAGCCAATTTCCAAATTTCTAAACTGTTACCGAGCTAGACGAGTTTACTTTTAAATGCAAGCTAATATAGAAGTTAGCATTGTCTCTCTATATACAGCCCATGGATGGATATATCGTTATGCAAAAAAAAACACCCATATACACAAACAATTCCAAACTTGTACAGATTGGTGTCCTCCCCAAGTGCAGGATTTTGTGTCAAGTTGTTGATTGTTGAGAAGATCGGCAGCTTCAGGCATGCGTTTGGAAAAGAGTCATTCGTTATCCAAGTCTGACGTAGGGGACCTTTAAGTGATCAAGCACGTTTTTTTTTGTTTCATAAACAATATATTGTTTGTTCTAAATGTAAAATGTTGTAAACTAATCATGCTGTCTTTCTATGTTCTGTGAAAGTCACTATTTGACGCATTGAGCTGAGAGCTGATTGGTCCACTCGTTATTCTGTCAAAAACGCGGATTTAAAGATGAGAGAAAAAAAACACGTTCACATCAAACCAAACTGTTTTGAGAGAAAACTAGTTACACACATTTTATTACATTTTTCTATTTTTGTTTGTTTTGAGAATTAGATATCTCAGCTTTAACAATTATGCTGGAATCCCATATGAAAAGAGCCAGTGCTTTGCTTTTCCATTCGAGACTGACAAAACAATAGCATCTTTTTGACACATTGATTTTTTGGTAACGGTGGCAAAAAAAATCTGCATATGGAGTTTATTGAATGCACTTTGCAACAGCGCTCAAAGCTTCCACCGCATTATAAAAGCGATATATTTGGCACCAGTGACAGGAAATGTTGGCAATAAGTGAAAGGCTGTTTCTCCACAGCGAAGAGCAGGGATTATTACATGAGGGTGGCTAAGGACGCAGCTGACCCTGCACTGACACACTAACTTGGTTAGATTAGATTGAGCCACATCTGACCAGGCTGCTAAATCCCTGTCACCAAGTCTCTGTAATATTTCCGCTTTTATTATGCAAGGGTTTTCTAATAAGCATCACCCTGAAAGCAGCATCTCTCGATGACCCCAAAACCCAGAGTCCAGATTTGAAACAGCGAACAGTGAATGTGACAGGAAAGTGCTTTCACCCAGACAGGTAATTTACAAGTGAGTTCAGGCTGTGTACAAGTCACAGTGAAGGCATATTGGCCTCTGCACTTCAACATTGATTGTAACTGGACAACCACACAGAGCCATAGTGATGGGATTTACTGGATCAAACTGGTCGGATAAAAGGAAAAAGGAATGTAATGTCTCACTCTGATTCTCCTCATGGCTGCCACTATCTCCATCCTGCTGCCTGGACGCCCCACCTCCAGACTCCCGATGTACTGCATGTAACAAAGCATGGTTCAGAAAAGAGACAATACTACAGTTACACAAAAACACATTATTTACATATGCCACTCAAGGTAGTATAATTTTGTATTAGTTTTAAACACTGTAAATTGTCTAAAGCACTCACATCACCAGCCTTCAGCCTTTAAAATGAATCTGCCACAACACTTTAGAAAATAATCTCAACAGAGATAATTGCTATGCTATGACTAAATACTATATTTCTTAAATACACGTGATAATTGCTGTATTCAGCTACTGAAACTACTGCCAAATGTCACATGTGCACATATCTAAGCTATAATGTTGACTGGGCACATTGCACATTATTATACAAGTCTAGTGTAGTTCTTCTTGGACAGAAGCAATCTAAACTATTTTGGAGTTGGGTCTTCTTAGGTCACTTTCAGCAGGAGATGCTGAAGTCTGATGATGCTCGTGTAGATCGATCAGAGAAAGTAGTCTCTCCACACAGTGTAATCTGCAGCGCGCTCCGGTCAGAATTAACTGCACCCTTGTGACGAACATGATGCAGTGACACTTACCTTGGCCTCGAAGCACAGCCCATGTTTGAAAACCTCCTCGTTGTGCATGGGGATTCTCAGGTCGTGCACATCATCCACGAGGTTGTACTTGGTAATACCTGGCATCGCCTCAGTGATGCTGGCGGCTCTCACACTTGTTTTACGACAGCGCTAGTGAGCCGCAGATATGCGCATCCCCTCCTCCTCCAGGCGCGTCACGGCGGGGGTCATCAGGGTGAGCGTCTCCGCGGAGGTTCGGTGGGTAGATGAAGCTGGAGTCCGCTGATCGTTAAAGATGTGGGCGCTTATGACCCAATCACTCCCACTCCGAGGCTGCAGGCACGACGCCAACAGGCGGCTGATGACGCACGGACATTATCACATGGTTTCTCTGAGGGTCGATTTACGCACTGCTTTGAATGAAAGTGCGGCCAGAGAGCTGACCACCGTCTGAATGTGTATTTAACATGTAGACGAGGGATGAGGAGGGAAGGAGCGACAACCACTTTGTTTGCAGACTCTGGCGACATCTTGTGGCTCTAACAAGAGCACATTCAAGAGGGAGAAAGACTCCAGAAGAAGAGGAGAAGAAGACGGTCCTTTATTCGTCCCACAAAGGGGAGATGTCAGTTTGATGGGTCACACATACACGTACACATCAATGCAAGCAGCGAACATCACTTCCGCGCTCCTTATAGGCAAAGTGGGTTACGTGTCTTGCCCGAGGACACAACGACAGCAGTCATCAGCTCTACCAACTGATGAAAGTCTACACAACAATCTAATTCATGTTACAAATTATGATAAAAAAAAAATTTCAAATAGTTATAATCAAAAAAATGCATCAGTGTTCATAATACAAAGAGACTTTCATTCGTTACTTCCACATCGGTGATGGATATCGCAGCATCCATTTTACACAAATGTTTTCTTGACTTTATTGTGATTTTTTTAACAACTTTGGCTACTAAAAAAGACGATAGCAATAGTCCATCTCTGTCCGGCAGGTGGCAGCAGAGCACTGCAGGTTGACAGGTGTCAGGGGCCACAGTCATAGACTGTAATGCCACAGCTAATGCTGCCATCCCGCCTTGCGCCATGTGTCCTGATCTTACATTTGCTTTTTGAACGAACTTCATCATCAGGTCAGTTGTAACAGCTTTATGAAAAAAGTGAGATTCATGGGTTCAGGAACTGTCATTGAACTGTACGTCAACTCAAAAGCATCCAAACCATAGACTGTTAATATTATTGTCCAAACGCACCTCTACAAACCTCTTCTGTCGTCAGCAAATATGAAGGCTTGGATACTTCATATTGGCCTGTGGTTACTTCGGAAAGGCCTATCGATACTTCATAAAGGCCTATGGTTACTTCATAGAGGCCTATGGATACTTCACAGAGGCCCACGGTTACATAGAATAGAGTTGTCTTTTACTACTGTAAATGCTCATATCCATTGGAAAGTGTGTGTTGTAGACTTGATATTTGTTACGTTTTACTGCAGCGTGGCTCATCTGTAAAGACTACAACAAAGACCACCAGTTCTCTGGGGTCACTCCTTAATATAATAGATCCATGGGTCACTCCCACAGACGCCACACTGAGACCCATGGATCTATGATAATATCTGGGACCATGCAAATAAAAGGTTTTTTCCAAGGACAACATGCGGGGTGTAAACAGTTTTAATTGAGTTGTATGATGCATATTTTATAGTATAATGACCGAATAAGTTTCTTTCAACGGTAGTAATTCATCCAGAAGCTTTTAGTCCAGACAACTGCAACATTATTGTTCAGTCTCTGAGTGTACCCGGAAATGTCATCAACTCCAAACAAAAATTTGATTTAAGTTTTTAAGTTTTTCAGCCGGACAAACTGTGTTTATATTTTTGAAATAATTTTGTGTGCCTTTGTAAGCATTTTGTTTCACGGCTACACATAATACACAATACACAAGTGTGCTATGAACACAGTTGTACAAATACCAGCTTTTTAGTTTGGTGTGAACATTCTTTATGTAATATTCAAACTTGTGGCATGTGATACATTCTGTTCAGTGGCGTCTCCTGTTGATTCATTTTGTTTTAATTTAACCCTAACTCTTTAGGTTTAGTATTTTGTCTTGTTTGTTGGACAAAAACAATCCAGGGTTTTGAGTGTATTACATCAATACTCCAGATGAACTGGACTGCTCTTTTTCTTGTTGGAGAATGTGAGTAACAGGATGAAAGCAGTCATGATTCTTTGCATCACATTTTCCAAAAGCAACGTTGATTCATGCCCAGCTTCACTTGGACTTGAATCATTACTGCCATGCCTCTAAAGAGGAAAAAGAACCAACGAATATTGGAAAAATATAACATTTATTTTGACAACAAGGAAAAACTGCCCTTTTTAGGCTGAGTCCTTTGTCAAGTCACTCAAAAAACAGTGGAGTAAGGAAGTTTAGAGAAAATGGTTTAGGTCTATCATTTTTAAACAAAGCAATCTGCTCAAAGCAATTTATTGATTTATCATTGGTATTAGGACAACAATAACAACAACAACTTATTCTTGTATAGCCCTAAATCACAACAGCAGTTATCTCAAGGATTTAACAAAACCATTGAAATCACCAACACAGATCAGAGAATCAACAGTTAAGACACAAAATATACACATATGTATTGTCCACTAACTGCCCAACAGACTCTCCTGCATCGGGATGGAAAAACTCACAAAAACCCAATGGGAAAAAAAGTGAGAACCCTCGGGGAGACCCACATTTAAAGGAGCAATATGTAAAAATCTGGCCAAAAGTGGTACTGCAGTCACAGTCAATATTTTGTAGTCCTCTCCCACTCTCCCTGACTCAGGTTGCCAGATTCACACCAAATCCAGCAGCAAACACAGGGAATTATTTTATCAGTTGTTTGTCCGTCTCCATTCACATTGCCATGACAGCCGTGCTAATGCTGAATGAATGTTTTGATTCATGTTTTTTTATTATTATAATTTGGACATTTGAGATAAAAAACAAAAACAAAATAAAAGCAATGTAATTATACATAGTTTATGCAAAATAAATAAGAAATTGATGTCCAAAATAGGAGTGGGAAGAATGGATGTTGGAACGTATTTCTTCAGCGTATCAACATCAGGGTTTGCTCAAGAGGATATCACCTTTCAATTCTATTTATTCCCTATTTTTTAGACAAACATGTAAAAGTCCCACATCAAAAAGAGACTAACATTATTTTAATTGGGGTACATGTGGTCTTAAATGATTATTTTTACAATTAAGCTATAATCTGCAAAAAAAACGTCTTGACCTTCATCTTTTACCGTTTTTAGAGCAATCTGTCATAGAATGTGATAACATGCAATAAATACAAAAAGACATAGCCCGGGATCGAACCCGGGTTCCTGCATCGTAAGCTAACAGCTTGAACTGCTAGGCCACCGGTTCACACGAACTGAGACACCGTGAAGAACGCACTCAAACTAGAAAATTATGCATCACACGTAAACTTTTATCAGCTGTCTCAATTGTTCAAAGGCATCCCGATATAAATCCTCGTTTTAGTCTTTGTTTTGTCATTAATTATTTGAGAGTCATAACAAGACCTTCTTTAGTTCTACGCCACATGTTATTTTACCACTGAGATTAATGAGCCGCGCGGAGTTCTGGCAACCCGATCACGGACTTACATGACACTTCCTGATTGGCGAAACGGCGGAGGGTAGGACATCAAAATCAAAACAATAACAACTTTTACGGGTCGTAAAACTAATTTTGATGATCAAATATCTCGGCTGAACTACTGTTATCAGTTAAAGATGAATTCGAAAAGAGTATGATTTAATAACGCCTTTTGAAATATTTGGGTCATTTAATGATGACTTGACATGCAAATATTACATATTGCTCCTTTAAGAAAGGGATCCGCTTCGACACGGACGGACAGGCTATTGATCCAGGACCTAAGCTACAGAACAAGCACCAGAGCCACGCAGCGGCCGCAGAGCGTGGACAGGTCCGGGCAGGACACTCCACAGGTGTAGATGGAGGAGGCCAGATCCAGAGGTCCCGTTGTCGTGCCATGAAACAGACAATAGGACAACGGGTGAATAGCAATGAACACACTACAGTCAAAATCTTAATAATGCAGATAGATAGAGTAGGAAGGAGGAGAGGATAGTGCTCAAGTTACCATACTTCTCCCAGCAACATGGGAGACTAGGAAGCCTCTCCAAATACAATGTGTTAAAAAATATTGGGTATTATGAAAGAAGTGTGTCGCTCCAGTAACCTGGTCTCCATGACAACCTCTTTTGTTTTCACCCCAGTGCTGTGGAGGCTATTCATCACCATCAGATGCTAAATGTTTTAAATCCAGCACGCTGACTCATGTATGCCTAAGTGTGTGTGAGTGTGTGTGTGTGTGCATTTGTTTTGTGGACATATGAGAACTTTTGCATGATAACACACCTTCAATATCAGGACCTGAGGAAAAATTGTGACTTCCATGCATACTTTCCATGCATACTACAGTGTTGTAGAGGCCCAGATGAAGCTCCGCACCAAAAATCAAGCATGTCCCAAAATGTCTATAAATAGTGAAAATGTGTGTCGGGGCCGAAACACTTCGTCCCAAAAAGCTTGTTACACCCCCTATGGTCGTGCACGGAACTACCTTAACACACTTTTAACACACACACACACTTTTCATATGTCACCAATTTTCTCACAAACTTAAATACATTCCCAGAGGTGACTGTACAAAAAAAAACTTTCAGCCAGAAGGGACCTTTCAGAGTGGAGCTTGCTTGTTCTCCTTCTGTCAGTAGATTTTTTTGCAGGTACTCTGGTTTTTGATAACACAAAAAAATTGTAGAAAAGGTACCCTGATATTCTTGTTTTAATAAGGATTTAAAATATCAAAAACAAATATATAAGTGAGGTGTCAAAATGACAATCATGTATGAGTAAGGGATAACGTATATTACGCAAGTCATTATCGGAAAATAAGAACCGACAGGGCGAAGCGGACCCCCCGCCCTGAAGGTACTTATTTTCCGATAATGACCTGCGTAATATACGTTATCCCGCTTATTATACGGCTTTATACCAACAGAACACACAACATAAACTTCAATCCACTTTTAGGAATGCCGAAAGGTTTATTTAAAATAAGAAAGAAAATAAAATAGTTCCCAAAGGCTTTCCCGTGGCTATGCTAGCAACAGTTAGGCTAACATTACTATAATGTTTAGGATAGCACAAGTTGGTGATACATTTAAATTGTTATTGTTTTATGCTTGATATAAAGAATTCATTCATTCATAGATAATCAAAAAGAGTATGAACTCTGAAGTAGGGATGTAAAAAACTATGAATTCTCATGACCAACCACCTGTTGAAACTGGTTAACCGCGTAGTTTAAAATATTCCTCGTTCAACATTACATTCTTTTGTTGATGATACTTTGCTCATTTGTTGAGACTCGGATGAAATCAATGAAACGTGATGTTCGCCCAGACCTCTGACTGCACTGAGACCTGTTGAATGTCACAGCAGAACCTGCAGGGGGCGCTCACGCGAATGTCCTGCACACAGTTCTCAAGTCATGCACCGGCAACAAAAGAAATATTATTATTAGTTTATTACAGAAACAACCATGGGATTAAACATTATACAGGATAAAAACCACAGGACATTTTCAAAGAGAAGTCCCTCTGTGGACATGCCTGACGACGGTTGCTATGTTGTCATGGCAACCCAACTTGTCTTTATGAAGTCATTCTAGAATGTTGGCTTTAAAAGGTTACCTCAGGAATATGTAACCGGGCTAAGTGAATATCTGTCTGACAACAGTGTATTATTTTAGCACATTATAGAAACAGAAGCAAACACAGACAACATGCAGCGTGGACTCTCCAGTGAAGGCCACAAGACTGACCTGTCCCTCCTTTACGAACTGGCATTACTGAACCACCTGCAGCTGCAGTTTAATGAGATGGGAAAAGAGGGCCCTTGCCATGCACTGACCTTCCACATACAGCTGAGAGTAGGGGACCTGGTGGGATTTGGTTCAGGCCCCACCAAACAAAACGCCAAGCTAGGTGCAGCTAAGGTGGTTTTGCATCAGCTGAGGAAGCGTCTTTTGCCAGAGGACGTGACTCCATACTGGTCCAAACCCCACATGGAGCTGGTGGGCCCCTCACAGCGGGTCTACTTCTTCTACAAGAAAGACTCCATCAGTGCCCTGGCAGAGATCCTGATGGTGCGCAAGCAGAGGCCGGCCGAGTACAGGGTGGTCGGCTTCCAACACCGTGGCTACCGTGCGTCCGACTTCTGTATGGAGGTCAGCGTGGACCAGAGGACATGTCAAGGCCTGGGTCCAAACAAGAAGACGGCCAAGCTCCAGGCAGCAGAGGCGATGCTGCACGTGATGGGGTTCAAAGAGCAGATGGAGCTGGACAACCCTAAGCTGTCCCCCTCCAAGGAGCTCCTCTTCCGGCAGAGGGTCTTCAAACTGCGAGAGACAGAGAAGCTCGAGGCCCGGCAGAAGTTTAAAGATACTGTCGCACCAGCCCAGAGAGACACACATGCATCCCAGAGAGAGGGGTCCCCACCGGCCGGAGAGGAGACCATCCCAGAGGTGCCTGTCCATAACGAGCCAATCACAGAGGTGCCTTTCCCCGAGGAGCCAATCACAGAGGTGCCTGTCCCCGAGGAGCCAATCACAGAGGTGCCTTTCCCTGAGGAGCCAATCACTGAGGTGCCTGTCCCAGAGGAGCCAATAACAGAGGTGCCTGTCCCCAAGGAGCCAATCACAGAGGTGCCTGTCCCCGAGGAGCCAATCACAGAGGTGCCTGTCCCCGAGGAGCCCATCAGAGAGGTGCCTGTCTCTGAGGAACTAATCCTGGAGGAGCCTGTCTCTGAGGATTTTGTTCTGGAGGAGCCAATCACAGAGGGACCTGTCCAAAACGAGCCAATCACAGAGGTGCCTGTCCCCGAGGAGCCAATCACTGAGGTGCCTGTCCCCGAGGAGCCAATCACAGAGGTACCTGTCCAAAACGAGCCAATCACAGAGGTGCCTGTCCAAAACGAGCCAATCACAGAGGTGCCTGTCCCCGAGGAGCCAATCATAGAGGAACCAATCAGAGAGAATCCAATCACAGCGGTGCATTTCCCTGAGGAGCCAATCACAGAGGTGCCTTTCCTTGAGGATCTGGACCTCATCTCTTCTCTTGACGTTGTGAGTCTGGTGCAGGACCGCAACACACCTGAGGTTATCCAAGAACCTCCTGCTCCAGAAACCCCAAACCTCCAGAACTTTCACAGTCCTTCAGAAACTGTCAGTCCACCAGAGAAAACCGTCCCACCAGAGACAGGGGACGTCAGCTCCGATGCCGCTCACTTTATGGTTTCAACGATGATCCGAAAGCTCTTGGACAAATACCCCGTGTCCCTGGACATTAGGGAACAAGGAAAAGTTATTTTGCGACTGCGTGAGGTGGAGCGAAGAGTCTCCATGCCCCAAGGAACAGACCTGAAGACCAAAGACCTCAAAACTAAAGCTAAAGAGGTGGCTAAAAGTCTCCGGGAAGAGCTGGGACACATCTCCTCTGCCCTTCCCCAGAGCAACTGGTTTGTGGAGGCAGCTGTGAGAAATCTGAACATCCAGCTCCAAGACTTCGACGAGGACCGAGGCCGACGACCAGGACGCTAATTCTCTTGAGTTCTTAAAATGTTCCGGACCAGGAAGAGCGAGTGTCGCCTGGTCCTCTGAGAGCATACCTCAGATCACTCCTGCCTGAGGTCACCGCAGAAGGGCTGGGAACATAAAAGAACATAATTAAGACAAAAACAAGCATGAAATAAAAAAATAAAAAATATTCAACAAAAAAGGGAAAAAAAGAAAAAAACGTTGACATTTTAAAATCAAATTGGGAAAAACCAGGCTCATTTAAATATCGCATGGCATAATGTAATATTTAAATGTATAATGGCATATTGTAAAAATGCAGATTATGATATGCCTTGAGCTTTGAAAAAAGCCTTTTAGTATAGCACAAGAAAACATATATAAAAAAAAAATATATATATTAAAAATTTAAAATGTGTGTCTTGTATGTGTGTGCGTGTGTGTTTGACCTTAATGTATGGAATTTTGAATTGTACCTTTTCTTGTGAGGCAAGAATTGAAAGAGACAGTAACTTACGAGGAACAAGCTACTCTTCAGATGTTGAGTTGTGCGTTTGTGACTGTGTACAAAGGAAGGACCTAATCAGACCCTCATGAAACTGTGGAAAGAGAGCAGTGGTGACCGAACCATGTGTGGGACCAGTGGGAGGTGGGTGTGCAGCAACGGTGGCAGGATTTAGTAATTCTGTGAAAATGTTTTGTTATAGTTACATTTAGATGTTTTCTTTTGCCTTGTCACGAATTAACAGTAATTCTATGGGACGTTCAAACAGAGCTTTAAATAGTCATCGATCGCTGCATCAATTATTCCAGACATATCCAGATATTTATTACATATGACATACAAGTAACAAGGGATCATCTCTTGTTTTTAGTACTATTTCTGAATCCGAATCATTTTGGATAAACCTTCTCAGGTCAATCAAATTATTCAAAGGTTTTAACACCATTTTACCACGATTTCTTTGTTTAATTTTTGAAATACAATTATGGCAAACATTGACTTTGGCCAGGAAATCTTTTGTCCTTATAACTGAGTGATTATGAATCATCAGAATATATGATATCAAACCGACTCATTTCATCCAATGTCTTATTCCCTATAGAGTTAAAGATTATCACAACCAGCTTCAGCTCTTACGATCACACTGTTTCCTTTGGACTATAATTCTCTTATTTCATAGTTTGTTTGGAGTAAAGCCCCGTTCCCATCCGATACCAATAACCCATCATTCTGATTGTGTTTATATGCGTAACTTTTGCTTTATTAATTATCATTGAACACAGTTAGATTTCCTACTATTGTTTTCTTTTATATAGAAATTCATAGTTTAATTTATGTATATATCATTTCTATTAATATGAAAATATGTCTGCTCTCTGTTGAATATATTCATCCCAATTCATAGATTTTAACTGAAATGTAACATGTGTTTGTGGAAAACTAGTTACTTTTTCATGGTAATCCCTAAATCTATCTCACGTAGACTGCTTAAAAAGATAAGATAAGATAAATCTTAGCAGATTTAGGAAAAGAGAAATAGAAGTCTGAGGCACTCTGTTGTAGTGAAAAGATAAAAGTCCTTTATTAAAATGGACTGCCTACGCGTTTTGACCAAAAGCGGTCTTCGTCAGGGCATCAATCTGCTTAGATTGCCTGTCTTCAGTTTGAAGAGCACCTGTGTGTTAAGCCCTCTATCACTCATACCCTCTGCAGCACTCACCTTCCTTGCTTTAAACATACTGTAAGATAAATCTTATTGATAAAAATTGACAAAAAAAAGCTTTCTCTTTGCTGTGCTTCTGTTTTTGGTAGGAGTTTCCCAATTCAGTTTCATTCAATGTCCAGCCCAAAGACATTCCCCTAAATTTTCTTTTTCTTTGTTATGGGTTGCACAGGCTGGATTTTTGCTGACCGAAAGTTGATGATGTAACAGACATTCGGGTTCCTCTTTCTAAATTATCAACCTTATTTTCTACCCTCTTTGACATCTGACAGTGTAAACAGAATCGTGGGTCAGCACTTCTTGTTCAGTGGGTATTAGAATATTGTAAATAAATGGATAAAAGTCTTGTAGATTAGATAACTTAATACAGTTCTAAGAATCTTTTGCTCCTATGTCTTTACTTAAGTAACAATAGTGTACTTTTCACCAGTACCTGGGGGCTATTATACCATCATTTATTTCCCACAGGTCCTGTAGTAATTATCCGTGGGCGCCGAGCGGAGATGAGTGACAAGACAAAGCAAAGACAATGGGGAAGTGTGCGTGGGTCTGCAGTGACTCATGTCTGGCTTCATCAAGGTAAACAAGACCGCACAATATCTGTATCCATGGCAACAGGTTCTAACCCAGTTTAAAGAATTATAGTGGATTTGGAAATTCTCTGCTTGTTTCATGTTGTGACGTAGGTGTCTGCAAAGATAAGCCTCTACATGTTAACAATATCAGGTTAGTGCATTCTGCAATGCTGTATAATAATAACAATAATCATAATAAAAATTAGTGATAAATATATTGATAATAATAATGAAAATAATGATAATAATAATAATAATTATTATTATTATTATTATTAATGTTATTATTATTATTATTAATGCATTGGTTTAATGCAACAATTCTTTACATGGCAATAGTCATTCACTCATTCACATGGTGGTGATAAGCTACTACAGTGGCCACAGATGCCCTAGGCCTAGGGCATATGGACAGAAGCAAGGAAACCAGTTTGTTCCATCAACCCCTCTGACCATCACCAATCATTGCACAGTCACCAGACTCACCTGAGGAAATGTGTGCCAAGTGTCTTGCTATAAACACAAAAATAGTTCAGCCATTTACAGCTGTCCTCACCGCGTGGTGTTCCCAGAGGTCTCCCATCAACCAGGCATGGCCCTGCTCAGTTTCTGAGATTAGTTGGCATCATGCTTTCATATGAATGTGTAGCACAAATACAGTTACAGTAGAGCTCTGAGTGGAACATGTAAAACAATCATGATGGAGTACCAAACTTTTTTGTCCCAACTGAAAAAAAATCTTGTTTAAGTAACATTTTATGAACAAATCAGACCACTACACTCTCGATCTTATTTTGAAGCACTCCATCTTTTAGAAGTGTGACTGTGTTTCATTAAAACCTGTAGATCTGGCGGGTCTAAATACAAGCATGCACAGATACAATGTGTTAGCTAAATTCCTGCTGGGATTTCAAACATTTAATAATGAGCAACTGATTATTGCTACACAGCAGATATAAGCATGGTTTGTCTTCTTTAAAATACAATCAAATACAACAATATAAATGCACCAAGTTTGAAGTGGAGGTGCAAACATTTTTAAAAAGCCATGGATTAAGCCTGGGAGTGACAAGGTCCCTCTCTCTTCTACTCAATGAATCGATTATCACAATAGTCGTTAATCACAGCCTGAAGGTTCCACAGCAGTCCCAGAGTGTCTTACTCAACGTGATGGATGGTGCAAAGTGCCGAAGTCACCCAGTCACCCACTTGTGAAGTCAGGCTGTCTAAATTACCCCATGCCCATATTAGTCACATGAAATTCTTTCCACCACTGCAGCTTTCCAACATAAATTTCAATTCAAACAACTTTCTAGAAAATATATTGAGTGAATTTATTTAGGCAGTAAGTGTAAGAATACAGCGGTTTTCATAATTACAATAAATAAATAATAAATAAATATTCTTCAAACATACATTAAAGTGTCTTCAGTGAAAAAAATGCCATTCTGTCTCTTACTTAGAGCTGTGCAACTTCTATTGGGCCATTTCTATGAGTTCATATAGTGTCCTGCTGCTTGGTTCATTGACACTATTCTCAACCTGCTCCGATCTTGAGGAGACTTTCCCAGCATGCACCTGTAGCTGAGCTGTATTTGTCCCATTTGAGCTCAGTCGTACTCTCAGCTTTGTTTTAATATTTCAGGAAACTTCGTCTTTCTCAGTCCTTGTTCACAATCGTTGTTCAGCCCGTTTTGGTTTTCTGCTTAGCTCCAGATATGTTGAGGATTTGAGGAAGCGTGGATAGCAGTCCTTCTCCATCAGAGTGTAGATTTTGGATTGGGCCAGGTCGAAACAGGAGGCCGTGGGGTTCTCCATGTTTGCTCTGGTGAGGTCTTTGGTCGCGTGGTCGAGATTTACCTTCAAGCAAAAAGCGTCACATATCTTAGTCTAAAACAGTCTTAGTCTTGAATAAGTGATTTCATTTGGTGCAATATTCACCTCTCTCGGTGCGTCCGATCGAATGAACTCGTCGTAGATCTTCTTGGCTTTTGCAGACATTTTGGAGGGTTTTGAGCTCTTGTAGTCCTCACACGCCAAATAGAAAGCAATATTTTCCTCACTGAATTCAGACACAAGGAAAGCTCTGTACAGGCAGAGACCATCTGTAAAAGTTTCAAAAAAGAGTGAATTAAAAAAAGCACCTGAACATAATACAGAGGAAGAATGTGTGTAATGAAAGTGAACTTACTTTGGCTGGATAAAAGCTTGTCAAACGACTCTCTCCACGTCAGAGGCTCGTCTAAGTTCAACCTGTTAAGAAAAGAAGAAGCTATATTTAACAACATATATAAAAGCAGGAGAGGAATAACAGAGAATTAAAACAAATTATTATTCAGAATGCTGACTCCATCTCACCTCAGTTTGTTGCTCTTTTTGCACTGCCCTGAAACACAGTGGTCGGTCTTTTGTAGGAAACTTCCAAACAACGCCTTGAGCTCTTTTGCCCTGGAGACATGGATACACACATGTTATTAAATGCCCTTTAAATGGACTTTTATATTTCCATTATGTCAGTGTGAGCTTACCTTTCGAGGCAGGTGAGGGGCAGTGAGTCCAGTCCTCGGCACATGTTGAAGTTTCTCTGTTATAATCCAAAGAGTAGTAAAAGCTTTGTGAGCCACTTCTTGGTGCTTGTGCCGCTGTGTGGGAGAGAGGAACGCCTTTAAACTGTCCGGTCTGTGACATCACTCCCACTCCACCAATCACAGCAGGTCTGTGCTGCTCTACTGAAAAACATGTGCTACTTGGAATGAGTGAAATACTTCAAAACTGAGCATGTGCGGTTTATTGAAGAGGACCTGACGTTCTCACAAGAACAGAAAATCCCGCGCTAGTGTGAGGACGATGCGATTGTTCCTTATGAAAATGTGTGGCTGACCTGGATCAACGAGTTCCCTTTGACTTACGACTGTAGAACATTCACAAAAAATCTCATTAGGATAAAATGAGAGAATATTACAGAACGGATTATGACAAACATTCAAAGTGTGTGTGTATTGCAAACAGCCATCACAAAATGTTCTGATTTGTTTTCTTTTAGACATAAGCGATAGTATGTAATGACAAAGGTTGATTAAGTGAAAATAGGCAATCTCTGTATCTCCCGAAATGATTCAATTTCAACAAACCAAACCAATGATCAATAGTGATATATTTCTCTTATTCTGCCGGTCTTTTAGCACAAACATAATATCTACAGTCTATAGTACAAACCAGCCTTTGCAGCGTGATCACATGTTTTCTCACTGAAAACCCGTTGAATTTTAATTTGCTGACATTTGGGCCTATTTATAACCTGGCCACGGTGACAACTATTGTTAACAGACTGAGAATGTCTATCTTTAGCCACAACCAACAGAGAGGCCTTTGATTGGGGAAGAGTGTGAGAAAGGTGGCAGGAAACATCTCAGGAAAGAGTCAAAATCAGGAGCAGGATGGGAGAAATCCAGCTTCCTCAGCCCTGGTGGTTCCAGACAATACCTTCTCCCCTGGAATGACTGAGCTACACCACCGCGGAAACAATCCATGAGTACGACTGCAAGACTCACTGTGATTTTTGCCACAAGTCGAAAGACAGGCAGCACCTCACTCACTCATGGGCCCTGGCCTTTCACTGATTAGTTTCATTAAAATACACAGTTAAAGGGGCTTTACTTAGGAGGAATCATCTTTACCTCCATGCCCTGTAACTCCAATGGGGGGAGGGCTCTTTTAGCAGAATCTGTGAATGAACACATTGCAACCACTCATCCGATAAATCATGATCAGGTTTGCTGAACGAATCCGAGGCATCATAATCAACAGCAGCTGATACGCTGCGAGAGGCGAAGGTGTGTCCCTTCTCTTCTCCGCGCAAATGTAGCTTGCAGGGGAGGTGGTGGGGGGAGACGGACCTCCATCGGGGTCTCCGCTCTCTCCCCTTCTCGACCGTCACTCACTGATCCGCGAGTCACTCTCTGTAAGCAGGTGTACACTGCTTATTACATTCTTTTTCGCCATCACTCTTTGCTATCCTATCGCCTAAACTAGATCGCTGATCCGTCCTCAGTGCTACAGCAGCACGCTCACCAAACACTCACAACACTCCTCCTCCCCTCTCCACTGAACTAATGACCTCCCTGTGTGCAATACCTGCATCCTACTGGTGTTGAATTTATCATTCAGGTAACATTTGCACTAATATTTCAGTATGTGGGTCATTCACAATCGCCAGACATTACTGCCGCCTCCCGTGTAATAACACGAAAACACGTCAAACTCATCATGGGCAGATGACGTTACTATTCACAATACGAGTTTTGTCCGTCATGGCAGTGAATTGAGTTAAAAATGGGAAACGCATCTATGATGTAGTTTACGTGTTTACTTGTGACATTCCAACTTACAACACCCAATCACGTGCCTTTGTTTTAATGACTAAACCTGTCGACTGTTATTTGTTTGCCTGGACCTTGAGGCGCAATTAACGCATTTCAGAAACTTTCCATAGTATTACACATAAATATAACAAAAATAATGACCAAAACACAGCAAATTACTAAATTTATAATACTGGACTATATCTAAAAAACTCACAGATGACTCAAATATTTTTTTTGTATGTTGTGATTTTGTGAGAGAGCTGAAGGACATTCACAAACATATTATATAGGAGGCAAACAAAACATGATGAGGGTATCTACAACTTCCAAACAATTTCTTTTGATGCAGGATGAGAAAAAAAACTATCAGATGTAATAAAGACGTAACCCAACAATAAACTGAGGGACCACTGTATATATGTCAGTGTTTTAAGAATAGATAGATTTTTCCTGTTCCAAATGTATTTTGCATAACCCAAATCAACAACAGAAGACTTATACAAGATGTCTTTTTACCAGAACCGGTCAGAGAATCAAACATTCAAATGAGAAATACATTAATAACAAAGCCCAAGACATTTTTACATTTTACTTAAACTCCACATGCTTTTAAATATACAAGTGACCCTGGTCTGTGAAGGGCGCTATAAATAAAGTTTACTTACTCACTCACTTACAATTAATTTAAATACAATGCAAAATTTGACATATACAATATTCCTTGTCCTGTCCCTTAAAGGTATTCTGAGTCTGTAATGTGCCTGCCTCACGCTCAGTGCATTGCGGGAGGGAGAGGGTCCTCTCCTGTCATGGCAATACATTAAATAATAGCGTCCCTATATTTTGAAGTGCATTCCTATAGGCATTACGCTGATGTTTGTTTATCTCTCGGAGTGACTGAACCACGACACCGCCTAGATTGCCTCAGTTACTGATGACGGAATGGCTGCTTATTCGACCGTCCCTTACAACACTCACAGACCGCCCTTTTCTGTGTCCCAGGGCGGCTTCCAGATTTCATAGCAAATGCAATGATTGTAAGCCCGAGGCATAAAGTTATTTAACATTTATGTACATGTAAATGTGCCCTTAAATTTATTTCCATTGGAACTTTTTCCTCTGCGTTTTGACGCCCCCCCCCCACCTGAATGGCCACTCATGGCAGCTGTCAGAGTGCCATAGTAAAGCCGCACGGAACACATCTCCAGATGTTGTACTCAGACTGGATCAAGAGGGCCTGGGCAATAATCAGGTTTAGGCCATTAAATTGCTTCTTTGAAAAAATTGAATATGTGAAAATCGTGAAAATCGAATGAATGTTTATTGTGAGAGTTCCAGCGTGAATTATCACTTGCAATATCAGCCAGTACCTGTACAAGAATTTTCTAGACGTATTGGGAAACAAATAAAACATAGTTTTGAAACTTTTAATATTGAGCGAACATCAAAAACATTTTTTGAGGGGTAAAGTCTCTTTGGTGATTTTAATGAAAATCAGTTTAAAATGGAAATAATTTCAAAGCAAGAAATAAAATCGAGATTTTACTTTTTGCCATATCGCCCACCCCTAGTAGACAGTATTTTATTAAACCAGAAGGTGGCAGCAGAACTCCCTGGTTTGGTCAAAGATCACTCTGGATCACTCATGATCAGGAGAGACAGAGGTGAAGCAGACATGAGTAATATAGTCAGGTCAGCTACATTTGGAAGGCAGTTTGAGCAGTAAATGTGTCTCCATAGCTGACAGAGACCATGTGTAGGTGTCCTATCAGCAGACCATGTGGAGGGTCAAGGACAACGCAGACCAGTGGAGCACTCTCAAAAAATGCCACAGACACGTGGACTATTGCCGAAAATTATCACTGAGTCCCACTCCAGGAGCAGCAGCAAAGCCAGATATGTCACAGCCGCACGGCGGACCGAAACAGACAGCTCTGTAATGTAAACCACACAAAAACACACAAACGCGTGCATAACGCACATACATGCACGCCCAACACAGTAAGCAAAGAAACACAGCATATTCGGTTGCACTTATACTATAAGTATAAGTAATCACTTTGATTAATTGTCATGTATATGTGTTATCATTGTAATTTTTTGTATTCTTGATTTACTCTTATTGACATAAATATTAGTGCCACCGTAATGGATGAATACTGGCCATTCTTTCTGGCATAGTTTGTATGGGCTCTTACTTTCAATAGTACATTTTGACAGTTTTGGATGAGTACATTTTTGAAATTTTTTAGGCACACTTTGTGATGTGTGTGTGCCATAAAACCTATATTGTACATTAAAAACACTTCTCAAAAACGTGTTGCTGTTTTCTAACATGTAAGATCCTGGACAGGGTGTGAGGAGATGCTAAAGGTAAACAAAATATTTTTACAATCACTTTCTGCATTTTCGTCTGTTTTCTACAAAAACCTCCATTTTCTAATTTTTGGTCTACAACGGTGCTTTTTGTCACACTCTCCTCTTATTCGAACGAGATCACAGGAGAACGAAACAAACTAAAACCAACTTATTTTTGCTGCTGAAAAAGTAGACAGGCCCTGTCTTTCAGACTCTGGTTTCATATTTTTTTCATAGCAACAACAATATTCGGTAGAGTCTTAAAAATCATGAAGTCATCAAAAATCAGCTGGCAGTTCAATGTGAACCTCCTTTTTTGTGTACAAAAAATTACATAAAATTACAATAATACAACAGGCACATACAGATGATCATAAGTCCCACATACAGATTGATACAACAGTAACACACAATTTCATAAAATGACGATTATAAAAACAGTTACCATTTCACTGAAGATGTCTCTATCTGGATCTAAAAGCATTCAAAGGAAATAAGATCAGATCATTTCTAGTCTTTTGCAACACGTTCCCATGTAAAAGGAGCAGTTTTTTTTTTTCCCAGTTTCTGTCAAAAGAACAGAAGCTACAAACGATCTTTTGATCCAACCATAGAACATGTCTCGGTGAGTACACCGACAGATGTAAGAGGCCGCAGAGCAAAGCCTTAGACACTAAAGTGCACCAGAGTCCAAACCTTCCTGTGGACAAGTCCCACTACACCAAATATCACTCACGAGTAGGCTTTGCATTCGCATATGAAATGAAACATTTAAAACAATTATTTTTTCCCTATATTTAAGCAACAGTCTTACAGATGAAACTGTGTAAAATATTACATTAAATATACTTCCTTTAGGAATGAAACCTCTAGCCTTGTTATTGATGATACTCGGCTACAACCTACTGCGTGTGTGTGTGGTCATATTGTGGTGGTAACATGGAGCGGCAAGTATTTCTGAGGGGGTACTTGTGTAAAGTTTGAGAACCAAATGACTTAACATATATAGGCATGTAGACCATTTTCTGGGGGCAGATGACAGAAACTTGCAACAAACGTTGACAGTATTCGGGGCAAATTGAAACATACGCGGGCCAACTAATGCCCGGGGCCTCACTTTGGGCACCGCTGCCCTACAGCATCGTAAGGAAAAAACTACAAACGCAGTGGGAGGAGTGCCGGGGGTCGGGGGTCCCATCAGTCACACCCAGAAACAGGAACAGCCTGTTTCAATTCATCTTCAGAGCGATTATAGCTTGGTTTGTTTTCCCACTCCGATTCATACTCTGTGGCAATTTTCAATGCAAGGAATGCATATAGTTTGCGGCGAGGCAAGAAGGGGATCCGCAGTTTAGATGCATGCCGCAAAGCTTGGATATAACCATCCTCGAAACAGCCGGTCCAAACCATTCAATCAGTGTGGGCTTTCAGGCACGTGGGTTAAGAAGTCATGTCCAAGGACAGTAGACCTAAGTGGAGCAGTTGGAGTAGGTCGCTGGGGGCTTGAACCCCAACCACCAGGCCCAAGGGGCCCAAAAGCTCTTACCAACGAAGCTACTGTTAGCCCCTGCCAGTGCAAACTGACCACTCGAAAGCAACCAAAACAGAGATGAACCAGGACTAAACCAGGGCTGACAATGGGACACTGTCTTGTGAAACATGTGGTACTTCACCCTGAGTATGACCTTCTACTGTGACTGTAAAGTGTTTGCTTAACTGTTTGGCCGAGGCGGAAGTACCATCATAAATCCTCCAGCCTGGTATCTGATGCCTAGGGCTGGGCGATAGGCAAAAAAGTTAAAATCTCGATTTTATTTCTTGCTTTTGAATTATTCAAATTTAAACTGATTTTCATTAAATCACAAAGAGACTTTACCCCTCAAAAAATGTTTTGATCTTTCCGCTCAACTATTAAAGTTCAAAACTATGTTTTATTTGGTTCCCAATACGTCTTAAAAATTCTTGTACAGACTGTGCTAATTGCAAGTAATAATTCAACGCTGGAACTCTCACAATAACATTCATTCGATTTCCAAACATTTCCATATTCAATTTTTTTTTCAAAAGAAGCCATTTAATTGCCTAAACCTGATTATTGCCCAGCCCTACTTGATCCCAGCTGAGTACAACATCTGGAGATGTGTCCCGAGCGCTTTACTATGAGCAACTCCTGACAGATGCCCATGAGTGGCAATCAGGATGGGCTCATAGCGCAGAGACAAAGTTTCCAATGGAAATAAATAAAGGGCACATTTACTGTACATTAATGTTAATAACTTTCTTCCTCGGGGCTTACAATCCGATAGCATTTGCATGAAATCTGGAAGCCGCCCTGGCACACAGAAAAAGCCTGGTCGTGAGTGTTGTAAGGGGACGGCGATAAGCACCATTCCGTCCATCATAACTGAGGCAATAAGGCCGTGTCGTGGTTCAGAATCACTCCGAGAGATAAAAGACAAACTCAGCGTAATGCCTATAGGAAAGCACTTTCAAAATATAAGGGACGCTATTATCTTAATGTAGCATGACAGAGAGAACCCTCTCCCTCCCCGCAAATGCACCTGGACTGATGCCAAGGCAACATACAGGACTCAGATACCTTTAGGACAGGACAAGAAATTGTAAATGTTCAATTTTTGCATTGTATTAAATTAATTGTAAGTGAGTGAGTAAGTAAACGTTATTTTATAGCCACCTTCACAGACCAGGTCACTTGTATATTTAAAAAAGCTGTTGGTGTAAAGTAAAAATGTAAAATGTATTGGCTTTTGTTATTAAATGTATTTCGCATTTGAACTGTTTTGGATTCTCTGACCGGTTCTTGGTATAAAGACATCTTTGTAAAAGTCTTCTGTTGTGATTGGGTATGCAAAATCATTTGAAAAGAAAAATCTATCTTAATCTAAAACACTGACATAGATACAGTGGTCCCTCGTTTATTGTGGTTTACGTCTTGATTAAATCTGATATGTTTTTTTTTTTCAATCCATCCTGCACAAAGAAATGTTTGGAGTGGTATATACTCAGTCACATGTTTGTTTTGCCTCCGAAAATAACTATGTTTGTGAATTCCTTCAGCTCGCTCAACAAAAACTCACAACAACAAAAAAATATTAGAATCATCTGTGAGTTTTTAGATAAAGTCCAGTATTAAATCTAGTAATTTGCTGGGTGCGTTTTGGGTCCTTATGTTCTGTATAATTATTGTAATACTATGAAAGTTTTCTGAAATGCTGTTAATGCGCCCTCAAAGGTCCCGAAAAACAAATACACAGCGACCGAGAGTTTAGTCATTAAAACAAAGCAACCGGGTTTGGGTGTTGTAAGTTGGAATGTCCAAATGTAAACAAAGAACTACATCATAGAGCGTTTCCCATTTTTATACTTCATTCACTGCCCATGACGACAACATCTCTCGTCATGTTGCAAAAGTAACTCTGCTCACTGCACAAACGAGTTTTGACGAGTTTTTCGTGTTATACACAACACCGGAGGCTGCAGTAATGTCTGGCGCACCTGTGAATGACCCACAAATCAGTACAGAGTGAATATACTGGGATAGTGCAAATGTACCTGTAATGATAAATCAACACCATAGGATGCAGTTTGCACCACAGGAAGGTCATAAAGTCAGTGAGTAGGAGGAGGAGGGAGGGTGGGAGTGTTTGGAGAGCGTGCTAGCTGTAGCATTGAGACGGATCAGCGATCTAGTTTAGGCGATGTATAGCAAGAGTGATGCGAAAAAGAATAGTTATAACATATGTAGTACACTGCTTCAGAGATTGACTTCGCGATCCGTGAGTGAGGTCGAGAGGGAGAGAGCGGAGACCCCGATGGGGTCCGTCTCTGCAGCTACATTTGCGCGAGCAAGAGAGGACACACCTTCCGCCGTCTCGCAGCGTACAGCTGCTGTTGTTACTTTACTGAGGCCTCATCTCGTTCAGCAAACCTGATCATGATTTATCGGATGAGTGTTGCAATGTGTTCATATCACATATTCTGATAAAAACCCTCCCCCCATTGGGTTTGAACAGGGGCATGGAGTAAGATGATTCCTCCTCATATTACCTTTGTACATATTATTTGTATATATTCTCCCTGGTATAGGGATTTTACAAATGTAATTAAATTTAACAGGTGGTGTCATCAAGAGGCAGTTGCTGTGCACCAAAAAAGGTAAAAGAACTATTTCTATTCTTGTACATCCCCATGGCAAATATAAATATACGTATAATAATAATATAGTTACTGTGTTTTGGTCCCAAAAGTTAAGTCATCCAATAAGTGGGAGAAAGGCCTTCATTGTATTGTTATGGATTGATTTATTTGTAACACAATTCACTGTATAATATATTATGTGTGTGTATCCAATTTCCACACGTCGTCACCCAGAAGCTCTAGAGATGGCGACAGGAGGATGAGTGGGAGCCGAGTCAGTTGCCCTTCACAGGACTCCCGGACCCAGAGACTGCGGACAAGGCTAGCGAAGCTGGATTCATCTGAATCCAGCTGACTTTCCTGGAGCGGGATTCAGCTGATCCAGACTTCTGAGCGGGATTCATCTGATTCCAGACTTTCTCGGGAGCTGGATTCATCTGATCAGACTTTCGGAGCTCTTCTTCACGGAGGGAGAACGACAAATGTCACATCGTTCGTGTTCCGTTGCACACAGTGTTTCAACCGACAACTCAAAGCTGAACTACTGGGAGGACTGAAAAAGCAGATAACTCACTCAACACACACTCACAGAACACTCACACTGCACTCACTCCACTCACATCCCGCACCACAGACACTCACTCGCGACAACTGACATTCACAACACAAACAGACACTCCTCACACAGACACTCACAACTCGCACACTGACATTCACCACATTCACATGGCCTTCAGTTCTATTTATAACATCTATAGTGTTATTTGATCATTGTGTTGTTGTTGTGTGACGTTTTGGTGATGGTATTATGAAAAAGTCAAATTTTCTATCTGTGAATAAATTGCCAACAATTTGCCATCACAAGATTATTTCAGAGTCCATGTTTTCTAATGTTTTAAAGGAGACAAGTGTGAAGATGTTTTGAGTTGTCCACTAAAGCTCAATGAATTCATCTAAAAAGCACTTTTTCTGCTTGATATGTTCTGTTTACATACAGCTCCTTATTTCTCTGTTTCTGTCGCAGACAAGTGTTATGGGACATGTCATTTAACAAACCTGGTCAGGGCGTTTCCACCGACCTGGGAAGATCAAGGCCGTCGTTGATTGGCCCGTGCCCAACAACTGTCTCAGAGCTTCGCTCATTCATTGGCTTTGCGAGTTACTATCGTCGGTTTGTGGAAGGGTTTGCGAAGCTAGCCGCACCCTTGCATCGGAAAGTGGCTGAACTATCTGGCAGGTCTAAGAGAGCAGGAAGGTGCGAACTCGAGAGTTGGGACCAGGAGTGCCAGATCAGTTTCGATGAGCTCAAGGCAAAATTCACCAGTGCACCTGTGTTGGCATACGCAGACTTCAGCTTACCGTTCATCCTCGAAGTGGACGCAAGCTTTTGTGGCTTGGGGGCAGTGCTCTCCCAGGAGCAAGGTGGGAGAGTACGACCCATTGCCTACGCAAGTCGGGGGCTGCGAAAGACCGAACGAAACATGTCGAACTATAGTTCGATGAAACTCGAGCTCCTCGCTTTGAAGTGGGCAATAAGCGAGAAATTTAGAGAATATCTTCTTGGTCACAAGTGTGTGGTATACACAGATAACAATCCGTTGAGTCATTTGTTGACCGCAAAGCTTGGTGCTGTGGAGCAGCGCTGGGCTGCACAACTTGCGTCATTTGATTTTGAGTTAAGATATAGGTCTGGCAAAAGCAATGGAAATGCGGACGCACTGTCGCGTCAGAAAGATCCCAGTTCGCAGGACCTGGGTGCTTTGGCCTCTGCCTCGTTGGTTCCACTTTCTTTGCGCCAATCTGCGCCATTGCAAATGGTTGAGGTGACTCAGACTGTGATGGTTGCCTTGCCTAGTCATTCCCCAGGTGATGTCAAAGCCCTCCAGGATTCTGACCCATTAATCCAGGAGGTAGCCTCCTTTTGGAGGCAACATCGATTGCCCAGCGTAAACGAGAAGAAAGTCCTTTCTCCTGCTGCCTTGGTTCTTCTCAGACAGTGGGATCGGTTGTCGAGAGAAACGATTTGTTGTATCGCAAGTCTTACCGCCCTGACGGTGGCGAGGCAGTGTTCCAATTGCTCTTGCCCACAGCCATGGTTGAGGAGGTTTTGACTCAAGTACACCAAGATCACGGGCATCAGGGGGTTGAGAGGACCCTGGCCCTGCTACGTTCACGCTGTTACTGGCCAGGAATGGCCAAGGCAGTTAAGACAGTGGTGCGGGCAATGTGAGCGTTGTCAGATTGCCAAGGACTCCCGTCCCCCAGCTCGTGCTTTCATGAGCCATCTTCTGGCCTCCAGGCCTAACGAAATCATTGCTCTCGACTTTACTCTGTTGGAACAGTCCCGGAGAGGGCTTGAGAACGTGCTTGTCATTACAGACGTGTTTAGCAAATACACGTGGCCATTACAACGCGTGATCAGCGTGCAATGACCGTTGCTGAGGTTCTTGTTTCTGACTGGTTCTCCAAATTTGGCGTACCATCTCGAATTCATTCAGACCAAGGACGTAGCTTCGAGAGCCTTCTAATGCAGCAACTCTGCCGGCTGTATGGTATCACCAAATCTCGAACAACTCCTTACCACCCAGCAGGAAACGGACAGTGCGAGCGATTCAATCGCACCCTGCACAACCTCCTTCGCACTTTGCCTCCATCAAGAAAGCATGACTGGTGCGCTTGTCTGCCCCAAGTACTTTACGCGTACAACACCACGCCTCACCAATCCACAGGGGAATCTCCCTTCTACTTAATGTTTGGTCGGGAACCAAGACTACCAGTCGACTTCTTGTTAGGCCAGGTCGAAGATCCTCTTGGTGGTGATCCCCACGAGTGGATTTTGGAACATCAAACCCGACTGCAATTAGCTTTCGAGGGAGCTAGGGAACGGTTAAGGCTTGCGGCAGAGCGTCGCAAAGTGCCACACGATCAGGCGGTACGTGATGAACCCTTGCCGGAAGGAGGAATGGTCCTGGTCCGCAACACTGGTGTGAGGGGTCGTTGCAAAATCCAGGACCTGTGGTCATCAGTTCCACAGATCGTCCTGCAAGCTCCAAGGGATGGTGGGGCAGTATACACCATTGCCCCAGTGGATGACCAGACGAAAGTAAAGAGAGTCCACCGTTCTTTAGTCAAGGCTTGGGCTGGAGCGAATCCTTTTGAGGGTGTGCCACGCCAATCAGCGGTCAGCAATCTCCGGCCGGGTGACGAATCATCTGGGGATGAGGACTTGTGTTACGTGACACCTGGACCGGGTGGCTCTGTTGGGCCGGGGCCCTCGCAGTTGGGTCCGGCACCTGTACGGGAGTTGGAAGAGCTGGTTGCTGGACCCTCGGCCAGACAGAGACCATCTTCACCTGGTCAGTCTTCAGCGGCTAGGTCAGTCGATACGAGTATTAGGAGATCTGCACGCCCCACAGCTGGTCGTCACCCTAACCCTCATAATTTGCCTCGGTCTGCGTTGGGCACCTAACCCATTTTGTATTTGGAAACTGCTGTCCTATTCAGCTGAAACTAAGATCGATCGCCGGGTCGACGATCCAATTGGGGGGGGTAGAGTGTAGTGGTACGCGCATACCCACTGGTGGCCAATCACGCTGCGGCAGGGCCTTGATTACGGGAACTAGTTTCACCTGTCGCGTCTCTCTCCTCACCTCTGGCGTCTGCATGCTGCGTGGCGATCTACTTGGCTTCGTGTGCTGGCGTGCGGGCCATCCTTATTTGTTTGGCATTGAGTACATTGCACTTGCGGGTTTTTGCGCTTGCTCAGACCTGTTGTCGGATTTAGAGCGCCTCCTCGGTGAGTACTGGGACACTCCCATTCATAAATTGTTCCTTCAGAAGGCCTAACTCGGCTTCGTTTTTAGGCAGCGGTGCAGGCTTGTGGGCTGCATTAATTCCCTGCAGTGTGTACAAATACGGGGAATGTGAATATTTCCATCTTGGTAAGCCATTTCATCATTCGTATCAGTTGATCTGACATATGTATTATATATATGTATATATATATTATATATGTGTATATATATATATTATGTATGTGTATACGATTTGTGTTTATTTATTTAGATATATATTTATACATATATTAATATGGGCTTTCATTCAGTGGTGTGCGCCCCGCCTGGGTTAACGGGCACCTTCACGCTACACTCTAAAACGGCAAGATCTTGGTATGTATGGTTCTACAGTTCATAGCCTAGGTGTATATCTCTCTATCAGTCTCTCTCTCTCTGCTCTCGCTCTTGCGCGCTTTGCTCTTGCTCCCTCTTTCACTCTCTGGTTCTCTCTGCTCTGGCGCTCGTTTTCTGCGCTCTCTCTCTCTCTCTCTCTCTCTCTCTCTCTCTCTGCTCTCGCTCTTGCGCGCTTTGCTCTCGCTCCCTCTCTCACTCTCTGGTTCTCTCTGCTCTGGCGCTCGTTTTCTGCTCTCTCGCTCTCTCGCTCTGCGCTCTGCGCTCTTTGCGCTCGCTCCCTCTTATTTAGCTTTAATAAACTTAATTCTCAGTGTAGATCCGACGAGCCTCCCCTTCTCCCGTGAGCGGCCCCTTTCAGAGCTTCTCCTTCGGGGCCTCCACTTATGTGACCATCCCTGGGCAACACTCACCCTGCGTTGTGGGCTGTCTACCTGGCCCTTGGACCTACGGCTAACCAGACCACTGATTTTAGCACTCGGACTGGCGCTCTCCCAGGCAGACTGGTAACGTTGGTAGGGAGTTTAGTCTATAGGTGAAGATGTAATAACTGCTGCTGCTGTTTCCCCCTGAGGTCACTGTTATTTTGTTTTGTTAAGGTTTATAAAGTATTTTAAGATCTGTGAAAGTGAACAGGTGTCCATGACTAATTTAAGAAAATTGTGAAAATAAATATATATTTTTTATAATCCTCTCGTACTCTCTCTCGTACTCTTCAGTCCAACGAACCTTTGTGCCCTTACTGCGGGGGGGGGTTATTTTGTGTTACTGCTCGTAACAAGTGGCTATTATTGGTCCTGGGGCCACCTCCCCAGGTGGCGTTGCTGTACATTGGGCTATTATCCAAAAGATTAATTATATTGTTGTACCCTCACCACTACACCGCCACATAGATATGACTGAAAGCCCTCAGCTATAGTCCTCTAGAGGCCATTATTTAGCAGCAAAGTTTAATTTATTTCGTAAATGGGCTAAATGAGAGCACTTTAAAGCTCTTTATGTCTCAGTTTTGATGGGTCTGTCTTTTCAATCATTCTGAAATAATATCAGAGAGTTAGGATTAGGAAGACACAGCTCATGCTAGTACTGGGACATCTTTAAATTGTGAAATGTACATGTTCAAGATTTTCTACCTGAAATAATGCTAATACTAATCTTTTGCGCGTTGAACCTGTCTTGTAGTGGTCCAATGTATGGATGTATTATTAATTTTGCCAGCTTTGTCTTTAAGAACTGGTACAAGGATCACAGACACAGAAATAAATGACTCGGGTAAAACTCCATGAATAAAAATTAACCATTTGAGGACCTCTTGTGAGAAACAATCACCTCTTTGTTTTCAGATCTCCCACAATGAAGATGTTCCCAGATGGACAGTAGACGGATGCATTTTTCAGGCTTTTTATTTGAAAACTGTCATTTTGATGACTTTGTGTTGGTCAAAAAATTTGGTATATTTGTTTGTGGTCGCAACAAGACAAAATGTGGAGAAGTCCATGTGTCCTGAGTGAAAGCAAACAACAGTAAAGTAACTGTTTCAGCAGTAAGTAATAATGTTTAGACGATGAAAACGGGGAATCAAGTGTTCAACTTCACCCCACTCCTTTTTAAGTAACAATGAATGTTCTTTGTTCTACTAACAATGGGACTCATTCACCAATATCTTCTTAAGAATCTTCCTAAATTTCTTCTCAAGTCGTCCTTAAGTAGATTTCTAAGAAGACCCTACGTGGGATTCATCAACGCGCTCGTAAGGCACTGAATTGTTCGCAGCGAGAGTCACCGCCAAACTGAGAATAAAGTCATACAATTTTGACTTTAAAGTCAAAATATGAGAATAAAGTCGAACTAGCAAAATTATGAGAATAATCTAAAAATATTATGTGATTAATTAAGACTGCCAGCCCATTTCAGAACAGGTACTTCCATATTGCCAGCCGTTTCTGATTCTGAAAGAATGGACTGTCTACTTTCATCAGCAAAAACAATTGTGTTTCTAGTTGGTTTTGTTCCCCTGTAATCCTCCGTCGAATAGAGGGAAGTTTTACTGAAATCACCAGAAAGCTGAGAAAAAAGAGGCACAACATGTGCATCTAGCTGTTTTCAAACCATTCAGAGAGAAATGCTGCCACCTGCTGGCTCGATAAAATATGGTCTCAAGTCAACCCCATACATATTAGATACAATAGACATCTGGGAACATGAAAATAGCGGAAAAGGCAATTGACGTATTTGTGCGTCAATGGCACACATTAAAAATACTATGTATTAATATTAATATTAATCTCAAAACATTATGAGATTAATCTCAAAATATTTCGGACCCTGGGAGGAGATCCTGCGCGGACCAGCGCTGAGACCAATGCAGACCCGAGGACAAGACCATAGATTGGAGACACCAGCGCTGAGACAACTGTGGCTGCGTAGGTCCAGCGAGTGTACACTGGGCTTAAGAGTGCTCCTGAGTATTCGTAGGATTTGTTCTTACCCAAGAGAAATCCTGGGTAAGAGAAAAATTCATGAATGCCACAATCTTTGTTAAATCCTCGTAAGTAGTTTTACGAACAAATTTGTTCTTAAGAACACTTGAATGAGGCCCAGTGTTCTTGTAACCTGGTAGAGCTGTATCCCCCCTCTTTGTGTGCGTGTGTCTTTAGTTTTGAGTTTGTGTGTGCATGGGTGTGTCTTTCGTTTGGGGTGTGGTCACACTGGTGGAGGTAATCAGCTCACTACACTCACTTAAAGGACAACTCACCCTCAAATCCACTTTTTTTTGCTGATAAACGATTTAAATGAGTGTCCAATAGTGTTGTCTACATATCCTGGTCATAGTTTTTTTCACTTTGGTGCAAATTAGTTGAAAGTTAAACTTTCTGCCTAAAACCGTCTGTGAGGCGCCATCTGCTGGCGACCTGTATAACTACATTTGAATTTTGAATCTGGCGCCAACACTGGCACAGAAGTTGGACCTGACGTCTGCAAGTTGGACCTGACGTCAGCAGCCCCCCGCCCAGAGCAATATAAACGGCCCAGTCTCGTTCACGCCCCCTTTAGTCCTCCAGGCTACGCCCATTTAGAGGAAGATTTGAACAGGAAATGTGAGTAACGTAAGCTCCGAGGAGCGGGGGTGAGAACCACTTTAAGCAGCAGAAGCACACCACTCTGTCTCTCTGTGTCTTGTCGCTTCCTTGTCCAGGTAATGTCCACGACACTGCACTGTCACATTTAGCCCTTGTTTGTCACTTTGTCTAGTTTTAATTATTAATTCTCTCTGTGTCTTGTCACTCCCTTGTCTAGGTGTGCTGGAGGGGAGCTACGGGCGTGGCCCAGTGAGGAGAGTGGATATACTCAGACCACCAGATTAGAGGGCTGTAATCTGCATTGCACATATTCTGCTGTTTATCTTGGCTAACCGGATGGTCAGATCCACCCCATCTCCTCCCCTAAATTCCCTCCACTGGCATTGATAAGCACACCTGCACTTTTGGACATTTTATAACAACTCTTTTTTAAACATTTCTAACCTTATTTGTAATAAAACTAACATTTTTAACAACTTGCCTCATGCACTTGTGTCCACCCTAAACTGGTTGGTCACACGAATCTGGGTGTTACATTCTTATGACCACTTTTTTTTGTGTGTGTGTGTTATTGATGTTGTACATTATGTACACTTATTTGTTGTGTGCTTGAAATAAACTAAACACCAATGGCTGGTGGAAAGATTTTGTCAATCAATGCCTAGTAAAAATGGACACATTTCTAAATGAAATATATTTCACTGTTGGTAATTGATTAAATGTGGACAATAAGTATGCTACTCTGGCTTGGACAATCCATGAACACCATTAGGCAGAGTCATCTGTGGAGATGGAGGAATGAATAGCTGCCTATTTCACACAATGATAATATGGCCTGGCACTTGTAAAGCCACACAGAGAGTTCAAAGGGTATCATTCAGTTATAAAATCTGTTTAAAGGAACAAAATCTGGCTCTCAATGAATTTCCTTTTTGAGGTGAGGACAATCCGAGCTGTTTTAACCTCAGAAGATCTTTTATGATGGCTTTGGTGGTAATGGACTAAGCATGTCCTTAATAGGCACTTCTAAAGGCAAATTATTATTAGCCCTCACTTGATTTCAAACAGAAGATGTCACATAAAGTCTTAAAACCATAACTATGGAGTGTGACCTATTCTCCCCATTTAAACTAATGGTCTACCACTCCAAAAGTCTTGTGGGTGGCCCCACCCGCGGGAGAACAAGAAAAGTAATGTACTTTCATCTTTTTCAGTGTTCATGAGGCTTCTGCCCCGCTTCAGCTATGCTCAAACCTTATTGAGGAATGAGTGGTGAGTTAGCTCTGTCCATCCTCATTAAACAGGCTACGTTTTGGGCCTCAGTCATGGTACAACAGGTCTGCAAGCTGAGCATATTAATTGGCAATTCACTCAACGCTCTAATGTTCAGACAATGAGAGGTTTTACGTTCATAACAGCAAGCATGTAGTGTAGAAGAAGTGGAAGTTCAATCCTTTCGGTATCTGCCACTTCTCCCTCAAGACAATGATCAAAACAAGACAATGATCAATTTGTTAGTCAGAATTATGACCTGCATTTGTAACTCTTATGAGCTGGAGTCTGTTTGGAGTTCATTAAAGGTCCCATATTTCACTCTTCATTTCTCATCGTCCATTCTAAGCACATGTCTGATAATAATTTCAGTGATACACCGTACAACACTCAAAACTTGTGAAACTATAGCCATTTCTTGCATAGAGGTGATGTCACCTCAATTGAAACAAGTGGATATGTGCTCCTCTCTGTGAGCCTGCTTCCTTCCACCCGTGTGGTAACGTAGCCTCATGCTGACTGCTCAGCTTTCGCCATGTACAAAGTCATTTAAGACTTGGAATCCACTTATTCCAACAATTGAGCCCTTTATCCTCGCTCCAGAATTGGATCCTAATTATTTTGTAAATAGAAGTAAACAGCGAGTTCTCAGCAT